CTGTGGCGCCTACCTTCTGTAGGGTGAGCGCGACGGACTGACATCAGAGGCGGGGGAACTGATTACGAGGACTCCTCGAGTTTGGCCAGCTGACGAGCTCGCCGTTCCGCGACCTGGCGCAAAGTATTACGAAGTTCAACCCCACGAGGAGAGGGCTGAGCCATGACCACCTTGCACGCAAAACATGTCAAGAGCTCGATGAAACGAAATATGAAGATGGCATGGGCCACTCGATTGAAAGATGGAGCAAGCGGCGCCACTTTTTGCTGTGCCTTGGGAGTATGTGCCTTTCGCCCGTCGAGTGTACATACGAATGGTGGCAGTACCGGCCTAGGGCAAGGCTGTTTGATGGTCCAAACGCGGTTTGTGCTTCCTGTTGGCTGTTGCCATTCCCAATGTCGATTAGAGTTGTTGCTGTGGCTGATTTGCTGATAAGTGATGTTTCCAAGTGGGGGGATTCCTAGATGGGGCAGTGCCAATAGAGCAGCATTTGGAGTCCGCTTTGGTACAATACTCCGAGGCGGCAAGCAAGGTCATCACCGGGCATGAGCAGGGAAAAGTCCCAACAAGGACGCCGCAGAGTGACCGGCCGGGTGTATAACGCGGTGGGCTCGCAGGGCTCTGTAATCACCGCCAGGTCTAGATGTAATACAAGTCGCATCAGAAGCTAAATCGACATCATGGACAAGCACTGCCCTGGTTAGCAAGACTCCGTGCCCCTTCACTGGGGATCGGGGAGAACTGGTGGTCTGTAACAACTTACTAATCTAGGTTGAGGTGTAGCTGGTCGAGCGGCGTCGCCATCGGCCGAGACATGCCGGCGGATCAGCCAACTCACACATGGCCAGATTGTAGAATGTGGAGGTCGTCAATAGCCGTGGTGCAATATAAAGTTTTGATCCAGCTGTTTCGGACGCACGTCATCGAGAACAAGAGGCGGTAGATGAAAATTGAAGGAGGATAGTACAAGGAACACACTGTCCGGCTCGAGGGGTGACTCGTGGCATGATTGGGCATGAAACGGGTAGCAGGGATAGTGCCAAGCGTTGAACCGTTCGAATCCAAAGCCGGGTCGGGCGATGAAAGATGACTGGTTCACCGTGGCTAGTTGGCCGCTGTTCCTGGAGCCATGCCCTTTGACCCATGCAGCGGCTGGCACCAGTATCAAGGAGAAGGTGAAGTTGAAATGCTGGTGCTGGTGTAGCCGGATGAATTCGAGGCAGGCCGTGGAAATGCTGTGAGTGGTGGGTTTGTTCAACTTTGTTGGTTCGGCGTTGGTGGGGAAGGCGGCAACCATGCTTCTGCTCCAGGCAAGCAAGGAAAGAGACAAGAGAACATTGACATCGGAGAAAACTCGCAACCTCAATGTCACAGGCCAGCAACCTTCGGAAGGATCTACCATGGAACAGCCTTCGGCATCTTTGGTTGCTCCCCTTCCACAGCCTGGTTAAACCCTACTAGACCACGATCTCAATCCTGTGTGTTTGTCGACGTCGACGCTTTCGGACCACTGATGACCTCATTGAGACAGCTTCACGGGCGACTTCGCTCTGTCCCCGTGTCTCCTCCCATCGTCGCTGATATTGACAATATCTCACAACGTCGGCATTTTTGACGCTGCACATGATGCCATCAACGGGCCTATCCTCAATGTCAGGCGCAAGTGCGGCATCCTATCAACAATGAGACATCGTGGCCAAGGGTTGGGGCACACCAGCCATTATCGACCGAGGGTTATCCGGTGCTTGGCACCACTGGTCTCCGTAGCCTCACGACACCCCAGGACGCCCGCCATTCGACGCTGTCTGCACTCATGTGCCTCTCGTTCGCGTACGTAACTGCACGCCTGGGGTCGATCCCCAGCCATTTGCTGACTGGGCTCACCCCCATCTCCACCAAACTAGCTCGACATTAGTTGCAAATCGCACCCAGTCCGTGTGGTTGTCTTCTCCAATGATTCGGACACGCCCCTCCCGCAACCACCTGGTGGTCGAGAATACACACACACAGAAACAACAAGTCTGGCGGTTTCATGGCCACCAGGCGTGGCTGCAATGCCGAATCGAGACACCTCCATTGGCTGTATCGTACGCATCACTGGAAACTACAGCCTAATGTGCCTATAATCCTCTGGTCACCACGGGCAAGGGAGAAGTAGACGAGGACAGTACATACAGACACCACAAACGGGCCACATGGACTTGTCGCGACAAAACCCTGGATAATGATCTGCAAAGAGTTTCCTGAACAATCTCTCGAAAAAAGAATCCCAGCCTTCATCTGGTCTTCCCCCCTTTAACCTCCCACCATTCAATGCTCCAGTCACTAGTTGGCAGTATCGGTCGATTCAAGTCACGTTGCCTCGGAGTCCATTCCTCTTTGGCTCTGTTTCGCCTGCTTCGCCTGCTTTACAAGCCAACAAAAAGCACGCATCCGCGTCTCGAGCGAATGAAAGAAACGAGCATTGAGAAAAGCCCACAGGTGTTGACGATCATATAATGCTCCGGACATCAAACTACAATCATGATTACTTAAATCCGGGAAGAAGATTGCGCCATGTGGGTCCCGCGTGTCGTTCTCCAAGCGAGCTTTGTCACTTCCCTATCGCGATACTAGCAAGAGCTTGATTACTGACCATCGGTGGGCAGACGGTAGATGCCGGTGAAGTTGATGTGGTGATCCGGCTGTCCCCCGAACTAGAGGTTCCTGCAGCAGTTCGTTCTGTATGTCTTGGGTAATGTGTGCACACTAGGAGGAAGGCGATTACTGGGCAAGGCAAAAAAACACTTAATTGACTAACCAAAGATGCCCTCGTCTCCGCAGTTGGACAAGGTGTAGGCCAGTTTCTCCAACGGCTCCCCTCTCCCCCGGTACCGAAAGAATGAAGTCCCGAAAAACTCGAGCGTTCCGGGGACACAGTCGTTCTCCGCGCCTCCTGAGGTTGGAGGCCAAAACCTGGCTCGCGACAGCAGGATGGAACCAGCTGGCCTGTGTCCAAATACGCTTTGCCCACGATATGTCGGCTCTTGTCCCCACATGCAAGCACAAGCACGGGTTTCCGAGGCGGAGAAGACAAGCGGGCGAGGCGGGCCATCCACACTGTTGGGTGCTGGGAGAGCCAGGCCTAAATCAAGCAGCATTGAGGCCAAATGCCAACGTGGTGTACCGCCAGACTCGCGCCGACCTTGCCTCAATTGGAACCGAGAAGGCAGCTGCAAGGGACTTTGGTTACGCACAGGGCCGTTCTCCGCCTCCGGCAGTCCAGGACTCGCCGTACGCTTATCAGGACTTGGCGGTCCTCGATTCTGGGTGATTTGCCCTGCTGTTGCCGTATCGAAGTCGAAGTCGAGCTCTGTCAAAATGACTCGCATGTGTCCTGCCGCACAAGGCCGTTTCATGATTGCCAAAGGACTTTTGTTCGGCATGGCTGTGCGTAAATAATGCTGGTGCTGGCAAAACGTGCTTCGGGGTACGTCAGCGTCTAATAATAAGTTCCTGGCTCATAGTGTGTGGGATGATATCAAGACGCAGAGGGAACGAACTGCCAAGGCTGTCTATCGGCTGTGAGTCTCTGCCTAGGCCTATTCAGAGACAACTCGACTATGTATAGTGCTTGGTATGGCAGGGCAACTGGGACTCACCCCTGCCAATGTTCAAGGATGTCAAGTGGTGGGAGTTGTTCGGGTTGCAGCGGCTGCATAGTACTACTGTCTGTGCAAGCACTCGGTATACCGCGTAGTGACGTTACAATTGTGCTCACGCGGCGGCGCGCGGCCGTCGGCCGTACATACATGCAATCACGTCACTCGCACAATAGAGCGCCAGGGCCGCGATTGGTGTAGAAAATTCCCATCTGGATTGTGTTGAGGGCTTCGCAGATTCCGGTCTGTGCACACCACAAAGAGGGTTTTGCGACCAGACGCCTTTGGCTACAAGGCGTCAACGGTACCAAGTGATCCCGTGCCGTGTCCCAGGTCGGCCCTGGAGCCCTGCACAGCAGAGCCTCGTGTCCCTCCGAGGGTGGATGTGCTACCGCCTGACTGTTCCCGTGCAAACCCAAATCGCGAGCAACTTCCAAAAGCGAGTGCCCCGACAAAAAGAGTGGTCTACGGAGGTGGCATTACGGAGCTTTGAATATTATACGGGATATCGAGTCATCGACTATCGTGGGGAGTGGATAGCACCGGGCAATTGATGCTTGGCAGTCAATGCAACCAGACACCCAAGGCTTCTTCGATTCAAGCCCCAGCCAAGACTGCAGCTTCAGGTTCCTGCAAGGACTGACCCCCTTCGTAAACCCGCTCCGTCCGGCATCCTGATCCAATTGCCGTACGCCAAGACTGTTGACCGAGGCATGGCCACGGTCTCCCACACCGATATCGATCGATGTCCGACTCGAGCGTCCTCGGGAGGAACCCTCGTCCCTGCCTGACAAGTGATATTTTTATTGTATCGATCCACTTTAGGTAATTGATATCAAACAACGGGACACGCCCATGAATACATGCCTGGGTATGCACATTGTAGAAGTGCCGAGGGGGGCAATAACCGGGGTCCATTCAGACTCCCGGGCCGTCGCCATCAACAGGGCTGGCGGACCTGTCACTCAAGGGGGGTGTATGCCAAGATCACCGAGGTCGAGTAAATACATAAGTACGGAGGGCCTTTTGAAAATCAACGCTGCCAATTTATTACTAAACTACTTGAGCAGTCTGCCCAAGAAATCACAGCGACAAATGCCGCTCGTTGTTCTTGTGTCCACTGGAGCAACTTTCGAACGCCGAACGGGCCCTGCATCTCGCTTCCATGGCACCGTCCAAACCTGATCCTATCAGGGGAAGGAAGCCCAGTCAACGCCCGCATTACAGTACATGAAAGGTGAAAAAGAAAGGGGCGGGATAAAAGGAGATAGGGGGTCGACGACACAGGCCGTTCACATCCGTATCCCCCTTGCGATTCAAATGGCAGCAACGTAATGGCAAATGCAGAAGCCTTGACGGCTACAATCTCCCTTGGGCACGCATCCCATCCAAATATGCCCCTTGAAAAACGGGGACGGCTGGTGAATCACTACGCCTTGGGGCCAGCGTTTGTGTTTGACCGGCTGGCATTGTGCCAAGGCTGGAGGCAGCGGCCGAGCTGGGAGGCTGATCCTCAGGAGCCGCATCTGCCTGCTGGCCCTTGACGGTTCGAGATGCATCTCGGACGATGATCAAGTCGTGCTTCTGAGCCAGGAGCAAGTTGTCGAGTTTAGCCAGCTTCTCTGCTTTGTATTTGTTGTGGTTTGGGTCTGGGGATATTTCCGCTTGATCTTCCATGACGCTGTCGTGCTGCTCTTCTTGCTGTTCCTGTCCCCCTGTTTGTTGTTCGGGTTCCGAATCTTGCATGGGAAAATCATCCAGGCGGGAGACTTGAGGCTGCTCTTCTTGGAGTCCCGACATGGACTCGTCTTCGTCATATGTATCGTATGAATCGCTATCATCAAAGTCCTCCTCTCCGTATAGTAATTCGAGAGTTGTCGATGCATAATCCCGCAGCCATTTTTCAGCCCGTTGAATTTCAAGGACCTGGCTCTTGCGCGCCTTTTGCAGCCTAGCTTCTACAAAATCAATTCTTTCTTCAGTGTTCTGGACAAGAAAGTTCCATGTTTCCTCGCTCAAGTTTCCGTCATCTGCCAGCCTCCTCATCTTTGCGGCCCACGTGTTGAAACGCTCATCGTCTTCGGCCTTGTATCGACGACGGAGGCATTCTTCGCATGACCATCTACACTTGGCTTGCACAAGAACATGCTGGAGCTTCCGGGGGCAGATGGACTGCAGATCGCATCTATAAGTCGTGCAACGAAGCTTGTAAAGCTTGTGGTGCTGACATGCAAGATAGTGCAGCGTGGCGATGCAGCACGGCATCTTGCCCGTCTGACTACTTGCCAGTTGACCGTGGTTCTGCCTTATCCAAATGGGCAATAAAATGTCGATGCTTGTAGTGCTGGAGATGATATCAAACACGACCGCGGAGCCTGTGCTAGAGTAGCTGGGGGTTATGCCCGGTGTAGGGATGACGATTTTTTCACCAAACAGTAGCCAAAATGTACAAGTCGCGTCGTGCTGTGCCAAGGTGCCTGCAGAGAGATGTAGTTTGAATTACCTGGCAGAAATGTTGGTAATGTCTGTTGTCTGTGGACGGGTATGTCTGATAAAAATAAAAGAAAGAATGATTATTTGATGTCTCCCACACGAACGAGAGGGCCGAAACAGAGAGATTAATATCGACGGCAGCCACAAGGACCAAAAGAGCCGCACAAAATGGGAAAATGGGCACGCGCCCAAAAAAAGCCCTTTTCGAAGGGGCATAACATCGTTCTCCCTCGGGCCATCTGCCACTGCGCCATGGTTGGCGACTGCCTCATGGGCGCTATTAACATTTGTGGCTATTCCTCATTGACGCTCGCTACCGTTAGGTCTGCACGCCGAAATCCCACGACGGGCAAGTCTCAAGTTTGTCGCGCGTTTCGACGCTACAGCGGTCGAATCTATTGCGCATTTACGCATCGCTGGATGGAGTCGTGGCGTCGTGTTCGGCCAATGCCTCGTTGGGCCATTGTTGTCGGTCAAAGTATATACTTCGAGGTTTGTCCACATGGGGCCTAATCGTCTGCCACAATGGGTAGTCCAACTGCTCAGGCGTGTGTACAATCGTTCGCTGTTCCAGTTAAGCGTAAATAAATTACTTCATTACGACTGTCTTTTCCTTGTTGACCTATCCAACTCATTGAGCAAGCATTACATTAGGTAGGGCTCGGTGACGGCAACACAATATGCCTGGCTGTACCCAAGCCAGAGAACGACCGTAAAAGCCAAAACGTAATATAGAGATACTTCATAGTCTGCTCTTTATGGAAATTTGCTCAGGCTTGGAAGTCACAATGGTCCCAGGCAGATCTGTTCGAGAAGCAGACGTGGCCCCCGGCGGCAGTCGAGCAGCCTACGTGCATTGGGATGCGTGAAGTGTAGGCAAAGGTGCCAAGAAGTACGTGTCGAGTATATTTCCCTAGTTCCAGCATCGCTCCTGAGCGGTACAAAGTCAAATTTTGCACAGTATACTTCCCACGCAAGGTCGCAACGCCTACAAACCCCCCCCTTTATCATGCAGTAGATATTCTTGGAGGCGAAAATACAATCCAACACACGAGTCCACTTCCTGCAGACGTGGCGTCTATCGTGATTCATTTGCGGAGAGGGGCGTAAGGGCGCGTCTGGCCAAGTCGGGGCTTATACTCCTGGAGCAAAGCGTCTGCGCAGCCAGCTTTCTGTAGCCGTCAAAGCTAGACGGTGTTGCGCCACTGCCAATGCTGATGGACGTACCACTCGGCTGTTTTTCGTTGGAAACCAACCCCTTTGTTTGGACAAAAGCGCTGGAACGGACGTGGTAGGGGTCACGTTCGTAGTACTTGTCAAGGATGGGGTGTGTCATGACTGTTTGGCGGTGGATGGTGAGGATGGAGTTTGTAGGGACGTTTACCCAGTTTTCTGGCCATGTTAGCTGTATGACACCATCAATGGTTGCGTCCATTACAGTGTATTACCTCGTTCAAAAGTTAGCGGCTCACTAGCGACGAGCACAATATCGGCTCCCTTGTCCTTCCGCTCCATCTGATACTGCCGGTCATTCGGATCAGATGTCCTCGTGGCCCACTGTGTCCCCGACGAATAGTACAAGCTGGCGGCTTCGTCCTTGGAGCTGCTTATGTATCGCGTGCAAATGACGCTGTGGCCATCCGTCACAGCAAAGTTGAGCAAACTCCTGGTGTCAACATCTTCGCTTTGCAAGACGTCCTGGGGGATCGAATCCGTCAACTCGTTGATCTGGGCAATGGTCTGCTCGACGGCTTTACGCAGGACGGTCGGTCCAAAGCCGTTTTCGGGCGACGAGCTAGGGTTATGACCAAGCCGTTCGAGAGTATCGAGGAATAAGGCAAATGCCCACTCGCTATCTGTACCGCCCTTTACTTCGAGATACCACTTATCCGCTAGTCGGTCGCCGAGTTTTCTCTTGATGTATTTCCAGCCGCCGAGACCACCATTGTGCATCCACATTAAACTGGCGTGTGTAAAGGGGTGGCAGTTATCCTCACTCAAGGAGCCTTCGGTCGTGGCGCGTACATGGCCAAATATGAGGCGTGATGCCGTCTTGGATGCTATTCGCTGCAGATTTGTGCAGTTCCACGCCGGAATGGTGGATGTGAAGAGACAAGGCGCAGCGCCGAGTTTTGGATCTGTGTAGAAGCCTATGCCGAAGCCGTCTGCATTGTTTTGACCCCTACGAGTGTCCTGGCCATGGTCAGTAATGGGATTGAGGACGTGCAACCTGGGACGGGGTGGCGTACCAGACGTAGGCGGGAGTCAAAGGACTGCTTTAATATAGAATGTGTCGGGTCGAGAATCAGTTTCGAGAGGAGAATCTCGTCGCTACCTTTGTACACCTGTTTGGTTCGCGGATTCCCTTGTCAGTTCCCATGTCCGACGTCGGAGGAGAAGCCGCGAAGATGCGGCCTTTGCCTTACCAAGAAACGGCACATGTTGTGCCGGAGCTGCGATGCACAGTCACAGATAACAGGCTAAATAGACAAGGCGAGATGAGAATGGTGGCAGTCCATGAAAAAAAGATGGAGGAGGAAACGATCTCGGATGGATGAAAGAAACAGTTATCTGGCGGTGGGAGAGTCAGCGATCTGGCCAAAAGGTCTGGTAGCTGATTGTGAATCAGGTTTGTAAATGGCACCATACTTCAGAGCCTTGGGGCTTTGTGCTGGGGTGCCACTGTGGCTTTGCGACTCAAGTGCTGGGATTGGTGGATCGGACCAGCTGCTGAAATTGGCGTAAATAATTACAATTTTCAATGTTAACAGCCGGCATACTTTATTCGGTGGGCAACGGCGAACTTCCTAGAGGTCATGGGGCAGCTCTCTGGGTAAATCGTCTGCGAGAAAGATTGTTCTTCACAAAGGATCAAGTTATTGAGGGATGTGTTGAGGAGATCAATCACCCGCCTGTGGCTGAAGCTCCAGTCATCAACTGCCGATTTACGGCCCAGCACTCCGTACGGAGCGCTGTAATGTGTAGTTGCTTGGAATCGGCGTGTGACGTCAAGTCTGGTGCTTGCAGCTCCTCTCCGTAGGGGGTCTTGGATGTGGCTTAGGCGCGAGACTCGCCTGTAAACACAGTGACTGCCGTTGGTGAACGTCCATCCCCTGCTAATTGCGGGTTGACGCGAGATTCATTTACACGGTCCGCGTCTTCTGACCGCGTCTCGCCTGACATCTCCACCCCCAGCCTCAACCATGGATCCTTGAATCCTGAACAAAACCGACCCTGTTGCAGGTTCTCCCTCCTCAACTTCTTTCGTATCCTTTACTTCTAAAAAAAACCATGAAATCGTCTACTCTAGAGCCTTTGTGTTAATTTATAATTCCTTCACCCTCAATCCGACAGTTCGATTCAATATCATAATCGCCCAGTTTAACCGAGCTCGTCACGAGCAGAATGCGTAACCATGGCTCTTCTGCCCCCGACGTATTGCCCTCGAGTCCCCCGACCATGAGCTCTTCTCCGGCAAACCCTTTTCTATCACCAACCAGAACGGGTCGTCGCAAGGAGAGACGGAATCCGTCCGTCACACCTAGAAGGTTTGGCCGCTTCTTCACGCCTCGATCAAACTTGCCACCCGAAAGCCGAGCTGCTCTACGAAGTCTTGATGCATCCGCTACCAACTGTCAACTTATTTCACCCCAATCACTCGCCAGTGATGTCCTCAGCTCGGACCCTATATGTCCTTCGTCACCAACTGAGGCTTTGGGGCAAGTGGATGGCGCAGGAGAGAAAAGAAAACGACTTGATCACTGTCAAGTTGTCCGAAAACGGCGACGGGGCTTGATTGATGAGGACTCGACTCCTCCACCACTCCAATTTCCAGGAAGAAGCTTCCACATGTCACGGGATGGCGATGTGCAAATGGTAGAAGCTCGTTCAGATACAAGAGAAGGCTTAGATGACAGGCGGCGAGCCACTTTGGTGGGTGTCCGGTACCAGTGGCTGATTTTATTTGAAGCATGCTAACCGCCAGGTAAGAGTCACTTCTTTAAAGCTAGTCGCAGTGGAAGTATCACCGGCACGGAAGAAAAGCCATTTCCTGCTGCCCCTTGCATTCAATCGTCTGAACCGAGAACAAACCTGGTATGTCTGAAAACGCACGTACCTTTGATATATTTCCTAAGATGCCATAGACACTCGAAGGCTATCGACCAAAGCCCATTCGCAAATTTCGAGGCCGTGGGTTTGAAGCTCAGCTACTGGACCGAGAGCACGGATTTGCTTCTCACTCTGGCAAGCAATATCTCAACTTTCCGGCTGGCGACCCTAGGGCACTCACGGCTCCCTTTTATAGCAAAAGTTATGACACGCACCACTGTACCTCATATACTAGTCAAGGAAATACGATCCCCTTTAGCCTTGCAAGCTGTCACAATGCTCCTGTGACCGTCATTGGCGATGAGCAAGGCTTTGTGCGGCTGTTCAATACCACTACTGCTGATGGGCCTGTCGACTCCAAGGTAGATGCCCATATCAAAGTCCACGATAATGCAATTATGGATTTGGACTTGTCCACGGATGATTTCCGACTGGCAACAGCTTGTGGAGATCGGACCGGCAAAATCGTCGACGTGGTCACACAGTCCGTCGCAGTTGAACTGGCCGGTGGACACTGGGATTCCCTCCGACAAGTTGCCTTCCAGCCCGGCACCGCCAACGGCACCGCTCTCGCTACATCAGATCGAGCTGGCCGTGTCCAAATATGGGATTTGCGTTGTTCGCAAGTACCAATACATTGCTTCTCAACAGCCAACCCCAACGGCACCGGTAACCGTGACACCACCCTCGACCCCATCACTGCTAGAACAATCAACACCATCGACAATGCCCACGAACGCAGAGTACAGGGCATAACATCTGTAGCCTCCGTCACCGCCATACAATGGCTCCCCCCCGGCAGGGAACACCTCCTCCTCACTGCCTCCGAGGCCAATGCCTCCATCAAACTCTGGGACACGCGATACATCAAGCCGCGCCGTCAAAATGAGGAGACACCCCTCGCCATAACGCCGCAGCCCATGTCCCACGCATGGCGGTCCTACGGCATCACATCCCTGGCCCTCAGCACCGACGCCTCCCGCCTTTATGCCGTCTGCAAAGACAGCACCGTATACGCATACTCTACAACACACTTGATGCTCGGTCACGCCCCTGAACTTGACAATTTTGCACCCAAACGCAGGCCGACCGGGACAGAGGGGCTGGGCCCTCTGTACGGCTTGAAGCACGACCAGTTCCGGGCCTCGTCCTTTTACGTCAAGTGTGCCCTGCGTCACCGCACCCCCATGAACAACTACCAGCATGAACTCCTGGCCGTCGGCAGCACCGACAGCTGCGCGGTGCTCTTCCCCACCGACGAGGGCTACCTGTACTCGAGCTGCGCTAAACACGCACATGACCTCGAGAGAAGCACGAGTACCAGCGCGCTTACACCCTTGCAATCCTTCTCCGCAAACACGCCGGCGTCGGCGGGCACGGGGCCGTCATCATCGCCTATTCCTATCTTTCGCGTGGGCACGCCCCTAGTGCGCGGGCATTCCCGTGAGGTGACGAACCTGAACTGGTCGCACGACGGGAAGCTGGTGACCGCCTCGGACGACTACTTTGTTCGGCAGTGGCAGGCGAATGAGGCTGAGGCAAGACATCTCAGGCAGGTGGGTGAGTTTGGGGGCGAGCGACACATGGCTGGATGGGCGGAGGTAGGACCTACTTGGGACGATGATGAAGCATAATGACTTTACGCACATCGTGATTTTACCATGGCGCTGGAATAGCATACAGGAGCATAGCAACAATGATATTTTGGCAAGTTTACAAAACGATATTTCCAAGGTTCTATTTCGACATTAAAAAAGCATGAAAAATGGTGTTTGCATGCAAAGCTATCATCTACTACCGTAATGCTACTCTGTACACTAGGAACTTTGAAGGTCACCCCGACTCTCCAGCCCATCATGCTGTGAAACCTCAGCCGCCATCGCCAGATTTAACGATCCTACCCCAAATATACCCCAATGCTGACGCTCGCTTGACTATCACCGGAAACGAGGCCGAAATACTTCGGCTGGGCGAGAAGGGGGGGGACGCCACAAATGCCGCCATCGTGTGCTCGTGCCTGCTTATGTACATGGAGTCCCCTGGCCAGGAGGGAAAAAAAAGCAATGAAAGGATGCGGCTTGTGCCACCAAGCCCGATGACAAGAATCCGCCGTGCCCAGCCCCGTAGACTGGGGCGCCGGCTTTTAACGACAGGCATTCGAGAAGGATCATTTGTCTACAACTCCAACGATGCGGCCCGGCGACCCGAGCAGAGGACCCCAACGACGATGATGCCGATTGCGACCCCCAATACCCAATTCGCGACGTGTTCTCGACGAAGGCGCTTCGAGGCCATCTTGAGGCTTTCGGTCACGTCTGCCGTCGAGTCCGCCACGCCGCCGAGGTCGCTTCGTGCGGGGTGAGGGAGTGTCTTTTCGAATCTCACGGATTTGGACGACGCGGGGCCGAGTTCCATGTCGGTGGTGGAGGGTATGGTTGGGTGATTATGCGGTTCGGAGGGGAGTGCCTCCTCGGGCATGTCGGCCGCGTGCGTTTTGCTCTCCCCTGATTTGGGGTCGTCTTCGCGGTCGCTGCCGCTGCCGCTTGACATGCCTGACATTCGGTTCGACGATCTCCTTGCACTGCGTTCTTTTGCGACATCCACGCTATCCCGGAAGCGTGGGAGTATCAAGGGGTGTTTGATGGTGGTGGCGGCAGATTCGACAGAGGTTGGGCTGTCAGCAGGTGGTTTGATCGGGCCTGCGGCCACGACAGTGTCCAGCTGAGCGACTACGAGGACCAGGTTTTCGAATATGCAACTCGCCTCCTGCACAATGTCGTGCTTTTCCTGATAGCTGAGCGTTGCGTCGCAGTCTGCGAGCTTCTGCTTGTAGTCTCGCTTCAAGTCTTCGCCGTCTTCGGGGGTGTCAAAGTGGAAGAAGCGAAGCGGCAGGCGGCCGTGGTAGCGGCGAGTCGATGTCTCGGTTGTATGACTTTGTGTGCTGTCCGCAGAATCGTCTTGGATTGGCCGTGAGGGTGCTGGCATTGCAGAAGAAGCTGTCGTATCCCAAAAATCGTTGCCCGCAGACTCAAGCGTGGCCCGTATAAATCGCCCTCCGGCAAAGAGCGCCATGTACATGATGTACGAGTAGGCGAGCAGAACATGAGGCTTGTTCCTGATGGCGCGCTTGATGTGGCTGACGACTTCCGCGAGATGGCCTGTTTTGCTAATCATTTCGAGCTGTTCCCTCGTCGCGGCATCCGTCCATCCCGTCATGGACTGAATATCCGCAACGAGCCGGTCCGCGCGCATCAAGCCAGGAATGTGTAATACATTCAAAATTTCTCGCAGTCCATCCGAAACAAGCGGTTTACTAGGCTTTGATCCGCCCCAGTCATCTCGGCTATACTCGCCATACTCCAGAGAACTCTGGGCAATACCGCTCCATAATGACTCGAATGTCGTATAAATAGGGGCGATGTGCAGTAAGCCAGAAGCATATACAAACGGATCCCCTGCCTGTGGCGGCAAAGCCAGTGGAAGTCTTTCAATAATCAGCTTGTTAAGTCTGGCGTGAATACTTCGCGTGGCGACAGCTATCGACTCGGCCAGCGGTCGATCCCGGCGAAACGAATCTAGAGGAATGGATGCCATGGCGTTTTCTTTATTCCGGGGTGTAAGATATGTTTCTATAATAAAGAAAACAAGGGAATTTTTCGAAAGCGAAGAGGCTATTTTGCAACTTGGAATTCTTCGTCTTAGGTTCGTTTGGCGGCAGAAGGGAACATAGGCACGAACGAGTTGAAGAGAGTTCAAATTGCCTGATAGATGCAGAATGGCCCGAGTCGGGGCATGGAGTGGCGAAAACGGTAGTAACTACCCAGTCGAGCCCAACTTTGCTCGGATTTCTCCAATACAGTCTGTCAAGCACTTCCGAAGAGCACTCCAGTCTCCCAACGTATAAAAATATCTACTTTGTGAAACTTTGGTCGCCATCCACCAAGAATGTCCTTGATTTATCAATAGGTAGCAAGAGCCCATGCGCTGGAGAAGGTTGCTGACGCAGACCAGTTTTGTCCGTTCAGTTCCTCTCAAGTTGGGTGCAACGTCGAATCTGTTTTGCGTTTGCTATTTTACATTATTTCTTTCTGTTCCTCACTGGCCTGTCAGATAAAAGGTCCAACTTGGCGACATTGACACTCGGCACTGTCAAACGAGGCAGTGGTAACACATTGTGATGCTGCGTTGTATAGATCGACGTCGTAGTACAGCCATGAAACTCAGACCACGAGAAACCGCAGCTGAAGCAGCGAATATGAACAGCGGCAGGTTGGCCTCGATGTTCAGAGTTGGCGACTTGAACAACGGGAAAATATCATCATCTGTCACCGGGCTCGACCGCTGCGCTGGTCTGTGTTGAAATCGCCTCAGCTTTAATACCTGGGGCCCAGAAACGAAGTTGACTTGACCAGGGTTTGCTCGGGAGTCGGGCCCGTACTGCGTTCAATGTTCGCTACCGATTTGCGGATCTTGAATAGCCGCAGACAGCAAAGGCGTCTTGAGTGCCAAGAGTCGGTATTGGTGGAGTTGGCAGGATAGAGAAGCAGGAGAGGCAGGAGAGGTAGCACTCGTATAAAACATGGAGAGTCGGATGGAAATCACAGAATGCCATGAATGTCTGCAAATCCCATTTTTGTTCCTGTTAATGCCGCCCACTTTTACGGACCTGAGGCTCCGCAGATCGAGGAATTCGCGCGCCATCGGGGAGACTAAGCGTCCATGCCTGGTCCTCCTCCACTTGCACTGTCTGCTAGGCATTTGTAATTTGGGTACGCTATGCGATCTAACAATAATAACAAGAATAAAGACGTTGCGGCCCAAAAGAAAAAAGATGGACATTAGTACTCTCCCTTGCAAGATCCGCTCAGCGACAAACCAGTACGACCTCACTTGGTGAGCGTGGGGCAGGGCGCTGGGGTCGTCGGCGATGAATCCGAATGGGTCATTTGGCGGTCCACTGCAACTGCCAGACGTGGTCACCGCATAAATTCTCGTGCCTGGCATCCTTGGCCGGCCGCCGGCAGCTGGTTTCCAAGGCTCTGGTCATGGCAGAATGCAGTCTGCGAGACATTCGCCGTCGTCGAAATCGTCATAATTACGCAAGCGCTATCTTGAAGCCCCTATGCTTGTTTATACCGTTCACCGTTCCGCCCGACCATTCTCCTCGTTGTCCCCATTTTCCATGCTCTCATTATTGATAAAGACAAATGACATGAATACCACCACTGCGCCGATCCAATACATAAAGCTTGAGTACTGTCCGTATTGTATCATCTCCCCGATCAAAGACAAGGGGATGGTGAGAGAAAGCCCAACAGTCACGACCAGCGGAGTGGTTAAGAGCATAGCAAACGCCCAAGCGATGTCACTGACAAATGAGGCCAGCGAGTTGACCTGAGCATTATCAGTCCTGAACATGTCTCAGTCCACGAGGGGTCAACTTACAATAATAATCATCCAAATGTTGCCAGATGGGGGCATTTCAAACTAAACCCAGCGTCAGTCGGCGAGCATTCATAGTGAGAGGTAAGCAGACTCACAGGCTCGATATTGGTCCAATGCAAGATGAAAAATAAAGGCCACAACAAGACAAGATTAAACACGCCCACCAAGCCAAAGAAGAGCCGCATATCGACTTTTTCCTCGTTACCCACCCGCCTCTTCATCACCGTAATATACATGCCGTAAATCACGGCACTGAGGAGCGCCATTGAATCACCAACGGCAATCTGTCCAGTTGTCTTGTGCGGGAAGGATCCTCTGTTCTCGTCGCTCTTCCCAGTCAAATCAACAGTCGAAATCAACACTACGCCAACAAGTGAGGCCAAGACGCCAATGAGTTTCCGCACGGAGAATGGGTCGACGCGGAGTAATGCGCAAAAGACCAATGTCCACACGCTGCTTGTGGACGTGAGAATCGTAACGCTCGCCACGCTAGTGTACTCTAAACACGCCGATGCAAAGTAGTTGGCAGAGAACCAAAGCATGCAAAATTCCAAACTGAGAATCGCTGTTTCGCGCAAGCTTAGTTTTTCGTCGAGTCTGGGGATGGCCTCTACAGCCGTCTCGCTGCCCGCCATCAATCTCTCATTGTCGAGGTCGTCGTCCTCTGTCGCGGCTTTCGTATATGAGCTCTGTTGTCTGTATTCTGTCCACATTTGAATCAAGTCGTGGCGCATGCCCCGTACGCCGTTCCTGAGCAAGTATTTCGTAAACATTGGTACCAATGAGATCGCAAAGATGGAGGTGTTTATGTAGACGAGGAAGAATGGCTTGTCGTATGTGTGGTCGGAAAAGATGAACTGCGGCCGGTTAGCCCTGTTTGAAACGAGACGAGTCCAAGGATGGCCTACTCACGCTCGCAAGAAAATTGGACAATGTCCATAGGAAAACCGTCACCAGTAGCAAACAGATGCCCAGTGTCCTTCTAGCCACGCCTCCCAGGCCCATATGAGCCAAAAGTGCAGGCCGTTTCGTCGGCAACGGCGACTGCGACCCCAGCGAATCCGTCGACGTTATCATTTCGACCGCCTCACCCCTATGGCCGCTGGGCAAGCGCCTATGACTCGCGTCGGCTGCATCAGCGGAGCTATCGAAGGCGTCTTCGCCAACATGTCGTAGGTTTGAAGTCGCCATGGTAGTTCATTTGGCGGCGGCAGCGATAACGACTGGCGACAACGACGCTGAGGCGTTTTTGAGGATGATGTACTCCGTAGTGCCGGGCGGGAAAAAGGAGGCACAAGGTCACATGTGTAACGGTGGCACAAGGCCAAGGGCGCAATTAAAACTGAATGGCAACTGCAAATAGAAACGAATGAAGCGAAAAAGATATTCTATTTCGGTCGGAAAGCTCTGTATTCCAGGTCGGGCTGCATGAGGGAAACTTGACTTGGAGAATGCAAAAGGGTCTGATCCAAATGGAGATGGAGATGGAGATTAAACTCCAATGTCGGGCGCCATGGGCACATGCAGTTGTTCTATTTTTCCGACGGCCAAGTCAAGTCAAGTCAGGTCTGGTGCCGTTATTGGATTTGAGAGCGCTGTCATTCGCTGGGAGGGTGCCCGGGACCCTGGACGTTCGGGGGTTAAGCGGCGGGCCAAGGCACCAGCAACTTCCCGCGGCAGCCGGGTTAGCCATCAATCAATCGTTGGGCCAATGACGGGCGCTCAGGTGTGTCCATGTCTGGACAAGATCCGAATCTGCCCAGCTGCTTCGCGCAGAGCCCAAGACAGAGTCCAAGACACAAGGTCCACCGAGGCTGCGGTCAAGCTGGGCGTGCTTTCTCTGAGCAGTGCCATGGTGTGATTCTTTTGAGATATACCCACAGGGCAAGATGGCTCACGTATTCATAATAACCTAATCACGGCACAAGTAGGTTAGTACCACCAATGCCAAGGCGTTCGGAGCAACTGCAGACTGTGACTATATTTAGCAATAGGGCCAAACCTGATCATTAGACACCAGCTGCAATACGGCTTGCCAAGTTCATGGTATACAAAGTACAGCCCTGGACATTACTCAGGTTTCTGCAAACTTAGGCCTGCTTCAAATGTATGTAAACTTAACTTGTCCCATAGGTTCAGTCACTAGAACCACAGCGTATGTGCTCTGAGACAGAGACGATTACATGGCTTTCACTTGGCGATGCACGCCTTTTACTATTGTATGTGTTAACTGACGAGTATCACACCTTTACAACCATGGCATCAACATCCAAGCCCTTGCCTTCCACCAAAACACCAGCCTTTCTAAGCACACTCACACAATTTCGCACAACCTCATCCTTCACGCCCTCCGTGTGAGCCGGGAACTTGACCGTCTTTAGCCACTCCCTTGCATCCGGCTCCGTGTACCCCAGCTCCGTAGAAATATACTCGACTGCCTCGTCTTGATTCTCGTTAAAGTGCTTGATGCCCTGGTCAAGCTTCTCAAACAGCGTCTTCACCCGCGCATCCCCGCTCTTGGTCAACTTGGTAGACGCAACAATCTTCCAGCTGCTCCATGGAGTGTAGATTTCACCAACGCGGCGAATCTCACCAGCGTCGTAGTACTTCTTGGACGTAAAATGCTCCCACATGAAAAAGTCGGCCTCGCCAGAGTTGACTGCGTTGCGGAGGTTCTCGAAATTATGCAGGACAACCGTGTCGGAAAAGTGAGTCTTGTCGGCAAGCCAGCCTTGCTGGTCGGCGAGGACAAAGCCCATCACGTAGGACCCAGAGCCGATGCGGGACACGCCGATTTTGCCGCCTTTTAGAGACGCCACGGATGTGATTTCCGGGCGTTCAGCCCCCGTCGAGATGGCCCAGCCTGCAAGTAGGTGAGTTTAGCTGCGTGTTAGCGGCGTTGGCCCATGTACAGGAGGGTCAATCCTTCTTGAGGCATCACATACAAAGCGGAGTGTCGACATATGTGCCAACAAGACGATATCCTCCGTCGCCTTCAATTCCTTCTTTGCCGAGTCCCGCAATCCATCCCTCCGTCAGGCCGATGCCGATGTCAATCTCTCCTGCACGGATGGCGGTGATCATGTGTCCAGTGCCGGAGGGGAAGGGTATCAGTGTGGCATCGAGACCGTAGTGTTTCTGAGCAAAGTGGATGGGCGTTGAAAAGTGCTCCGGCACAAAGCCGATTCGCAGACCTTCTGACGACATTTTGACGTCTGGGTTGGGAATGCCTGATTGAGTCGGTGATGTGAGAGATTATTCCTGATGGTGGGGAGAGGGGGGAGTGCGGCAATTGCAACAGTACTAGTCGTGAAGCAGACTGGAGATTCAATGCTCCATTTTCAGTTGACCCAGAATTTGCGAACAGACACGAGCAGACCCAAGGTGCCGTTATTCAAATGATTCCGGCATAGGTTTATTAAAGGTAGTTAATCTCATCATAAATATGCGTCAATATAGGGTACTCGAGTGTATTTCCACGTGTGTGGTTCAGCCCAACGTCAAGCAAGTCACCACCAATCGAGAGATGCCGGTTTGCCTGCTGCCAAGTATACGCTAACGTGCTATCGTATGGTACAGTCTGGCTCGCGATAGCAAAGTACTTTGGCCCATGGAATAGTTTTCGTCTCGGTGTCGCCCCCACCACAAGTTAAATCCGAGACGTAATCCGCAACAGTCTCGTGCCAAGGGGCAATAACTCCGTTCGTAATCCACGTAATCAATCAATCGGGTTCAGTGTTGGGAATACGATGAACAGATGGAATGCTAGGGCTGAAGGTGGCGTAGCGCCACCGCAGACGTGATGAGTGTATGGCTCTTATCCCTCATGGCTCTTTCCCGTGATAGAAATTAATCTTCAGCTGAACAGCTCAACAGCTCAACTCAAAACCTTAAATTTGGCATCAAGCATCTCGCGCTTCTGGGAGAGCATCTTGAACCTTGAGCCGCTTCCATGTCTCGATTGCATTACTTTGAAATCCAGCAAAACACTTGCACACGCTTTGCGAACCCCCTCATCCATAAATTTTCAGCAAAACCCGCACCCAGAAAGAGGCACCATGTCCGAGGTCGAGCTTGAATCAGAAATGGAGTGGGAAGAGGACGCTCCGTTCCTCACCCATGATGAACGGGAGCAAGCAGATGCTGGCATTGAGCCAGAAACAACGCCCACTCATGAACAACCCGATGAGCCGTTACCAACGAGACCTCTTATCAGGGCTGCGCCATGGCAAGCCAAGACACCCGGAACCATTGTGTTTCTTGCCGCTGTTATGAAGTTTTGTATCACATCCAGTGGCATGCTGCTTCTTATCCCCGTATATCGACTGATTGAAGATGCGCTGTGTCATGTACATTATGAGGACGACTCATACGATATTATTGACGAGATGAAATGCAAAGTAGATGACGTGCAGTCCCAGCTGGCGTCTCTGATCGGGTGGTGCGGCTTGTTTAATTCCGTCATGAGTGCGTCTAGACGCTCGTACCGTACACACTACAAATGCAGAACGCTGACGCTGTTTAGCATTGCTGGTCACTTTCCCTTACGGCATGTTGGCTGACCGTATCGGCCGCAAGCCCACGGCTGTCCTTGCTTATGTTGGTCTTGCCATTTCATTCAGTTTCACGCCGCTCATGTTTGGCGTATTCCAAGACACCCTTCGTCGAAATCCGTATATTATCATGACGGGTTCGCTCTGGGCGTTGCTAGGCGGCGGTGTACCGGTCTTGCTCAATACCTTGTACGCTGTTGCTGCCGATGTCAGCACCGAGCAACAAAAGTACGTGTATTCACGGGCGACACGCATGGCTCACCCTTCCTGTTCCGTCGCGACAACAAACACTGACAATCCAGTACAGGGCGGCTAGCTTCTTATATCTCACCTTTGGGGCTACTCTTGGCGGCCTCATCGGCCCTCTACTTGCTGGTGTTTTAATGACCAACTTCGGGCCGTGGGTGCCAGTCTACGTTGCCTTGACTGTCACGCCATTTATGCTTTGCATCTTCTTTTTCATCCCAGAGACCTTGAATGTGGAGACGAGAGCAAAGAGGAACAAGGACCAAACATTCGCCCAAGCCTTCAAAGAGCATGTCGGCAAGGGTCTGGATGATCTGATGCACTCTGTGGACATGATTAAGAATATCAACATACCCCTTTTACTGCTCACCTTCTTCTTTCAGTCGGCCAGATTCGCGGCATATACTTCGGTATTGGCGCAGTATATTAGCAAACACTTTGGATGGAAGCTTGCAGAGACAAGTTTGCTCTTGTCACCGCTGGGCGTCCTCAACCTCATTATTCTGGTCGCATTACCCAAGGTCTCGGAGATTCTGGTGTCACGTCGATTCAAGTTCACAGTATTCGGGAAAGACTTGTTCCTCACCCAAGTATCGACGTTTCTCATTATTCTTGGCGCCCTCATCGAAGCCTTTAGCCAAAATGTAATCCTCTTTCTTTTCGGATTGTTCATTGGGACATTTGGTGCTGCCGATAGCCCACTCGCTCGAGCCACGGTGTCGCACTATGTTGATGCCAAGTCTATCTCGAAACTGTACGCCCTCATTGGAATGATGGAAGTATCGGGTTCATTCATTGCCGGCCCGGTGCTGGCGAAGCTGTTTAATATCGGGCTAGAACGCAGGGGTATTTTTATCGGCCTGCCTTGGTTCTATATGGCGTTCTTGTGCGGTATTGCATTCATGGCGCTGCTATTTGTCCGACCGCCTCCCGGTAACAAGAGTGCAGGTGATGAAACCTTTTGTCGCGAACCTGGAGTTGTGAATGAATCGGCGACGGAAGACCCGTTGTGTCCGGAGTGACGGATGAAAATGAACGAATTCACACGATTTATGCACAAAGATATAGAAAGGGTGGCTCTTGTTTATTTTTCTATTTTAGATAAGCATTAGATAGGGTACGGTCCACGATATACCAATATAGAGGGCATTCGATGCCAAGACTCATACTTATACGCGTATAGTCAACCTGAAAGGTGATTTGGGTCAAACCCGTGCGCACCGAACATGTGTAGTTTCACCTGCGACATGCACAGAGCCCATGGAGAGCGAAGAGTCAAGGTTGGCTAGGTTTGCAAAGTATCCTTTGCCGATTGCATATACAATACAAGTCTCAGTGACTATACATATACATCATACATGTACCCCCGTCTTGCCGATCAGATAGTAAAGGCAGAATAGCCCTGCAACGCACCAATGGCCCCAACAGCTACAGCATTGCTCGTCACCCCATTCTTGGCGTACCACCAGCCGCTCGCCCACATGATGGCAATCATGGCCCCGGCAACGGCCTTTTGCACGGGATCCCGCAGGAGCGCCGGGTTCTTGGACCAGGCATAGTTGATGAGGGCTGGGAAGGGAGGGGGCGCAAGATGTCAGCAAAGGAGCTCAGTGCATGGGGGAGCGAGTCGTGGACGTGCCGTTCATGATGAAGAAGCCGCTTCCCTGGTACCAGCCTGCTTTTGCGCAGGCATAGGCGAGGCGCGGGAGGGTTTGGAACTTTGCGTTTTCCTGCCAGTCCTTGGCGGATGCCTGTCACGGGTGAGTATGTACTTGTGGATGGGCGCCGGGGGCTGGCGTTGGCTGATGACGTACGGTGTGGCCCAGCGAGATGAGCAGCCATCCCACCGAGGTGACTTGGAGCGCTTTGGACATGTTGGCCGTATTTTGAAGGGAAGTGGATGAGGTGAGCGGGATGAGATTTTTGCAGAGGTTGACGGATGATGCTTGTGTATGGAGATGGGGGATGGTGTTTATGAGTGGCGCGCGACCTCGGCTTGGATGGGGTCGAGTTGCTCCGTGTTCTCCGCTACGGCATCGTGGAGGGTCAAAGGGTTGGGCCGGGATAGACGGCGCGGCGGAAATTTAGCTTTCCAGATGTCTGGGCGTGAATGTTGTATATGTACAGGTGAGAGGCGGGACGTGGTTAACCGGATCAGGTAACTGGCTACGGTGCCGGGCTATATTACCCGTTGGCAGCTAAGTGGGCTAACTTGGTCGTTGACGGGTATAAATTATGATGGGATACTAGTGTATACTTCGGATGAGGCCAATAGGTCCTGCTACCGATGGTATCTATAAGTGGTGACTAACCCGTAGGCGTGTGAATTGATGTTATTGGTTGGTTGAGACGCAGAGTTGAGCATTGCCACCTCCATAAATGGCATTGTTGAACAGTTACCACATCAGATGAATCCGTTGATAAAAAAGAAGAAAAAAGAGACATGCTACTCCTGCAACAATGCCCTTTGAGAAATTCGTCACTGACCGGAGCTGTTTGCAGGGATGCTTGCTAGGCTGCGTCTTTGCTTCATTGAAACGCCCATGCTTGCCAATCATTCATTCACTGTCTTGGGAGCAAAGAGCGGGTGCTGTTCATAGTAGGCGGACAGTACCAAGTACGAAAGAGCCACGCAACAAGTAAATATTATTGGAGGATTGACTTGCAAGTTCAAATGAATTGGCCTCTTCCGTATCGACCATCTGTCAGTGTATTCATAGTGATTCTTGCTAGCCTGGGTTTTTTTGGCTCACTGAAACGCCTCATGCTGGAGTGTTGGGAAGCAAGGAGTGGGCGCGCTTTCCACTCTGGACCTACAAAGAGAAAACACGAAGCAAGAGAGAGACTGGTGCATAGCAAATTCCTGCCTTTGCAGGTTTTTTGTTTACCTTGTTGGCAAGTGTGTTTGAGCTTTAAACACCCTCAAGACACAAGAGAGACTCGGGGGCAACGGAAGAAAAGCTCCCGCCTCAACAATCAAAGCTACTCTCCTCTCTGGCCGTGATCCATCTCACCATTGTTCTCTCGACTATTGAGCCAAACAGCGTCAGACCAAACCTTCAACAGTCTTTTCAAAATGTGCAAACTCAGGCGTCGAAAGTTCGCATGCATCAATTGCAAAAGACAATGGATTCAATACAAACTTCTCGACGGAACCAGACGGTGTTCTCTTAACCCTCCACTCGTTAATGAACCTTGTCCGGCAGACGACACGGCGATTAAACATTGTCTCCCGGTTAAGGGGAGTTGCGGGTGCATCGCACCATCTTGCCAAGTGTTTTTAAACCAGGATAATGTGAGAAGAATAGTGCCCCTTTATATGCCTATGATTCCGATCGCTGACTTTTTCGATGTAGTATTTTGACAGTTGGGTCCCGATCTGGGTAGGTCTAGGGGCGACGGTGGTTGAGGATGCAAACAATGCTGACGTATTTTTAGAGTCAACCAGACCTCGACGTGAGAGACGCAGTGACTGGCTCTTTTCTATTATTCTGCTGATATAATTGATAGTATCTCTACAGATGGCCTTCTCACATATGGCCCGCGGCAAGTAAACCGGCTGTGCCATCCACGCATAAAAACTGGACTAACATATCTTGTAGAACGCTTGGAATAACTTTAGCAAAGACAAAACAACGGAAAACGGTACAACGGAAAAGGATACAACGGAGAACGAAACATCGGAGAACGAAACAACGGAAAACGAAACAACGGAAAACGAAACAACGGAAAAGGATACAACGGAAAAGGATACAACGGAAAAGGATACAACGGAAAAGGATACAACGGAAAAGGATACAACGGAAAATCTGCGATAGGGTTTTTGATACTGCAAGGTTGGATACACAACGAGCTTGCGTTGTCAGTCTTTGCATTCGTGGCAGTTTGAGGTGTAGCCGACATGCGTCAGGTTTTTATTCCCAGAGAGGGTTTTTCTGAGGAAAGCGGCTTGGAAATAAGTTGACAAGTTATAACGACAGCGTTATTGAATATTGACAATATTGCGCTTCACGGTTGAGAATGTGGCCCTCGCGTTGACGGGTTGATTTTCGGTTCCGGATCGTACAGCCACCTTGCTCTCTCGATTGGCGATTGTGTTTGATGGCGTACAAATTCTGGAAGGTGTATTATGCTAGTATACGATGAGCCAGACGGATCCGACGTCCCAGTCTACTTGAGAACACTGGAGAAATGGTGGCAAATGTAGCTCTGTTATGAGAATGCCACTGGCTAGCATCTTGCTCTCTGGATGCAAGTGTTCATTCCTTGTAAAGACTGCGAGAAGTGGTCTCAGCATGGCCATTGAACGAGCCAACACACCCCTTTGACCATGGCGTCAGCAGCAGAAACAATGAATGATGGCGTATAACGCAACAAAGACTATCCTTGACTGGATCTCGTCACATGTCCCTACACAAACAAATTAGTTGTATTGCGTGGCAGGCCGCCGGGAGGCAACAACCCACAGAAGAGCCAGCGTCACGTCGCCGTGGATTTTGGCGCGCAACTGAATGTCAACGTCTAGATTCAGGTCGAGCCTGAGTTTCAGAGGATTCGACTTTTCGGACGTCTGGGCCACGGCCCGAATCTGCGGCTGCTGAGCCTGTAATTGTGGCTGTTGTTGTAGAGCAATTTGTCTTGGAACTTCCTCCTCGGGTTCTAAGACTAGTTGGTATCGTAGTGAAAAGAAAATGACGTTTTCGACTAACCGCTGGTATAATCTTGCACCATTTGATGCTTCCTCTGCACGGTTTGACCCTGCGACAGGTTAGCCTTGCTGATGTGTTGCAGTCACATGGGGATGTGTGATATACCTTTGCAGCCATGTTGAGATTGCTTGGACCCAACTGTGTACGAGTTCAAGACATGAAAAAAAAAGAAGGATCTGGACCGGAGGCGCTACAGGCGTTAGGTGACGTTTAAAGTCTAGAGTTGGGTTGTCTTCTGACGTTTGTTTCATCCAAAGGTCAAACGGGTCAAATGAAACATGATGTCACACGGTGTCATGCTGTCGCCTTGCTGCAATCTGCAACCCTGTTTGACCTATGCACGAAACTTGGCAGAGGGACGGGTGGCTGCGCGGATGATGGCATGATGGCAGATCTCGATGCTCCAGTGTGGCGTCTGGGCTTCTGTCAGGAGTCAAGACAAGTTGACATTTGGATAAATGTGGGAAACGGGAAGTCATGTGCTTTGATTCGACATTCGCATCAGACGAAAAAAGCCGCCCCTTGATGCGCCAGACCTTTGCAGCAGTCCCGGGGATGCACCGGCGCGACTTGCCGAGATGCATGATGCTTCCGCTATCCGTGACATTTGCAAAGGACCATTGAAGCTACTGGAATAAATACTCCCAAGTAGACGAATCGTGTCATGAACGCCGTGGTTTCCTTTGCTGAACTGACGATGCGGTATGACTCTCACGGCATTGCAATATGCAATATTCACACATTATAGCAACAAATCATTGACTTTGAGCTCGTGGTTAACAAAACACGAACCAATCAAAGAGCGAAGTCAAGTGAGGTTGAGGAGCGTCTCAGCGTCCATCTTGCACGTCTTATACTTGCCAATCACTCCGTGTTGTATGCTCATCCCAACACTTTGTCAATTCAAAAAATAAACAAGTCATCAAAGCCCTTTTAAAGTGCCCACCTCTTCTTTCTAGATAAAAGTGTCCACCCGTTGTTTTGTTTAGAGCCGCGCCTTTGATGAAAGGCCTATAAGCTGCAAACACTCCACTCCTTGGGGCTGCAGATTATCACAGCCCACGACCGACAAAGATTATCCAAAGCCCACATATGACCGCTCGTTTGATCCTTCTTCTAACAGTATTCAGCTCGTCTCAACAACCGTTCCCTACTTGTGCCGTCCCATTGACAACGACGCCCAAGTCCCACCCGCCCATTGTTGGCCACGATGTCGGAAAAAACGAGGTTTGTTCAACTTGACATGTATTCAACTAGGCCACGTCTGTTCCAAGTAATGAACAGCATATGTAATCGATTCGCTATAATTCACTGCCCATCGCCAAATGTAATAAAATATCCAGCGACTTCCGCATGTCGGTGTTGAACACACAATTTCCTCCATCATCTCATCTATTTCTCCTACGCATCCGCCTTCACCGAGACGCGGCCAGCCGTCGCTCGTTACTAGTCAGCATGTGCTTCATCAAGTACCGGACACTGGTCTGTCCCAGCTGCCTCACGCATTACCTGCAGGCCAGGTATTTCACAGCGTACAACGGATTCCCCCATGGCCGGCCATGCTCCGGCATGGACGTCTACTACGACCCAACACGCGGAGCAGAGTGCGGATGCCGCGTCCCGACCGATCCCATCTACTGGCAGGCTGTAGGTGCTCTGGCATTTTGACGGCTGCATGGCGTGTTTGCTTACCTTGTGCAGGGCTGGATACATGAGAGCATGACGTTTCCGCTGCTTCATGTTCACCGATATTTCGTGCCTTGGTCGGTCATGTCGACCTTTTAGCACCAAGTTGCGGAAGCACACAATGGTGGGATGGTAGGGAAATCGTAAAACGGGGTGACCGAGTTTAGCCAAGTGACGCAGAGATATACAGACAGACCAAGCAAGTCAATGGCTGGGCCACAATTGACTAGGCAAGGACTGCGAATTATGACCATGTATTTTATGTACAAGTATATATAGATATGTCTATTGGAGACGGGGGAATTTGCTTCCACGTGGATGGGAAGCGGCCGATATAATACAATTATTGAGAAAACGCAATGGCATCAGTATGTCGTCGTCGAAAATCCCGCCTCCTTTGCAAGCAAGGGGTAAAATTGATGATTCTGTGCGGAGCTGTAAATACATGCACCAAAGCGACCCAAATTAGGAATTACAAGTATCCTACTTCAATACCAAACTGCCAACGCAATTTGCCTCTCGACGGTATCAGCTTCCACGACCCCCTCCACCTACACATTCTTCTCGGCCGAAACTTCAACAGGGACTTGATGCGCGCTCACATAATACACAGGCTGCTTTATCTGTCTTGAATCAAGCTCACCCGGATTTGCAACCTGCTGCGGCGACGCCAGCTCGTGAGGATTCCACGCCACACCCGGGGCCGGATTCACCTGCTGGTACTGCCACACAGGATTCTCCTGCTGCGGAGGGGGATGCTGGTAGTAACCATGCGGAGGAGGAGGCGCTTTGCCATCCTCGGGCACGGCCTGTTGAGGACAGCCTCCCTGGCCGCCCTGCGTCGCGCGTCGACCAGTGCTCCAGAGACCATCCTGCCTGCGCTTGCCAATGACGAGGAGCAGCACCAAGACGACGAAGGGAACCCACGATTCAAAGACGACGTCGACGACATTCCAAGCGTAGGGGATTTGCTCGTCGGGGAGAATCCACCTTCCGAGGACCACAATCCCGACCGCACAGCGCAGGGCGTCGAGGATGGTGGCAACAAGGTAGAGGGCGGCCGACTAGAGGCGTCTGGTGAGTAAAAGCTCCTCGCCCACGAAACTACAATTGCTCCCGCCAACGTACCTTTTGCCCCGGGAGCCCGGCATACTGGCCCAGCACAAATCCAGCGTACACGACCTGGACAATCGAGACCGCAAAATTAATCACGTCACTCGCAGCCCCCAACGACCTGCACTTGTCCCACGCGTCCACCACGGCATTGTAGCCCGTCGTCTGGTAATAGTGGATGAGGGCGATAAGCGGCAGAGCAAAGTACGCCACGGCAAGGGCGAAAATCGACACGGCGACGCCAAGGGCGGCGGCGCGCACGACGCCCCGAAAAGGGGGCGGCTTCCTGATTTGCGCGTAGCGGAAGCCGTTACCCAGCTCGGCGAATACAATGACAAACAAGGCGTTGACGATGCGTCGGTAGAGGACGGCAATCAGGCCGGTGTACTGGTAGATCTCGTCGAGGCTGCGGATGCCGGATGCCGTGTGGGATACCCGATCAAAGGAGCCGTCGTCGTACTGCCACGATGTGAGAATGACGCCGGCAATGTCGGAGACGATGCTGAGCATCAGGGACCTGAGGAGCGAATGTTAGCCGCGGGTGAATTCGCCCGCAGGGCCGTGGTGACGGAGGAGGAGAAGACTTGCGACACGAAAAGCGGATGGCAAGCTTGCACCCAGCTGAACGCCGCGCGGGCCGGGTCTCGTCGCCTTCGCGCGAGGCACAGGGCCAGGAACCACACGACAATGGCTGGGATGACGACAAACCCCGTGAGCCCGGCGTGGACGATGAGCCATATCTGCCCCGTCGGTGCCATTGCGATCCTCGCCCGGCCCCAGTGGACTACAATGACACGGCGGCGCACGGTATTGCTGGGGCACTGAGAGTTGCCGCTATGGGGTGGCGAGAAGTGAGGCAAAAGGCACGGAGTGGTGATGATGCAAGGGGTGGAAGCCGGAGCCTTGGTATTAGTTGTGGTTGTCGAGTGCGGCGGCCGGCTACGAATTGCCAATTTGCCGCGGACCTGGTACATGGGCGAAAAGCCCTCGAGATGTAAGATTCTTGTTGCCTTTTGCGTACGCTCTCCTGCATTTAATCTACAGGGGTTTGCCCATCAACTCACCATTCATGGCCACTGGTGGTGTTACACGACAACGACAACGGGTCGGGTAAAATTGGCCATCGGAGCGCCTGCGCTGCTTGGAGTAGTAGGAGTAGGAGTACTAGTACCATCATTGATCCTTTTTCACTCCAACCACCACCAAGTTGCGCGGGCTTATTCCATAGTCAAACACCGTCTCAACCCACGCGTCGCCAACTTCGGCTTGCTCCTTCAAAAACATCCACCTGTCCACCACAATCATCGACTCCACGACCATGGCACTAAACGCCATCAGACTCCAAGTCACACACAGCTCCTTTTTCCTCGGCAGGTACTCGGCTTCATACTTGTCAATCTCCTCGTCCGTAATGTCGGCCATCTTGTCATTCATCACGTCTGCGTACTGCCTATACTCGGTGCTCGTTGTCAACTTGTCGATTGTTCCCCGAACGTAGGCTCGTAGCGAGGAATAGCACTTCTTTGGTAGACCCCCGACGGTAACAGGTTGTGTGCTGACGTCAAACGGGCCCGGCCTCCTGGCTGCTTGCCCGTCTGTGTCCTCCGGCACATGGTGTATCTGCTTGACAACGCCTCTGTCCAAAAAGATCTTTTGGAGAACTGCTCGGAAAAAATGTCGCGAGAAAAAGGCCTCACTATCCAGTCTGTCCCAGTTCTGGGGCGCTTGGCAAGCCATCATCCGAGCAGTGACATTGAGCCGGACCCCGTCGTCGTCGTAGGTGCAGAATTTCTGGGACATGGGGAAGCCCTGCGGATCGAATCTGAAGGATTCCCTGCCGACGCGGCCGTTGAGTGCTTGCAGGGTTGGACGCAGATAGGCGTGCTTGTATGTTGGTGGGCCGAGTCTTTCCGTCATGAGATTGTAGCAGCATCCTACAATGGCAATGGCGCGAATGTCTGGGTTGAGGATGAGTGAGCGAATGGCGTAGTGAGAGAGGTTGCCGCAGGAATGTATGGACATGGCCATTAGCTTGGGCTTTTCTTCGGCGAGCGAGGTATTGTCAATCTTGGCAATGACTTCAGACAAGTCGCCGCTGTCCAGACGTCCGGAGACGTATTGTACATGACCCTTGCCGTGTTCCACGGTACATTCAGACTTTAACTGCTCCCGGGGTCGAAAGTCAAACGCTTCTGAGCCGGCGACTTGTCTGAAGACGTCTGGATTCTCATGAGGATGCGGCCCACCCGCTTCGAGAATCTTATTCCATAGCTTCTTATTCCTCATGACCTTTTCTTTGGTTGCCAGGCCAGAGGTGATGTCGAGGCCTCTTGCCGCACTGACATTATTCTCACGGCCTTCGACCGCGACGACTCGTCGATTGTAAGGCTCGCTTGCCAGTGCGCGGCCAAGATAGTTCTGGCCACTACCAAAGTCTACAAAGTGGCTTATTTGATTCGCCTCCGAGGTAGCAATATTCTGCGATAGGCGATGCACATAGTCGGCAAAGTTCCTGACCTCGTGAAGCTTTTTAGGCTTCATGCCTACCTTGACTGTTCGCGGTAGGACGGGTAAATCGTGCGGTGGGGGAGAAAAGTCTCTTGCAAGTGATAGATGCCTGATTGACTTGATGTACTGGAACAAGCTGTCCGGCATGTCGGGCAGACCATCCAGTTGGAGGCTGTCGAGATCATCTCTCATGAAGATATCGAGGAGGCGCATGATGTCGCATTGTAAGAGAAAAGGATGCCACTCCTCGGGTAGGACGGTGTGAAAGAGACCTGGCGAGGAGGTGAAGAAGTCGAGGATGTGAGTGCCGCCGCAAAGGATTTGGAAAAGGTCGGTAGTGTTGACAAAGTGAAGGAGATGAGAGACGTAGTCGTCAGCTGAGGCATAATTGCCATTGTAGGGGAGGGGTCTGGGCACCATTGCGGTGGAAACCGGAGTTGCAGAATGGCAATTGAGTAATCTCAAGAAGATATCATGACGGTTCGTGAGTAGAGTTGAGGGCCTGTGGGGATGTTGATGATCCCAGGGTTTGATGGGAGGTGGTAACAGTGCCGATGCAACGCCGGCACAATATTCAATCGACTACGACAGTACTGAGATGGTCAAATGAGCATGGTGATGCGTAATGGAATCAAGAAGTTATATACGCCTGGCATGCAGGGCTCCCCTTGGTGTCGAGGTCTGAATAATTTTTCATGCCACTTCTGCCTCTAGTGCTGCTTCAAAAGCGCAGCCAGCACTGAGATGCCCCACCGTCGTCATTCTTGGCTGCCATCTGGACCTGTGGGGCCACGCCCGTCGACCAGACCCCTGTTGCCTGGAATGCTGAGCTCGAGTTGTGCTTGGGCCAAGCTGCACCTGTGTCGTGCAACCTCAGTTCTCCCGTGCGTCACCGAGTCGCGACATAATCAAGTACTATTCTCATCTGCGGTCAGCAAGGATAGCTTTGTAATCGCCATCAAAGCATTGCTTACTGGAGAGCATAGCGTGCCTGCCGCGATTTTGTCGCCTAGACGGAATCGACGAATCCTTGGCAACCAAGATTGCTCGTTGCGAGCTTCTCCCTACTTGAGTCCTTTCGTTCCGCCGCTGAACCGACATGATGTCCTTAGCAGCGATATAGCTATCTGATATTTTCCGACACATCCTCGGCGATGCTTCGGCCCTCTTCATAGCATCACCATGGAGGATCCCTGGAGTTCCCCCTGGGCCACGGATACTCCGGCACCTCCGACAATCGACCTGCCTTCCGAGCCTCAGCAAGCGCATTATGGCAATTCACCCCGCAAGTCGTCGCGATCGCCCTCACCATGGGGTCGAGGTATTGATATCGGTATGGATGACTGGGGAGGGTGGAACGAGCCACCAGGCGGCAAAGCCAGCCCGTGTTGGGGGAACAGTCCGAATTTAAAGCCATTAGGGAGCGGTACGGGCGTAATGCTAGACCCATGGGCGCTCGCGGTGACCGATGATAAGGAAGGGATCAAGGAATCTGACTCCGCCATTGGTTTGGGGGATGATGGGCGGGCGGATGGACACGATAACTTGACAAGGCACAGTGAGGGAAATGGTGTCTGGGGGAAGGAGCATATCGAGTCGAATCAGGAAGATGCTGCGGTGCCGAGTCATTCTGTATACATGGAACCTACGAGATTGCTTGGCGAAAAGCAGGCATCCAAGGTGCAAGAGTTGGTGGAAATGTACGATGGCATGGCAAAGACATTGAGTGTGGAGGCGACGAGGACAGAAACGGTGACAACAAAAGATACACAGGTCACTGAAGCCAAGGTTTCGGACCATGTGGATGATGGATTAGTCCCGGATGCCCCAATACCGCCTGCAACGACATCTACCCGTCCGATGGGCAATGACGAAATGGCCCCAGTAGCGGACAAATGCGAAGCCGGACCTGTTGATCTGAATCCGAAGACCGAGGAGTCAGGTCCTGATTTGCAAACTGCATCTGAGCTTGGCAACGGCGGAGTAACAAGCGAAGTGGTTCTTGTCCCAGAGAAAGATGCAAAGCCAGATCAAATGACACAGCACCACGGCTCGACCCCGCCAACCGACGAAGCAACTGAAAATAATACCCTATCACACAATCCAGGGACATCAATACCGTACCCTATCGACTTTTCCAGTCTCAATATTCTATTTCCCAACACACAAGCGGCCGCCAACACTCCCGAAGAGCTTCCCGAGTCCATCATTAAAGAGTCGTTCACCTCTGTATCACAGCGGAAAGCCTGGTATCGCATATCCCGGTTCGGCTCTATACGGAAACACAACGGCGGCGACGACGACAACTACGTCAGGGTGGCGTGGAAGAATTCAACCATTCGCAAAGACACATTGGACACGGTCCGCCGATGGATGGAAGAGGACAGAATCGGGGGAAGAGTGGTTTTAGGACGAAGATTGGGCCACGGAGGGGGCAGCATGTTTAATTGGGATTCCGAAGCACCACCCGTCGAGATTGGTGAGCTGTTAGCCAGGAAAAAGCAGAAGCCAAAAGGACATGCCCAGCAGTTTTCGGCTACCCTAGCGGGGACTGTCACATCGCCGATAATTGCATCGTTTGGATGGAGCAGCAGTGTGCCATCGTCGCCCGCAACGGAGAGGATTTCTTCTGAGTGGCATGCGAAGTCGTCTCGACTGCCTGAGACGACGGTGAGGGACAGGGCGGAGGACAAGCAAGTATCAGCGGACATGCCTGAACCTCACCAAAGTCCGAAACCGTCAGCAGCCCAGGTGGTATCATCTGCCTTGGCACCGATACCTGTATCGCAGGACGAAGATGACGATTGGGGGGATATGGTGTCTTGTCCAACTTTGGAATCTACTGCCGCGTTGGATACAGCCTCTCATATCGAGGCGGCATACCCCCCGACCCTGGAACCCGACGCGGAGGCGTCCATTCCGAAGGCGAACGAACCGGTGCATGCTTCAAATGCCCTGACAGAGGAACCAGACCCCTGGGGAGGCTTGGAGTTCTTTGGCGGCAATTCGACGGGACAAACTTCACAGCCCATGCCATTGGCACAAGAAGACACCGCAGCGTTATTACCTGCACCCGAAAACGCCTCCATGCCAGCCCCCCTTGGGCAAACTAGAGAGGATGAATCCATTCACACGCCGTTGCAGTTTTCAAGTTCCACATCTTCAAGACCAGCGAGCATTGAATCTGCGACTTTGAACCCCCAGGATGACGAGGCAGTGACCACTATTCTGGCTGGACTGCCAGACTTGTCATATATGATGAGATAACAGGACACAAGAGGAGGAAATATTCGTGCAACTGCATTGTACATGAGGTAGATGAGTCAATGAATGACCGAATTGATGCCAATTCAACTGCAAGATTTTGTATAATACTAGTGTATAATAAAACATATCTTTCACAAGTGTCACACGGTTACACGAGCGCTACAATCACGGGACCAAGGACAGACGGCTGGCACCACTTTTCATATGAATACAGCTCTTTGGTCAATTGTGCCTTGAGAAGAGCCAAGGACCTTTGATACCAAAGACTGTTATTAGATGAATTCAAGAGTTATTACTCCAAGCCCTCACTGGGCCCTTGTCAATACTAGTGTGCGGAGACGTGGGGTTAGCTGGCGATGGTGCCCCGCTCCCGCCAGACTTTTTTTAAACCCCAGGCCTCTTAAGGATGCAGGCGAGTACTCCATAGTGGCTCGATCAATGTCATCTGGTCCTCGAATTCCACCAGCTCCCCGCCATTGTACATCCGATGCTTCTCACGACATAATGGAAGGTGGGCGGTTGCAAATTCCAGGGTAGCTATGCCACTTTTTCGATATACGTATCCCAGAGGCTAACTCTAACCATTGCTTTCAAAGGGGCATCTGGAGCTCTCTCTCGGATTCGCAAAAAGGGGAGCTATCCTCGGATGTGCAATCACCACCCTCCATCAGGTCATCTACGAGTCGACTACGACCTCCATACAACCTGACACACACTCTTGATATGATGCAGACACGAGACTGATAAAATGAGTAAGAATTTAGATGTCCAAGCTAGGCTAGCAAAATGGCTGCGTGGCCGGGATGTGCAATCTCAATCGCCCTCAGTCGGCAAGGCTGAACCCTTCTCGCGAGAATGGTCTCGTGAGCACCCCCAGCCACAGATGAAGAATGGCTTGGACAAAAAGAAAGAAAGACTGTTGATTTCGTACCGAGTGGAGCGACGGGGAAATACTTGTATAACAAGAGCTGTTTCCATGGACGAGCGACAAGCTTGGCCTTGAGACGAGTGCTAGTTGAGCGTGCCTGGCCCGAATAGTCGGGGCCTTGCGAACTAGCCATGTCTCAAGCTTTGCACGGCGTGGTCCCCGAGGGCCTGTCCGCCGCCAGATTACTTCCCACTCTGGCAGTTTTGAAATGTTTTTGCGCCTTGATTGTTGCACTCGTTGAAGTCGTCGATTTTTTCGCGGCACTCAGTAAACTTATTACGGGCTATCTGCGCACACTCCTTCTTGGACTTTGGTGAAGCAGGCTTTTTGTTGTCAGCAGTGTTTGCCGTGGCCGATTTCAACATCTCTGTCAATTCTGACAACTGGAGTATCTTGGTACCACCACCACCGCCAACTTCCTTGTCAGCTATGCATGAAGGGGACACTTTGGTAAGATCTCCTGGGAACAGAGTGCAATTTCTTGGTGCCTCTTTGCCCTTGAGCGGGGCATGTACAACTCCTGGAGCCGGTTTGGCTCCTCTGCAGTCATAGGAATACCATTCGCGGAGCTTGCCTCCTTCCTCCTGGCGAACAACTTCTTTCACCGGGCAAAAGTATCCCTTCTGAGCAAGGTAGATACCGTCATAGACACAGTTATCGGCACAAATATGTGTTGTATTGGAGATCTGGACGGCTTGAACTTCGCCGCCGAGAATCGCGTTGACCCCTGCGGCGGCACTCAGTAAAATGGTAAGGGCGAGCATGATGGCAGCGTGATGACTCGAATGAGAAAAAAAAAGAGTTTAAGACAATATAGGAAGTGGTAGGTAATGTAGAGGAAAAGATTGTCGGCTTGTTCTTTTGGCTGCCCTGATGAGTAGAGGCTCCTGGCCTCTGAATCAAGGCAGCACTTGAAGAGCTATATATAAGAAAAAAATGAGACACTACGGGAGACATTTTACCAAATAGAAAGCCTAAGCAATAATTATGAAACGACAACATATTACAATTAATGCTATAGATGCGATATCAATGCAGTGGCTAGGATTACAGGCTCATCCATGCGGCAGTGCCGACCAAGGGAAATCGACTCAGGAAAAGCAAATGAAAATACGAGCCTGTTTCTCAAGTGCGAGACCTGGTGGTAACAGGTATCGGCTAATATCGCCTGGTATCGCAGGATTCGTCTGAAACGCCCCATAAAGACGCGAGGCAGAGTCCTGTTGAACCAACAAGGGCCACGCAAGGAGATTCATGCCACCTGTGAATAGAAGCAGGCTCTTTGGGTGGTTTTTCAAGCCTCGAGGGAACCAGGGACCCTTGATATTCGGAAAGAGATGATAAGTTGAATGGAGCGTTGTGTTCCAAGCGCGGCGACTTCAGTCTACAGAGGCATTATCCGACAGGTACAAACCTGCGCACTCATGCACTTATTTAGGTTTCAAATATATATTGTTAATTAGTTTGGGTAAAGTATGTTAAATAAGGGTGGGGATACCTAACGGGGGTAATGTTGAGCATGTGCTCAAATAGAGCAGCAATTTGGAACAGTCACAGGGATTGGTAGTATTGACGGTCTATGCTACACTGACATCATGACACAGAACGAGGCTTGGCATGAATATAAAGTACCCACCTCCTGACTAGTATACTATGCATTTACTATACATCTAACATAAGCATTGCAGAGCGAGTCGACTTGAATCTATCTGTCCTCCTTGGCCACAAGGTTCATGGGGGTGTTATGAGAAAAAACAAAAGCCAAGACCTACCAAAATATGTGCTCCTCAGGTAGGATTCGTGACAAGGGCTCAAGAGGGCTTGGAGCAAATAGCTCAATTTATCTAATAATAGCTTTTAGTATTAAAAGTTCTTAGTTTTCCTTAAAGTTTTAATAGCTAAAAATATTTTTAAATATAAAAAGTCAATAAGGGATTTTACTTTAAGTCCTGTAATTATAGCCCTTATATAACCTTTAATATTGGGCTATTTCCGTGTAACAGAAGTCCTCCACTTTTAGCAGAGTCACTGGAACAGGCTATAAACCCGTGTGTTACACGGAAATCGCCCTGTTACACAAGGGCTACGGTCACGGGATTAGGGCAGAAGGTCCTCACCGACTTCTTGTATAAATAGACGGCTTTGGTCCCTCAAGGCCTTGAGGAAAACCAAGGACCTTTGATACCAAAGACTGTTATTAGTTGAATTGAGCTAAATTGCTCCAAGCCCTCTTTCCGAGCCCTTGCCACACCGTGTCCCTTTCCTGCAGTTCATGTTGCTTACCAGCTTAAACCTAATAAGAAAAAAAGGCTAGTCCACAGCCACCGAAGAAGAGAATCAGATGCTACGAGATAGAACAGACAGAACCTAAAAAATACCTAATCTGCAAGACCAAGAAGAGAATAAAATGCCAGGGTCAGTCAAGTGAATGATTCAGTCTGGCGTTACTAGCCTGAGGGGCTAATAGTGCTACACGACAAAGCAGAAGACCAGTTGACCTATCAAAATAGGACCTCCTTATAAGAGCACCGAGGCCTCCACTCTAAGCTGAGTCGTTAAAACAGGGGGCGAAGACTAGGGCGCATATAGTGCTAAATCAATCCGCAAAAGTGACACGACTGTTGGCCGTCGTCTTATAACCTTAACGTATAATCCGACCCCAGTAAGTTTAGCTAGCAGTGACTTATAGTAAAGGTTGTAGAGGCTAAAAGGATCATAAAATATTACCTAGTGGGCTTAAAAGCATATAAATTATCGTGTAAATTACATTCTAGGTTAATACTCGTGCCACGGCCCTTTTTTTTTGTTATCGCGTAGCTTGCACCACACTAAAAAGTGGGTCGGGTACTAGTATGTAGGTGTTGACAGAAATTACGGGGATTATAATTGACCTTGACCTACACGTATTAAGAAATAGTTTGTAATAAAAATCTTGGCCACTTCAAGGTTTTACTCTTTTACAATAATGCCCGTTTTTATTAGTTATTGATTAGCCCCTCTGCCATTGACCGCCTGCTTCTTGGTCTTGTCGTAGTCACCCCATGTCTTCTGCATCATTGGCCCATGACGTTAGAAATATACACACTCCCCACACGATGTAATGCCTCGTGCAGCCATCCACAACCAGTAATTTTTTATATACTAATATCTTGTCCTCTCCACGCGACTCATGCCTCATGTCTCATGCCTCAGTCCGGGAGCCGGAGATGCTCGTCACGTCCAGTACCGGATATGTGTCCGCTGTCTTGCCTCAGCTAGCTGAACGAAAACTACTCCGTACGCGTGATATATCACTTTGCAGGCTTACGGCAGTTCTGCCCATGCACGATGGACGGAGCCAATCAAACCATATGTCATTATGCAACCTGCAGCACGGTGGCTGACTCGACCTTGATGCCCAGACAATGAGTAGGTAGGTTGACTCGAGGGAAGCATTTCACCACGTAGAATTTACATAAACAACCACCGTTCAGGTTGCATTTGTCTTTCAAATTCTACAAATCTGACAAGTCGACGTAATGCAGTGCATTACAGCATGCGAGCTGTCAGCTTCACTGGATGCCGACTTGCGACTCCAAGACATAGGCCCACCGCCCGTATCCGAGGAGGAATTCTCGTAGCCGGGATTCTTCAGGGAGGTTGATAGTCTCAGAAATAGTACAAATGCCAGCCATGTAGCCGTGTTGAAATGAAGAAAACATCGAGTCGGACATCTACAACCATTCTCGGGCTGTACTTGCACGATAATATCTGCAAAACCGTCATCCACTGAGCGTCAACATGCAGCTTCTTTATGCCTCCAAAGTCATAAACTTGTCCCTACTCACTCTCCTCTCCGCAACAATTGCCCTCTCCGCTCCCGCTGCTGTTGGCCCTGCTGCTCCTTGGCCCACAGATGACAAAACCCTACACAAAATCGACAGATATGCCCGCTACTCAGTGGCAGCCTACTGCAAGAAACTAAATGACAACTCGGCCAATAACAAAGTATGCACCAATGACAAAGGTGCGCAATACTGCGGCGATCTCGCGGATGCCGTGACCGTCCATCAATTCCACGCCACCGAGTCCATCTCTGGCAACGTTGCCGTGTCCAACAAGTCCCAGTCCATTGTAGTGAGCTTCCGGGGCACTGCGAGTATTGGCGACATATTGAAAGACCTCCATGTGAACCTGAAAGACCCCAAGAAACACCTCGAAAGAATGGCGGCGGCGCCTCAAGCCATCGGTGCAGTTCCTCCCGCGTACGATTCCCCCCCAACTCATCTACATGTGTTGATCACTTGACAGTGACGCAGGCTGACTTCCAAGTATCTAGCGCATCCCCTGGCGACGCCGACCCGGCCCTCCCTCTCTGCAGCAAGTGCAAAGTTCACGCGGGATTCTGGGAAGCCTTCCGCGGCATCAAAGACGTTCTGAAAAGGGTGCTCAAGGAACAATGCGAGCGGCATCCCGACCATCAGGTGGTCGTGACGGGACACTCCCTAGGAGGAGCAGTGGCTTCCATTGCCGCCGGATACCTCCGCAAGAGCGGCATCGACGTCGACGCATACACCTACGGCTCTCCCCGGATCGGCGACCCAGCCTTTGCGAGTTTCATTTCCAGCCAGAAGAACGGCGTGACGACGCGCGTCACCAACGGCCGCGACCCCGTTACCGTGGTCCCCGGCGTCGGTTTTGGGTACGCGCACACTACGCCCGAGTATTGGTTCCCGAGCAGGGTTGAGCAGCCGAAGAATGTAAAGATTTGCGAGGGTGTGCAAAACTTTTCCTGTTCGGGGCAATTCAACATCAGCCTCTGGTACGTTGGGGACCATTCGAGTTCCAAGTATGCGAGAGGCTTTGAGGCCTGCCCAGAACAGAAGAAGTTGGAGACGGAAATGTTGCAAGCTCAGACTTTTACCGAGGCAGATGTTGAAGAGTGGGAAAGGGTGGGATTCGTAGATGACGCGGATCAGATCAAGGCGGCTCAGCTGTAGAAGCCTACCAGTTGGATACTAGGATTGGACATGACGACTTGTGCTGTTGGATTATGAGTATATTTTTAGTTCAGCGACTGCAGTAGGTTTTGAAAAAAGACTCACAGTATGGAGTATTTTCTGCTTGTTGCACGAGCTGCATAAACCGCAGGTGTCTCATCCGCATCAAATATTCTCAGCCTTGGCCACACCTTTTTGCTGTTTTGGGTAGTAGTGGCCGTGAGACATGTCTTATACCGGCGTGTCTAGAAGGAGAGACAGGGACATGCGATAAATTGCATTGTTGTGGTTGGAGGCGCTCGTCCAATGCATCTACTCCGTATCTACGTTGCACTTCTTTGACAAATGGACTGTCGTTCATGTGCCATGACAGGGACTACCAGCATTGTACGCCTCCTGGGAGTAGACCGGATCGGGGGAGCTCTTCCTGGAAGCAGAGCCTTTACCCAAGGACACTGATACTCGGACTTGTTTCCACCATGTCAAGCAAATAGTTGCGGCATTTGTGTGTTCGTATCGCCGTCTAGGGCATGGGCTGCTCACTGAACAAACTCGAGATGCAAGGTTTTCAACGAGACGATCGCTCAAAAGCTGAACGGCGGACACGGTCGTCTGAGACACGACTCGAGGCATCATGCATGAATGCCCAAGTAGAGGGCCTCAATTTTCTAACTCTTGGCACTTGCCGCCCTCTGCCCATGGCTTGGGCATTAAAGACATTGACTTGTACTCAACCCTGCGACCCCGTTGCAAAAGCGATTGGCTCTAGCCCCATCATTAGGACCGGAAACGTAGCCGGGCTTGTTTGTGACGGACTAGATGGCAGGCGGCAGACGGACCTGACTTCTTTTGACTCGGGCTGGTGGTGGTCCAATGGCTGCTACTTAGGTTTCCGTTGAGCTGCGTAACAAGACAATTAGTCGCTCTGCTGCCAAGGCGGGCGGATTGAGAAGTGGTTTTGCTCATGTCTACCTGCTTTCGTACCTCCATATCACTATATTGTCAACAGAACACCACCGAAACATGGGCCGCTCTTTCAGCATAGCTTGTTGAGTGCCCTCGAGCTGTCGCGCATCATCTTCTTGTAACACCCCTGATACAGTATGTATGTCATCTTCCCCGATTTTTTTTAGATAGCTGCAGCTGGCCTTCGCTGCTCAATCATATATTTGAAAACAAGTCCTCTTGACATTGAATCTCGGTATATTTGTACAATACGGGTACTCCTAAGCATTGGAGAGCTTTCCTGCAACTGCAGGCAGCGTTTTCCTGTACGCCCACGCTGCAAATTGAACGCTCGGCTTGTCTATCACCCGCGTCACAAAATCTGCCATACACAAGGTTAAAGGCAGTAAAATGGCTTGTGGCAAGAGATACGCAACCTCAAGCCCAAACGGCCCCATCTGCGGCAACTCAAACTTATTCACCCACCGCGGGATGTGTTCCCTCTGGCTCTGGCCATGGAAGCCAACAACGGTGTATAGACGATCCCCTATAATCCATAGCACCGGCCCATGAACTAAATAGAGCGCATAGGACACGCGTCCTAGGTACTGACAGGTATGGGTTTCGAAAAAGCGTTTGAGCCAGCCGATATTTGAGACTGAAGTGATGAGCAAAACCGCGGCCCAGAATAGATAAAACCACTTGTAATCGAAGACAGCCTGCGGCTTGAGGTACGAGAGGATATGCCAGCCGCGGGTATTGGCAAGCTGATCCACGTCTTGGTTTGCGCTTGGGACACCCCCTAGGTAGATTCCCACTAGTAGGAAATGATAGCAGATAATGTTCTTATAGGGAGCCAATCGAGTAAGGAGGGATGGAAGATTGTCCCTGTCTACTTCTGCGAGCAGATCCAAGTGGCCTAGCAGCATGCCTGCAATGAACATTGCGCAATACCACCCATCAGCAATGTACATGAAGTAGCCAATGAGGGAAATCTGACACCAGAGGCGGGCATTGAGAGAGCATCGTGACATGGCCAAAAGGGAGGTAAAGATAACCATGGATCCCTTGAATTCAATTGGGATGGACCAGAGATAAACGTTGTAGGATAGCCACGGCACACCACCATCCTTGAAGGGGAAGCTGAAATTTTTGAGCTCGCAGTAAAAGAACCACATCTCGTGCAACCAGCTATCATGGGGCTCTGCCCCGTCCACCCAGAGGCCAAAGAGGTGCCACGAAGTTGCATATATAAAGCTGGTGGCTGCAACAGGAAGAAATAGACGCAACCAACGCCTGAATATCGCCGACCCAAGATGCTCGGCCAGGCCAGAAGTATCGTTCTTTTCAATCAGGCGCAACGGCTTTATAGAGAGAACGTACCCAGATAGCACAAAGAATATAGACACGGCCAAGTGCCCTCCGGAAAAGAAGAGCCGGACACCTGGCAGAGCGGCAAAGTAATACTGCTGGTTATACCCAAAGCCATTTTCGAATATTTCAATGTCTTCCTTGTGAGCCCATAGTACGTGGTGATGCCAGTACACTATGAGAGCTGCGAAGCCTCGCAAGCCGTCGAGATAGGCGGTTTTGTGCTGGCTCTTGGGCCGACGCCTTGCCCTCGGCCACGCAGACAGCCATGACTTGACGTTGGAAAGCCCCAGGCTGCCGGGCAGCTTTCTCAGGGTGTTGGCCGGCTCCCAGGACGGTTTCCGCCCAGACAACTCGTCGGTTTTGGCTTCGAGGTCGACGTTGAGCATCATGGCCTGCTCCATTGAGTCGCCGTCGAGGATGCGAGGTGAAGTTTGCGCCGACATTTTCTGCGGTGCAACATGGCGGGTAATGCTCGAGGCAGAATCCTGTGCGAAGGATGAACTAATGATGCAGAAGTAGGAATGGCGTCTCCACAGCCGCTCTCGCTCCGGACGGAGATGGATCGACCGATTCACATGTTGTTGTTCGCCGTGGGCACCTGGAAACGGCCGCGGTCCGGGTCCCCATCAGCCACTGTCAGCTCCCAGTGCCTCCTGAGTCCTGCCAGCCATGCGCCCGTTCCGGTGCAGATCGCAGACGCCTATTGGCGGCTCTTGGGGCAGTTCCATGTACAATCCCCCTTAGTGCTCCTACTTCTCCATACTCCGTAGTACTACATATGTACTAAATCCTATCACCACCCACTGGCAGGATGGAGCCTCCCCAGAAAGGGCTCGGGATCGCACAAGATGCCAAATGCGTCAGCCATCATCGAAGAAAGAAATCATCATCCTGTGCTGCCAATCTTACGCCACTCGTTCACACTGGCGGTGAGCTCAGATATCACGTGAAATGCTGGGCGGTTTGATCTCCGGCTGGTCATCTACACCATCATTGATCTCTCCAGAGACGGGCTCCTCTGAGATCATCGTCATGTCTGACTGACGGAACCCTCCGACTGGACATATTCACTCTTTCAAAAAGAGCGAGGCGATAAAAGCACGCCCAAGCCGGCCCTAAAATAATCCGATGATGCTGACGCGACCTCTTCGGCCGAGAATTGCGGCAGCGGTTGCATGCTGTCTCCTCTTCGTCACATATCTCGCGTATTCGAATGCATCAGTATACACATCCTTTACTGGCAGCGGGCACACGTTGTTGGCTACAGATGATCCCGGTTTAGCCTTCCCCCTGGATCCGGTCCCCCGTCGCGATTTTACAACTCTGGCCAAATACCCGGCGCACAATATCAATCAATCTTCAAAGTTCGCCTTTGCGACATTGTATTGCAGTCGCGACCCCGATACTCGCGGTCCGTACTTTGAATCGACACAATCTATCATCTGGCGGCTCCTATGGTCCGATTACCGCTCCAAGTACCCTGTTATTATCTTTGTCTGTCCATTTATTCCGAAGAAAAATCGGGATATTTTTAGAGGACAGGGTGCTATAGTCAAGGAAATTGAGCTACTGGATAATATTATTCCCGATGAAAAGATCTCCACAAAGCGATGGATCGACGTGCTGTCAAAGCTGAATCTATGGAAGGAAATTGAGTGGAACCGGCTTGTATTCCTCGACTCGGATGCCTTTCCTGTCAGGAATATAGACGACATCTTTGATCTGGTTCCGGAGCAGCAGTGTAAGAAAGAGGCACTGCTTCCAGAAGACCAGGCCGTTATAGACAAGGGCGGGGACGACATGTGCAACTACGTCTACGCGGGCGTGCCGCAATTTACCATTGATAATATCAATGCCGGCATGTTCATCTTGAAACCGAATCTTGATATGCATGCCAAGCTCATCAGGGCAGCTAAACGCACCGGGGACTATGACGTACGCTATATGGAGCAAGGGGTTTTGAGCTCCAAGAATGCGTTTGCGGCTGATGGTCCTTTCCCGGTAAATCGCCTGTCACCCATCTGGAACACTGTCCCGGAGTATTATAAGGAACACCTCGCCAAAGCTGCGGAATCGCCCGAGCCGCCGACGATAAGGATTCTTCACGCCAAGATGTGGAACCGATTCTGGGGCTCCTGGAATAATTTAACGCATCTCAACGACATGTGGGATCTGGACTGGATGAACATGTGTAGATTCTTTGACTCTGACGAATTTGTCAAAGCGAGGACTACCGGCGTGTATGTGACACCGTGGGAGAGATACCTCAAGGCCCAGGAGACGGCGTCATGATGGCTTGTAATCGTGCGTTTCGGCTGTGCAACATATTTGACCGCGCCGATGCCGTCGTACAGCAGGCACTGTGCTTTGGTTCTTCTCCATTGTCGGCCGCGCCGGTGTATCCCTGACTTTATCATAGCATTCAACGTGACACCTGGTCTCTGTAATGCCGTCTCACTCGCACACGGCTTGAATGGAAGAGACCGCGCACCAAGATAACAAGAAGCTCACAAATGAGTCCATCCTACAACAGGCGTTGGAGGCGCCCACGACGACAAAGAACCCGAAAAAAATGTGTCCAGCAAGGATCGTCGGAGGACATTCATATGCACGAATTCTCTTTTTGGCACTTTATGGAACTATTAGGGATGACGGCTTGCTCGACAATCCGTGTAATCTTACTACTTGTTCATGTCGTCATACTCCATGTTCAATAATTGTCTCGATAGGCAAGCAATGTACCGAATATACAACTGGCAAACAGCTAGCAGACACGAGCAGTGACAAAGACCAGCGTTATCATGGTTCAAACTTGTTGCATATTCAATCACTTCCGCTGGAATCTTTATAATTCTACCGTAGTACATTGGCCGCTCAACTACTGGATCCGTTGTGATGTCACTGCCCTGATTCTCCATGGTGCACAGCCCAGGGAATCACAACCAGCTTGTCCCATTTCCCCTTCCACCTGCTCACCTTCTTCTCGTAGGCCTCTCTGGTGCCCAGCTCCTGGTGCGGTCTGACAACAAGGTTGAAAAAGTCGGAGAACCCCCTCGGCGCATAGACATGCCACTTCCCGTCGTCGAGCGCGTGAATTCCCACCATTGCACTCGTCGTCAGCCACTGCTCTATCGCCGACTCGGTAGACTTGTGTTCCGGACAGGGGATTCCGTACTTGGGGCCATACCACAAATGGACGCGTGCTTGGTTGCGGATCTCGACTTGGACTGGCACGTCTGCGAAGAGGGTCTTGCCCCTTTGGATCACGGCGTCTTCTGCCTCGTACGACAGGTCAGAGGGGTCGTGGTAGACGAGGTCGTAGTCTTGGATGCCGTGTTCGGGAGGGAGGCCAGACATGTAGTTCCATATTGTTTGGGATACGGCACCGCCCGCGAGGTACCAGTTGGACAGGTGTAGAGATGGCGCGCGTGAGAGGACCGTAAGCAGCGTCTTGTTGGTCGAGACGGCGGCTTTGAAGTGGTCGAGTTGGTCGTGAATCGGGAGATGGGCGGGGTTCATTGCGGCAATGAGTGTGTGGAAATTTGGCTTTTGGTGAGATGGTGTTCAGCCAGCTGCGTGGGCGGCCGGAATACCTGAAGGAAATTGATCCCTTTTTTGTTGTTGGGTAGTGAACTGGGACAAACGCATTCTGCATGGCAGGGATGTTGCACGCCGGGGGTCTGAATGGCTCTTGATCGTTCTTCCTTGTAGGATTGTTGATGGAAAGAAAGACTGGTCTGGCGGAAGTCGTTTGTATAGCTCCGGGGTCCGTGTAAAGATTTTTGCGGCTACTTATTATGGTAATCTTGTTGATGTCATGGATTTTTGTGTCTTGACTCTGGTGCGATGTACATGTCTGGTGGCCTTGAATTGACCGCGAGGCCACGCCCAATCTTTTGTTACTCTGACACCGTGAATTTCCAACAGGGACAGCTCACACGACAGTCACGGCGTAACACAATCCGGACGTCCGCCAAGCCGCATTGCCATCCATCAAGACAGTCACCTCCTTCACGAATGTCAACATGCAAGGCGCATGACCAACACTCGGTTCATTTCGTCTCGTTGGCCACGGAAAGCGCCCCATGCCCCGCCGATTGCAACACCGCGTCTGCTGGCCAAGACGACACGAGGTTCCTCGAATCTTTCGTCGAATAACTACTCCATCCGTCCATCTTTGTCTTCTCAGGACTTAATGGCAACCCGCCCATCTCGCCCACTCGTCAAAACACCAACATGGCTGCCATGCCCGTCATCGTCCCTGCCGCCGCAAAACACACCCACACAGTCGTCTTCCTCCACGGCCGAGGGGACGTGGCCGAAAACTTTGTCGCCTCGTTGGAATATTCCAAGAGCTCTCGGGACCAGACGCTCCAGGAAATATTCCCCTCCTTCAGATGGGTCTTCCCCAAGGCCGGCGTCGGCGCCTCCTTCTCATTCGGCGGGAACAAGGTCTCGCAGTGGTTCGACATCTGGAACGTCGCCGACTTCTCGGAGCGGGAGGAGATGCAAACACTCGGACTGAAGGAGAGCGTGGCCATGATCCGAAAGGTGCTCCATATCGAGGCGGGCATCCTGGGCGGGCACTGGGATAGGATCATCCTGGCCGGCATCAGCCAGGGTGCCGCGACGGCGACGCACGCCCTTCTCAACTTGAAGCTGCCGGAGGCGGCGGACGACGGCACCAAGTTATCAGGCGGCTTGGCGGCGTTTGTTGGGTTTTCGTGCCGGATGCCGTTCCCCGGGCGGACGTTGAGGGAAACGAGGGCGGTGCTGAGCTTGGAGGATGCCCCGGAGGACGATGAGGTGATACGCAGGACGCCCGTGTTGCTGGAGCACTGCGTAGATGACCCCTTGGTGTTGGTTGAGAACGGGCGAGTTCTGAGAGACACGCTGCGCGGATTCGGGGCCGAGGTTCATTCGAGGGAGTATCCGGACGGGGGGCACTGGCTCAATTCACCGGCGGGCATGGACGACGTTGCCGAGTACTTGACGCATGTTCTGGGGTTGACGCCTGCAAGTGCGGCAACGAACGGCACTGAGATGGATTTGTCTTGAGGGGAGCGAGAGGTGGTCTGTAATATTGCGGCACCGTTGGTTCTGTTTACTCATAGCCTAGCGCGTCAACCATAGCGACTTTTTTTTATCCTGGTCCTTTGTCTCCTTTCATCTTGCGCCCGGCGTCATCGTCAAGGACCATCACTTGCGTCAGTATTGCCCTTGCTCTGATTTTGCGGTTTGGGCTTGCGCAAGGTCATCCCGTAGCCTGTTCTTGAAACGTTTGCAAAGAATGGTTTGGCCTTCCATCCACATATTTAGTGTTTTAAAGCCCGTTTACTATTAGCTTATCCCTTATATTGAGGCATATTTGAAGCTTTAATATAAGTATCATTTAAATTACAAGGCCTCCCTGTGACTAGGGCCAGTCGGACAGGCTCTTATATTTATATAGCAATCACACGTCACGGTTTCTCATAGTACTTGGGTAGTAGCTTTGCAGATATATTTTGGCTTGAATTGCTTTCGTGGGGAGTAGAGTTTATAGCGTCACCCGCAGGTTTTGAGAACGAATCTCTCCATGCAGAGTTTTTGCTTCATTCTTTGGGAACCGGTTGGTGCCATACTTGGTAGTCAATCTTCAACGTTCTGCTAGGACCAAACACGAAGGAACTCGCTCACGTTTCCAGAGAAAACCTGTCTCGGATGCGGCCTGAACAGGCAACAAAGTAGTTTAACGGTGATACAAAGACCCAATCTGTAGTCTCACAACATCAGCCAGCCCCTGAAACTCATGGCGTACATATATCCCCTCAAGGACCTCTGAATGAACTTCCTTTAGTGTTCAGCATCTCTCCGCCTTATAATCTGCACTAAAAATTACCAGCACCGAAACCTGCTCTTGTGACCTCGTTCATCCTCCTCGATGCACTGCTGACACTTCGCTGTGAAGCAGCAGTCCTGGTTAAAGACGAGCCGGTACTGGCCGCACTTTTGTCCCCCCTTGGACAGTTTCTTGCATGTGGGGAAGTCGACGCGACGGTTTTCGATTGTGCCCTCGCATACAGGGCAAGTGACATAATAGATGGAGATATAACACATGGTGTTGCAGGCGAAGCAGGGTAAGGAGAGCGATGGCGTATAAGGGACTTTGCAACAACGGGAGGGGATTGTCATATTTACTGATGAGACTAACCCGATTTTACGAATTCACGGCGGAAAGCGCAATTATATATCATCTGAAAGTTTCTGATTCATCCTCCTAGGATTGTACAATCTGAATTGTAGCTGTAGACAATAGTGTGAATGCAGACGCTGATTCACATGTACTCGAAGTGGTGAACATTGGTTGGGTTCTGCCTTTTGCTTTCCCCTAGCCGTTTGCATCTCTCACAAAGCCCTTGTTCATCGAGAGCCTTCTGGCGTCTGTATTTATACCCTCCTGAGCATACACGGCCTGTGCGCCGGTACTCCCGGCACTCAGGAAGGTTCCGGTAATGCTTTTCGCGCGTCGCCCCGCATGGACAGGTGACAATCCCAACAGAGCTGAAGCACATGGTGAGAAGTGTCTTTAACAGGCGATGAGGGAATAGTCGTAGCGAGTGTTGAAAGTAGATCTGCTTGGGTGTCGAGAATGCCAAAGTTGGAGGCTTTTGAATCGACGAGACAGGGGGGCCACACGAGCTTTATACTTTTACCAGAGAGTATTTCACTGATGAAGAATCGGACAAGTGATAGATCATTATGAATATCTCGGCCCAGTCAGTACGAGAGAGATTCATCGACGGCAAATGCGACCTTGGTCAACGCCGACTTCCCATCTTGCGCAGACTCAGCTATATCTGGCTCTCCGATTCGTTGTAGACCTAGCAGTGCATGGAGGACACTTGACTTTCCAATCTTTAATCAGCACCTCGACAAAGCCTCCTGGACAAACCTTCCCCGTCTTGTAAAACTCGTCACATGGCGGATTGTGTTTCACAGGGGTAGTTCTGACCACGGTGGGACAATAAGGACACGAGTAGGTGAAGTAGCCTTCAAAACACATGTTCATGTAAGTTCGGCTTCTTTTGGAGTATACGCTGATATCTCTCTGCGTCGCTTTTGTCGTCGGTTGATGGATGCTCTCGGCTGTTGCAATTGGACATTTTGAAGGAGAAGAACAGAGCAATTTATAGTTTTCTCGACGAACACAACATGGTGATGGAATAATCAGAGCCGCGGACAGTTTTCGCCGAGCAAGATTCGAGCTGATTTCGCAAGGCAGGCAGTCGCGGGCTCAGCTGGCGTGATTCAACTATCCAGATACGTGTCAGCATCAGCGCCTGGTAGCTACACCAACTACTAGACCGGTTATTCTGTATGTCTCAAATCCTCATCACACAACTATTTCCCCGTCAAACTATCTTGTTTCTGCCATTCAGCATACATGGTTCCTGTTTCAGCGAGGTCGTTCCGTTTGGAATTGGATCGCCTCTGATTGGCTGTATTTTGACTTCGAGGCAATGTACCGTGGTTTAACTTGCCAAGCACTCTTTTTTGCGGGATTCAAGTTGAGTAAAAGCGTATTTTGGATTCAAGACTTTGTATTAGATGACACTCCTATTCGCTGCCATTAGTTACCATTAGTTATTAACATATACGCAGAATACGGAGTTAAAAGAAATGTGGCATTTTAACCAAGCCGTGGCGTTCTCACCGTCCAGGATATCTAGATACTACTATATCCTTGTACAGCGGAGAATTTCGGCGTCAGAGAGTTCGAGCCAACACTTGACTTTGGCCCGAACATTCGGCAATCGTGATTCGTCGCGAACTTGCGTGGTATGATGACTTCGGTCTCCCCCACACCTCCGGTTCGGCAGGAGCAACCATGGGCCCTGCCTGTCATTTCCACCTTGCCCCGCATTGGTCTCCATTGTCGTATGGATGTGCAAGGGATCCATCTCTTATCAACCAACACAACTCATGTACACAAGCATATGTACAAACGCCCGAATCACAGTATCGTGGGCTCCCAGTGCCACAATGAAGCTTGGACATGATCATGCATAAGCAAGCCACGACGCAGACCTGCATGGCGGCCGCATGGCTTCCGCATGGTCAGCATTGCCGCCATCCGGTCTAACGCCTCGGCGAATACCCGTCGTCGGTTCGCAAATTAGCCCGGGCTTGGGGTTTTCCTCTTGCTGCCTTATGAATGTCCGTCGGACCAGACTCCGACACGTCACCGCTGCCGTGTGCAAGCCCATCAACCCATCAACCAAGGCCACCTCCTTCAGTCCGGCTCGTCCAAAATCGAAATCGTGTCAAAGGTGATTGTGGAAAATGGAAAAAGGTGTTTTGCGCCTGTTTGCTAGCCCAACCTGCTCAAGTGGGTGGTGGGCGGGAAACTCTAAAACAGCCTGGTGCCAGAAATGGATCACGCAGGCTGGCGGCATGGAACACGGAACAGTCAAGAAAAACTTATCACGGCCTTATCTTGGGCAAAACAACCCTCCAACTCACGACAACCGGAAAACCGTGACCAACTTTCCGAAGCCTTGGCCTAGGCTTGACCTCACTTCCTGTCCTCCGGATTTGCAACCCTCCACCGTCATTCCCAAGACACCACACCACGTCTCGCCTCGCCACTACGTGTTGACCTAGCCGGCATCCAGCATCCCCAACGGCAGTAACGCCGACCCCACGTTTCCTTTCGCAAGGAAGCAAGTTAAGGCTGACGGTCCAGCGGACCCAGCGACGCACGAAGGGTCTGATTTCCAGTCCACCTGGCCCTTATCAACAGCGGGTCACAATCGCCATCAGAACTCGGCACCGCGATCGAAAAAAGGAGCCGAAATTTCACGCATATACTAAACCACGGTCCTCTTGAAATTGAATAGGAGTCAACTCCGCTTGTTGGAGCCTTTACCCATCTCTGGCCTCGCAATGAGTGCCCAAATATCTTTCCTGGTATGGCTCCCTCCACCCCACACTGCCATGAGTCCATGACCCCGCTATGCCGACAACGGCGAGCCTGTCGTTCAAGCTCGCCATTCCCCTTTGGCATGCTGTTCAGAAGGAGCTGCCTCAAAGGATGAATCAAACAAAGGATGAAGCAAGGGATACTGGAATCATTGGGTTCAGTTCGACAACGATTCAAGCTAATCAAAGCCCTAGGATGGGACCTACACGTTGATCCACATCCCCCTCGACTTGTACACGACATTTCTTCAACCCATTCTTCGAGTCCTCATCCCCCAAACAGCGCGCCTTCATCTCGGGGCAGACTTTAAACCTGACGTCGACGAGCTGGACGGTCTTTCCGAGGAAAACCAGCATGGCTTCTTGAACATTAGTGTCACACCGCTGGAGGCATCTATTGTATGCCACACATCATGGGCAAAGGAAGTCTTTGAGCCCGTCATCAACTCCTTGCCGGCGCAAAAGGCCAAGACCGTTTCAGTATTTACCGATTCATACATGGTTCTGTCCGTCATTGGCGCTGGCCTGGATGCTGCCACAAGGGTGTTGGAGCTCAGCTCTCCACTTGCACTGGCCGGTATTCCCATCTTCTTTATCACGACGTACTACTCCGACTTTATTTTGGCGCCAACTCGAGAAAGACAAAATGTCATAGCAGCCCTATGCGAGAAGGGCTTCGAAATGTCCGAGAACCAGTCCAACTCTGTCACTTCCCCCACGTATAGTCGCAAGAACTCGGAGTCCCATCACTCCGCGTCTCCGCCAAGCACCCCGCCTCCCTCGACTGACAATGAGCTGCAATTGCGAACGTTTGATCTTCTGCACAAGCGCAGCGTTGCTCCCTATGTGGATGAGGACCTTGAGTTGGTTCAGTGCTCTGGGCGAGAAATTTCTCAGCTGGCTGATGCTTACGGACACCGGTCGTCCATTAGCCGTCACACCGTAACAGACAACCGCCAATCCTGGATTGAGAATGTTGACACAAAACTATACGCGTCCTTGATATCTGTTCTCATCTCACAGCCGCGATTTATATCCATTACACTAGCTCATGAAGATCCTCCATCGCTTCTAATGGATAAGAATCTCCTTGGCCTTTTTAGCGACTCGCTCGTCGGCGACATGGACAACATTCTAATCCCTATATTCCTTGATCTTCTCAACCTATCATCCGAGGTCACTGGCATTGTGTGCGGGGTGTCAGGTCGTCTGGTTGATGAAATGAAAATGACGGCCACGTCGGAGCTGTCGTACCTATCTACAGCACGCGCAGGCGTGGTTATCCTGCCAGAAGAGCAGTCCACGCGCGCACTCGATATTTTGAAACCACTTCTGCAAAAGGACGAGTAGTCTTGCACTGGTCATCTCATATAGCAGGAACAAATAGTACCGCCCGTTCTTGAGGCTATAACACACAAAAGTTGTCGGATCCAACCCAGTTTTATGTCTAATCCATACTTCGTTCGAGGGTAATATATCCAAGTAAATGCCAACGCAGCGCGGGGCACCACGCCTCCAAGATACCAATACAAATAAAGTAACTCTTGGCCTCCACGTGTCGTCGTCTCCGTGACCCTGTTCCCCAGCAGCACCCGCGCCCGTAGTCGCCTCTCTTCTCACAAGTCTATCCCATCCCTCCATCCCTCCAAGAGCACGTCACTTCCCAGCGACACCCGCGCGAACCATGCCGTCCCTCGCGACGCCATTAATAACCGCGAACCGCCGCGGGCCCAGCTTCACGCCGCCGTACCACCGGCTCACAACCACGACCACCCCCCACACGTCCATGACCTGCATCAGGTGCAGCAGCCTGCCCCCGGCCGCCGTCTCCCCGTCGTCGTCGCAGTCCTGGAACTGCGTGGCCCCGTGGCCGCGTATCCTCCATGCCGTGATGTTGTGCGTCGCCAGCCGCACCTTCTTGTCCGACGCCAGCAGGTGCGCGACGTGGCTCCTCGCCTCCTCGGGCGACGACGCCCTCGCTACCCTCGCCACAAACGTCGACTTGTTCTCCACAACGACCGCGGACAGTGTCCAGTCCGGGGCCGGCAGGGCCTCCTCCTCCTCCCGCGGCGTCGGCTCCTCGTCCTCCGGCCCGTCCTGCGTCTCCTCGGGGCCGGGGGCCTGCTCCTCGACCCGTCTGCCAAACTCTTCCACCGCGTCAAACAGGCACACGCTGCCCTCCTGGAAGACGCTCGGCAGTATGTCCTTGAATAGACGTACGTCTCTCGCTCCGGCGCCTCTGACGCCCCCCGAGGAGTGGTGCGTGCCCAGGACTAGGGGTGGTTGTGCGGGATATGCATCCGGAAACCGGATTCTAAGCGATGATGCGTCACCGGGTAGCTTGAGAATATATGTTGATGAGGACTCATCTTCCGTGGGTGCGAGTGTCCCGTCACCGTATATAGAGTTTATTGCTTCCACCTCGTCCAGCAGCTCGTCTGACATTGTAAGCCTCTGGCATCACTTTTGTTTTGTGGTGTGTGGTGATATGAGAATAGAATATGCAGAGCGACTCGAGGTTCGGATGTTCCGCACAGTGCTAAATTGTGGGGCACGTTCCTCCCAATAACGACATCGTTCACGTAAACTCACACATCCACTTCCTTTCGTCTACGCACCTTGTGGTAGCGTATGAATAACATGGATTGGATACAGCTTGACATAGTTTATAATACGATCACATCCTCTGCCACCTGCTACCGGCAGTCTTGCTCTATAGTGTCATCTTCTTGACAACTCACGAAACTAGGATACACCCCTTTACAAATTACTCTTACTCGTCAATAACGGATGCAAACCTGTCCATCATTTCTTGTTGAATAGCTTCATACTGTGGCAAAGTTAGCCAATGACAGGAAAGCCGGTGATAAAGGGTCAACAAACCTTCTTAGCGATTGCCTCCTGGCCGTCAGAAGGCAACTCAAACTTGAGTTGCTTCAGCTTAGCCTGTAGGTCGGCAGTGGCTTCACGTACTTTGCCCCAGCTCTGGCCTTGGGCAATTGCCTTCTGGGACTCATCGTGGAAGCCAACCATGAGTTTCATCATCCACTCCGTCTTCCAGATGGGGCAGAACTGATCATAGTCTGAATAACCATTTTGTTGCAGGAAATCTTCCTTGATCAGGGCAGCGAGATCAAGAGTAATCTTGTCGGGATCAGACAAGGCACTCTTACCAACAAGCTGCACGACTTGGTCGAGTTCTTCCGAGTCAGAAATGAGCTGCTTGATTCGGTCTCGAAGCCGGGGGAACTCGGGGTAATCCTTTTCGTAGAATTTGTCGAGAATGGTGGTGTACTTAGTATACGATGCAGTCGTGTTGATTGAAGGGAAATGCTTTCGCTGAGCGAGCTTCTTGTCGAGACCCCAAAAGACTTGGGCGATACTGAGGGTGGATGTAGTGACAGGGTCTGAGAAATCACCGCCAGGGGGGCTGACAGCGCCAACAATGCTGACACTGCCGTTTCGCTCAGGGGAGCCCAAAGCCTGAACTTTGCCAGCACGTTCGTAGAATGAAGCGAGCTTGGCACTGAGATAGGCGGGGAAGCCCTGGTCGGCAGGCATTTCTCCCAAGCGACCAGAAAGTTCTCTCAGGGCTTCAGCCCATCGCGATGTGGAATCAGCCATCATGGCCACGTCTAGGCCCTGGTCCCGGAAATATTCAGCGACAGTAATCCCAGTGTAAATCGAAGCTTCTCGAGCGGCGACGGGCATATTGGAGGTGTTGGCAATCAAGGTCGTTCTCTTCATGATGGGTTCCTTGCGACCGTCAACCTCGATGGACAGCTCAGGGAAATCCTTCAAGACTTCAGCCATTTCGTTTCCACGCTCACCACACCCAACGTACACAATGACATCACTGTTGGAGAACTTGGACACGGACTGACTGATGACAGTCTTGCCGCAGCCAAAAGCACCGGGAATGGCAACAGTACCTCCCAGAACACTGGGAAAGAGGGCATCCAAGACACGCTGTCCGACAATGAAAGGCTGATCAGCAGCCAGCTTTTCAGTTGTGGGACGAGGGACTCGAACAGGCCACGACTGCATCATGGGGTATTCAGTCTTCTTGCCATCAAACTCAACCTCCAGGATATTTTCGGCAACAGTGTACTCGCCCTTGGGGGCAATCTTGGTGATAGTGCCGCGAGCACGAGGTGGGAACAGAATCTTGTGGTTAGAAAGGAAGGAGTTCTCAAAGACATTACCCCAGACGTCACCGCCGGCGAGGTGATCGCCAACCTTCTTGGCAGGGGTGAACTGCCACTTCTTCTTTCGGTCGAGCGAAGCAACTGAAATACCACGGGGGATATAAATGGTCTTGGAAACTTTGGAGATTTCCTCCAGTGGTCGCTGAATACCGTCGTAGATACCGTTGAGCAGACCAGGGCCAAGTTCGACGGATAAGGGCTTTCCGCTTCGTGCGACAGGGTCGCCAACCTTGACACCGGCTGCAGAGTGTTAAACAGCGTATTCAGAGGGATTCGATTCACAAAAGGAGGGTTCGTACCGGTCTCTTCGTAAACCTGAATTGATGCCTGATCTCCGTTGATTCGAATGACTTCACCGACAAGGTTGTCGTGACCGACTTTGACCTGAAGAGGACGTGAGTCTTGGGATTTGTCTCGCACCATTGGCTGTAGACGACTTACGAGTTCGTACATGGCAACGCCGATCATGTCTTCGGCCACAATGACGGGGCTGTTGGCAGATTAGCTCGTTGTCGTTGATGGATGAGGAAGAGCTTCAACAGACCCGGAGATGGAGTAGATTTTGCCTGCGCAGCATGTTAGCAAAGCAAACAGCCGTCAATAAAGTCGATACAAGATTGAATGCATTGCCTACCATATTGAACAGCTTCATCGCTGGTCTTGTTGGTTTTCTGTCGCAAGCACAAAGGTTAGTCTTGATGATGATACAGTGGGGCAATGAGGCCGACCATCACGGGGCCGAAGGCATGGAGAAAACGGGCGCGACCGTTGGATGGCATTGACACTTGATGAGGGGTGCGCATACAGACGGCATCTTGGGCGGGTTTGAAGACGTCGGCTCTGGCTCTTGATGAATGGGAGAAGAGCGCTCGGGGGAGGGCGACGAATGCTGCGAGGATGACAGCGTCGACGTTGAGGGAGATGGCGATGGCGATGCTGGTGAAGGTGGTGAAGGTGAGGGTGGAGAGTTCAAGGACAGCTCTGACACAGCTGCTCCAGCGTCGAAGCGGATTGGGCTGGGCGTGCCTGGTGGAGAGAGTGGAGGCGATGATGTAGCAGAGGCAGGAGCAGCTGCTGAGGCCGGGGCCAGGGGAGTGAGAGGAGCTGGTGCAGGAGCCTCAACATCAGGGAAGGAGGGAGAGCCAAACACCGACGTTGCAAGCAGTGATCCCCGGCGAGAGCCAGCTGGAGACCAAGGCCAGGCACTAGTATTACTACCAACACCGGCTCCGGCTCCAGCCCCTGGAGACGCCGGCAAGGGGAGCTCGACCGCAGACGACGAGTCGCTGGTTCCTGGGCGGGACGACAAAGAGTTGCTTCGGTGGCGGACGAGGTCCAGGAGTGAAGGCCGAGCCTTGAGTCTGGGTCGGAGTCCGGGTTGCATGCACGACTGCCGATGCGTTTCCACGGCTATTGCCAGTGCTGATGCCTTGCAGACTTGCTGTTGTGTTGATGTTGCTCGGAAAACAACTGCATAATGACAGTACGGAGTACAAGTACTACAAGCAAAGCAAGCAAAACGGTGACGCATGGTGAGCCCACCAGCCACTCAGCCTGACAAGACAGGGGTCGCTGCCCCCGGAGATCTGTCAAAGGCAACCAACCACCGATTCAAAATGGGGAGTGACTACAAAGTTGGAGACTTGCGCAATCTGAATACGCCTGCTTGCTGGGAGATGCGAGGGTTTCAGCATGGCATTTCTGCTAGCCACATCAACACGACATAGAGACGGCGACGACATGATGTTTCGCCATCTCCATCCTGGTCTCGCGGGATATTCAGACCTTGTCCACCACCCTACCCTACATGCAATCTCGAGTTCATATTTGCAGTCTCTGCTCTATTTTTATATCGGTCTTTCAAAATAGTGAATTGGCTCTGAAATCTTTTTTTTCTTGCATCTGATATGCAACCTCCCACAAATCATCCAATATTGATAACCATGCCCGGGGGCTATGTTCTTTTACATAACATCTTGACCTATATACACCAACTACACAACACCCAACACCACGCAATGCTGGACCCCTAAAATACACTACGCATCTTCGGCGCCCTTGATCCCCTTGGCCTTTGCTTCAGCAATAACTTCGTCCATAATCTTCTTCAACTCCTGCAGCGCGGCGTCATCGGCGCCCACAGCCGACAGAGTCTTTAGTGTAATAGGGACGCCACACTCGTCGTGCTCTCCCTTTTCGTCCTGGACACCGGACCGCTTTGTCAGGTTGATGCCGGGCTTTGGCTTCCAGCAGTTGTCCTGGCTGCGGGCAGCGCGTAGCTGGCAGATCTCGTCGGTCTTGCAGTCGCCGGTGCAGGAGGCGGGCTGCCAGCCACGGGACTTGCGCGCCATGTAGGCGTTGAACTGGGCGTCGTCGTTTTCAAAGGCGACGGTGACGTTGTGCCAGAAGGCGGGGGTGAGCTCGGCCTTGGGGTCGGTGAGAGGGGGTGAGACGAGAGGGCCGTATGACTCCTTGGCCGAGTAGAACTTTGTCCAGACGGGGGTTGTCTGGAAGGAAGGGTTGGTCATGTCAGCCATGTAGGTGGTGTGGTCGAGGACGGCAAAGGTGTCCGGGTCGACAGTGTAGACGCGGAACGAGGGCATGCCGGAGGTGGGCGTGAGGGATGGCGCAATGTACGAGGTCATAAAGGCGTTGGAAGCGCTGCGGTGCGCGTAGTCGCTGTACGACACTTCGAAGTGGTCGACATGCGTGTGCCCGAAGAAACTTGCTGCAATAGTGTTTTGGTACCGCTTGAACACTTGGTCAAGGTAGTTGGAGCCGTCGCGGAGGGCGTCTGCCTCGCCGAGCGGCATGTGGCCCATGATATAGACGCGTTCCCCGGCTTTCTCGGCGGCATCAAGCTCTCTTATGAGCCAGGCGATTTGGTCGTTGGGATCCTTGTCCTCGTACGACTGGTACATCCAGAAGTTGTGGCGGTAGTAGAGATTAGTGTTCAGAGAGATAATGCGGAGGTTGCCTTTGGGATACTTGGTCGAGTAGGCACCGATCTTTTCGACCATGGCGGTTGAGCTTTCGCCGATCCAGTGTTCCCAGTCAGAGGAGAGGAGGTTGTAGACCCATTGGCTGTCGTGACCGATGGCATTGGGGACAAAGGCGTTAACGGGATGGGCTTCGTGGTTACCGGCAGTGCCGTAGACGAGTTTCAGGCTTGAGTTCATGGTGTCGTACGCATGTTGGACTTGGGTGTGTTAGCTGCGTGTGAGGGCAGTTGTGCCTTGCAAGACAAAAAAAACTTACTCAAGTTGGTGTTGTACGGCTGGCTGGTGTTCCAGATGGCGTGGTCGACGATATCGCCGGTGAAAATAGTAAAGGCGGCATCGGGCACAATCGAGTTGATAGCGTCATACATGCTTCGCTCTAAAGTAAAGGGCACATCACACATGTGGTCACCGTTAGGTCCAGCAGGGAACTTGGTGTTGCCAGGTTGGTCGTCCTTGGTGTAGGGTCTTTATTGAGTTAGTTTTGCCTCAGCCTTGCCTATGTTGAAGTGAGGACAAACGTACCTGCAGCAAATAGGCCTGCCGTCGCACTGCGTGCTAGACCCAGGAACATACAAGGGATCAATATGAATATCGGAGTAGTGAACAATCTTGATGGGATCCTTGCCACCAGGCTTTGGCCGGCCACCAGCAGGTTGCGCCGAAGGGTAAGCAATATCCCACGTTTGCACATCGGGATATCCACAAACGCCCAAGAAGGTTGTGCAAAACGCCTTGGAGGTCCTTGAGCCAACGGAGATCTTGCGAATGTCAGCTGCTATGATGGGGCCTTCGAGAGCAACCGCGCCATCACAAACGTCGCCGGGTTGGACCTGGAGGCGTTAGCACAAATCAATATGACGTCTTGTATAAGCAGAGAACAAACCTTTGCAAGCTTGCAAATCCCCTGAATCACCTTGACGAAAGCTCCATCACCAAAGAATGCGAGAACTTTGAGCGCACCCAGCAGTAGCTACACACCAATTAGCATCATGTGTCTGACGGATGGATGGATGGAGAGTTGCATGTAAGGATTCTCACCTCTCCGCCGGCACAAGTAGTAGCGTCCTTGAGCTTTTGCCAAATGTCATCCAAAAGACCTCTCTCAACCAATGCTCTGGTCAGTAGCTCAACGTCACGTGGAGAAAGCTGTTCCAAGTCCCGAGAGTTTAGCATTTCAAAATCTCGTGCAAACAGATCGCGGGATTCTTGAGAAGAAGCTGCGGCTGCGGCCTGGACCACAGGGCCCAAGGCAAGCAGCGGGAGAAGAGAGCCCGGACGCATGGCTACGCGTGGTGTTGATTCGAGTCAACAGCGAGCAAGGAAGGATGAAGCAGTTGAGGCAAACTGCAGACACTCTTGCTCGACGATCAGGAAGCTGATGTCTCGCGTGACCGTGGCAGACTGCTGATCTGAGTTTAAAGGGTGGCCATATGACTACATTTATAGAACGGCACTAAACAAGAAGACTCATGACAAAAAAAGCACGTACATACACACGTCGACGGAAGTCAACGCCATCCCGGCAAGTCTGTTTCACCGTCGCCACCTATTCATCCTGGAGCAAACAACCCCCATCGGCTGAGAGTGCCGTGGAGGACCGCCGACGATGCCACGAGCTTGAGCACCCCCGATAGTCCAATGTCGAGTTGCAGGATAGGGCCTGCCCCCGGAACCGAACGTGGTATTGGGAATGTCAACACGGCATTAGCCGGATCCAATAAGAGATAAGATGAGCGGCATGCTCTGTCTGTGCCGGTGGAGAGGATGGCTGAATGGTCCCGAGCCATGATAGCGTTCCTGGTGTATGCCAGGGGAGCAGAACCGGGGGGAGGCACCTTTGGGCAAATCGGTAGCGCAACTGGATAAAGCGCCGGCGTGGGAAAGCGCACGTAGATGCTGTTATTGGCAGCTGGACACGATCGATGGATGATGGTGTGGGGGAAGAAAGATGGAGATGTTTGGCCGAGCACGTTGGCACAGAAGTTCAACATGTCGGTGCAGGAAACGGTGCAGAGGTGTGGCAGGCCCGAGGCCCGTGATTGGCCGAGCGGCGAGGCGCTGCGAGGCGCGGTGAGGCACGAACCGAATGGCCCATCCCATCTGCATCACAGGGTCTCGTGAGGCAAGCCACCACCGCACCAAAAGGAGAAGAGCAACAGCGCAGCAGCGCAGCAGACGACGGGCAGCAAACGAGCACATGATACATACGCCATGTTGAACGGCCGTGGCCCAGCGTGGGAATAACGGCTCGGCCGGGTCCCAGTTGGACTGACTCTAGAGTTATGACCTCAACCTTATTCTCCACAAACTGGGACCGGCAATCCCAGAGGAGACACCGTGCTCGAGTCAATTAGCAAAGTTCCCATCTAATTATACCCAGTGGAAACCTCCGTATTGTACTCTCCGATTCCCTGCTTCAATATACTACTACTACAGGCCTCGGCTGGTTCAGGTCAGTCAGTGTCAGGCAAAAAGCAAACACCGCCAAGCAGGGCCAACTCGTCATGGCGTCTGCAGTTCACCGCTGACAAGGTTGCAGACAACCTCGAGCCGAAGCTGTGATGATGTAGTCATGCAGCAGAGACACACAAGGATCATCTCCGACTCGCCTTCCCATTTCTATCCCCTCCCCTCGCTCCAAACACCGCCTCTGCGGAGGACAGACGGCCCCCAGATATCCAAACGAAAACCTTGCAGTCATCGAAATCACCTTGTTCCTCGTACGTCCCATCTCTACAGTTTCCTAAATGCTTCTAGCCCACCGTCCTGCTGGTCTTGGTACCCACGTCTGAGCGCCAACATGTCTCGGGTCGCACATTTTGTACATACGAACTGCACCAGTAGACACCCCGGCCTTTCAACAAGAACCTAAAAATGTGTACTACTTTATTGATGAACGTGCATGGTATGACAGTTGGATAATCCGTGGCTTGACGTTCTTTGCCAAGAACCAAGCCCGGGTCCTTTTGAGCGGAACAAACCAGATAGTATTGTCCATGCAGACTAACATCTTCTATCCGAAACTTGAGTTGAATGGGACGCCATCTGGCATTCATCTTGGCTCGCCGAATTTCATCAGAACCAACGGCCCGTCTGGCAAAGACAACGTGGTTGACAAAAGATATTTACTTATTCACATAATCCATTGTTCACATACTCCGTATTCTATCTTCACCAAGGAGATCGACTGTGGAGATACAAAGTAGCAGCTCCGCCCTGTGGGGAAGACAATGGCCCAGTTCGTCGGACTTCGAACTACTCAACCGATTTCTCGGCTTCTGGGTCCCCTGGAAGGCAACTCAACTCAATGTTAGAGTTGCGCCAATGGCAAGTTTCCTACGTTGAGTGTCGGCAACCGAAGGGGTTGACAGCGAATTCTATATACGTACTCCGGCCGCGCCGAACAAGTTAAAATTTACACGGAATGCTGTATTATGGTATTCATGTGCTCTTGATTACGCCCATTCGGAGCATGCCCGTGAGCCAAGGCTCCGCGGCGCGAAGCCATGTGAGCAGTGCAATTACTACCCAAGTTGCCAACACATTGTGTAGGTTACATTGAAATGGATGCTGTGAAAGAGTACATGTAGAAATATATACTCGACCTGGTGGGTTGGGTTTGTTTCCGCTTGTCCCCTCTTGGCCTTTAACCGCTTGTCGTCAGCTATAATACACACTAATATACATTCTATCCCAAATGCTGCAGGCTCGCCGCATCACCATACCCATGCCATGCGCTCCGCCTTGCCGTGCATTCACCATTTCCCAATGCCAAGTTGAGTATGCCGTCAACTGCTCCCCGCATTCGAAGGCAGTGGAACCTTGTCCCATGCGACATACACTGGACTCCGAGCTTCCTTTTGCTTTCGCCTCTCGCGGAACTTTTCCCCTTTTTTGGTCATCATGGGTAACTTGCCCTTGAACATGCGGTACCAGTCGGCTGAACGAGCACCAGGATCTGTGGCCAGAACGTCCTTTCTACGCTTCTTAATCTTGGGGTAGATGCTTTGTGCTCTCTTGTCTGGTAACTCAGTGATTGTGTATTGCACAGACCAGTCAAACTTCTTCTCGGCCCCAAACGGTCGGTCGACGAATTCGCCATTGACTTTGTTGCGAATGGTGACGTACATGCCCAGGAGCTCCGGCGTCGGTTCTTCGGGGACACTGCCATCTGTTTTCGTGTCAACGTCGACATCAGCGGCCGATTCCACGAGTTCGGCGTCATCGGCGTCCCTCCTTGCGTCTCTTTCATGAGCTGGAATAAAATCTGCCTTTCTGGCCTGAGTTGCCAAGTCGACAACCTTGCGTTCAAATGGTCTCAAGTTGGTACTGTTCTTGTTGATACCTCTGGTCACTTTGACAATAAGGTTGGCCAATGTGGTGCTATCAGAGTCGGGTTGGCCATCCGTCGCCTTTTTTTCGTCAGTTTCTTCATCTTTATCTGCCTGAGCCTGCCGTGACTCTTTAGCTTCCGACGAATGGGCCGTGAGCGCCGAAACCAGTTCATCCAAGTATTTCTCGCTCTCCAATTCTGTCTTATTTTGAAGAAGACCACTCTGTTCAAGGGCTTCCTGGACTGCCTCTCGTATGGACCGCACCCCCAGGGATTCATTCTCGACTGCTTCGTCAACCTTGGACATCATTTCCTTCCAAGTATCCTCATTCTGTGGATCGTCGACGGAAATATCATCAGAACCTCTATCGGACTCTTCACCCTTCGTCGTTTCTCCTGGAACAGTCTCGGTAGCTCCAGCAGACTCTGCCTCTCGTTCTTCACGACTGAGACTCTGAATTTCGCGCTCTAGTTGCTCCATTGACGGCTTCTCGGCCTCTTGTGTCTTTCTCATTTCCTCTTCGGTTACTGGCTCTACAAAAAAGTAAGTCAGAGGAACCTTTGTTGGCCGTGTCTCGACATGTAATCGTAGAGTTCGCCCCGGAAATCGCTGAGTGGCTCGATTCATGAGGTCATTAAGCAAGGCAATGCTGCCCTTGAACTCCTCATCCCCCAGCCGTGGATCGTGTGTGCCATGAATTGCATGGTCCATTTCTGCCAAACTGATGTATTGAAACCCGAATATCCTCTGCGTGTTATGGAAGGCTACAAAAATGCCATCCATGCGGCCCATCCGGACCTGTAACGAGTACTTCAAGAATGCTGCTCGAATCATATCGTAATACTCGCGTTCAAAGGATTCCCATTGTCCAAAGCGCTTCCGGATCTCGTAGCCGACTCCCTTTTCATAGCCCTTTACGTCCATCCGTATCGAGACTACCGCCCTTGTTTTTAAATCAAACACCCCTGAGCCGGGCAATCGAGGATCGTGGGCGTCAAGTTGTGACCGCATCATAAAGTCGCCGAGTGTGGTGAAGTGATACGCCTCCTCTGCATTCTTTTCTTCTTCCGAAAGTTTATGGGAGCCTGAACGTCGGTACTTTTCAAACTCTTCCTTTGGCAACGTAAGTAACTTCTCCATCGACTTGCCCAGCATGCTAAGAATATTCTCCGTATCGTACTCCTTGTCTGCGTCAATTGCATACACGCCGTCTTTGAAGTGTGCAAATGCAGCGGCTGGCCCACGGCTAAGGGCGGTGAAATTCAGGGACTCGGGCGTAAGCGACTTGGAAAGGCTATCAAAATTTGGTTGCCTCCAAGCCGAAAGGAGAAAGTGAAAGTGCGATAAAATGGATGTCATACTTGATGTTGAGCCACAGTATTTAAGTCCGTGTGCAGCACATAGCTCTCGTAGCTTGGAGTCTTTGGATGACGTTGTATATTCTTTCAATGCGTCAAAATCAAATTCGTCAACAGGCATGATGGATGCCAAGTAGGGATCGAAATTGAATACGCCAGACCGATGATCCTGCATATGATACACCCCGGGATTAAAAAGCACTCTGTCCAAGTTATAGCTCAAGTGCGGTGGCGGTTGTTGAGACACGTTTTCCTTGACAGGTTTTAGCTTCAACTTATGTGGTCTAATTACTTTTACGTCCAAGGCCGCTTTGCCTCTTATCCGTTTGGATTTTGATGCTCCCTTCTTCGGTGTTGGCTCCGAGGCTTCGTCGCTCGTTGCTGTGTCGGCGTCCTTCTCATTATTTTTTAAAACGGCCGTCTCTGTGGCCTCGTTATCTTTAGAAACCTCCATTCTCGAGCGGAGCGTTGTCCAAATTCCCCTATTACTCTGATCACGCGCCTCGGCAGGTGTCGAGTCGCCGTTCGAAGGCAAAGTAGTTTCGGATTGGCCTACTGCTTCGGGTTTGAAAAACGATGCCCATTTCTTTTGGGTTTCCTCGGGTTTCTGCTCATCTCGGTCTTGCTTTCGTGGTGTTTGGGTGCTGGGCGCGGGTTTGCCATCGCTCGGGTCCGTGGTCAAGTACTGGGTTGTGGACAGAGGCCTTGACCTCCGCAGTGGGCTTGCGACCTGTTGGGCTCTTGTACAATGCAGCGACCTGGCCAATTGACCACTGCAGCATCGAACGCGAAGCATCTCAGATGCTGGGTGCAGATAAGCCAATACTGTCTTATATTGCGGCACAAGGAGCAATCACGAGCCGTTGAAAAAGTGAAGCGGCCTTTGCCCATTGTGATGTTATCGATAAGCCATCTAGGTACAGGGTACATTGCACTCCGTACAGTACTCCGTACTACTGCTAGCATCGATTGATGGGACCCATATTTGTCTTGAATGATTGGTTGAGATAGAGCTGCGGACCTGCTCCCTCATTGCCTTGAGCTGGCATTGGGCATTCGAGGCACGGAGGCTTCGTACTCCACGTCCAGTTTGGCTGGTCCTCCATTCCGCAACGTCATCCTTAGATTCCGGAGTTGAAGGCGACAGCCTTGCGCTGCAGAGATGGGCGCAAGCGATTCCAAGATTGTCTTCAAGCAAGGCATTTTCAAGCTCTCTGAGGAACGCCATATTCCTTCAGGCGATCCATACTGGACATCGGTACACAGAGCCACCCACAAAGCCCAGCTGCTACAATTATTGTTGCTTACTTACGAGAGTGTGTAGTTTTGGGAGCTTCCAGAATCTTCCGAGGATGTTTTCAGCCTTTTCTCTCCAAACGACATCCGAAGAACCCGGGACAAAGCATTAGAAAACATCGAAACCTTAATATTAGCATTAACGTCGCGGCTATTCCTGCTTCGATACCATCCATCGTTTCCCGATCCCGAGCTCGCTCCCGAGAAGGATGCCTTGAACTGCATTCGAGTATTAACTCGGTTGCTTCCCTATCTATACGAAAAAGAGAGCCTAAGTAGCTGGCAAGAACGCTTCTTTTGGGGCCAGCGTCGAAGGAAAACACGGCGGGCCATCATCGCAAACGAAGTCCTTTTCGACGGAGCAGAGAATGACAAAGAAGAAAGCAAACCTAATGCTGAGGAATACGAAGAAGTCAAGCCCCTTGCAGAGGAGCTAATAGACACTCTGATAGATTTACTCTTTTATTCCGACCTTACCATTACTCGTCAACCTCATGGCCACGACAAAGTCACCTACGCAATATGGCAGAGCGGTGTTGGATGCAATAATGCCGTTGCCACAACCAAGGAACTTGAGAGCAACCGGGCGGAGATCCTACGACTACTGCTGGCGCTGGCTGGTCAAAGCATGTACTCCACACCAGGAGTTCTCGCTCAAGCTGGAACACGAACGTTGACATATCTCTGCACCTGCCAGGACAAGCAAATTGTCCTTTCGGTTCTCTGCTCTCTACTTAATACGGTACGTTTGACTGCATAGTCAGGAAATGGTGTCGTATATTTTAGACGCTAACTGATACGTAGACTCTCAAATTCAACCCGGCAAGCTGGCGAGTGCCGTATAACACACTGGGGTTCAAAGATGCGAAGCAAATATTGGTGACTTATTCTCTAGAGTTTCTGCTCACGCTACTCGTATACCCGATTCCTGAACAGACCACTCAGTCGAGTATATCTTCCAAGAACTTTTACCGCCATTTCCTGGGTCGTTTGCACCGACCGCAAGACTTTCAGTTTATCGTTGATGGCATGTCGAGAATACTCAGCCAGCCACTCCAAGAAAAGACATCATACCTGCCAGGGGCTCAGGCCACTACCAACTTCGCACCTGAAATCCTGATGTTCTTCTGGGAAATAACACAATGCAATAAGCGATTTCGATCCTTCATCATTGATACGAACCGAGTGCATGACTTTGTGGTGTTAACAATATTTTATGCGCTGGAGTACAAAAACGAACCCGCCAAGCAGGGAGTCGTCCGAATGTGCGCATTCTTGCTCCAGACGCTAAGTGTTGACTCAAAGTTTGGTCCTAGTCTGAACAAGCAATTCGAGGGTCAAGACAGCCTACCTGTAGGCATCCGCATCAACGGCTTCAAGGGCACGTATTGCGATTTCCTGATCCATTCCATCTACAATCTCATTACATCAAGCCAAGGCAGCTTCACAGCCATCTATCCGGCCCTCTTGGCGGTTATTAACAACATATCGCCATATATTCAGGGACTCGGTGCGGCAGGCAGCTCACAGCTAATGCACCTGTTCACGTCTATGTCATCCCCATCGTTTCTTCTCGCGAACGAGACGAACTATCAACTCTTGCACTCACTCATGGAATCCATAAGTGCCATCATCGACCATAACTATCGGAAGAACCCTGAACTTGTCCTGGCTATTATCAAAAATCGAAAGCGAATCGAAGCTTTGCGGTCTTTCACGCTTGAAAGTGGCCAAGAGGAGATTGAGCGAAGAAAACGGCTGAAGAAGGATCGTGTCGACTCGGTAGACTCTGGATCTATCCGAAGCTCATTCGATTCCACACGAAGCCCATCTGTTGCTCCAGTCAAGTCTCCAATTTTAGATGAAATCACTGAGGATGGCACTTTTGCGATTGGGGACTCTGACGACGATAGTGATGAAGACCCTCAACCGACGCCGACCCAATCGACGACGAGTGAGAACGTGTCACAAGCCTCATCAGCAGGCAACTTTGATGATGCCGTCCCAACTCAGCTGCGTGGCATGTCGGAAAAGGCTCGTGGCAAGATGCCAGCTGGAAGCCGCTCGTTCTCGAGACAGAATAGTACTACAAGTCTTGGCGGGCAATCGTCCTCGGCAAGAATGCAGAGTGGTTCATTTGAGCCTACCTCCCAGTGGATCGACGGCTGGCTGCCAGAGCTACCTCTTCACAGCATCTTGACGTTGATCCAGCAGGTTTCTAGTGTGTTGCCTCGTCAGGCTGGTCGAGAAGTGCTAACTCCAGAGCTTGTTCGTCGCATCCAAGAGATTGATTTGATTGGTATAGAACCTTCTCCGGCTCGGGTCCATTCTTTTGAGTGGTCTCCCCTTGCCTTGGGGTGGTACGAATCGCTGTTATGGGGCGTCGTCTTTTCCAATGAGATGCAGATTGCGAAGGGAACAATGGGCATCTGGAGTGGCACGGCAATCAAACTATTCCGCGTGCAAGAAACTGCGCCAGCGGGACCTACGCTCACTTCTCCCAGGGGGGCGGTCGATGCTGTAGGCAGCAACATTGTCTCTCGTATCGGACAAATCAACCTGCGAGGGGGACAACCAGCACCAAATGCAAATCCCAGTACCTCACCAAGGATGGGCCCATAAACTGCTGGCAGCAGGGCACAAACAAAGAACAAAGTACAGAAGTTGCAAACAGAAATCAGCGTTGAATCATTGGCGGGCGTTTTACGGCACAGCTTGGAACTGGGTAGCCGGTCATCGATCCCGCAACAAACTAGAACGCATGTACCGTATGATAATATCGAATCTTGTTATTGGATGTCTGTCTGGATCGCTATATTAAGATCAAATGCCATGTGTGTTGAATTGTACTAGCTTTTCCTCCCGGGTATCTCAGGTTGATGTCATTGCATAAGAGGTTTGACGTTGATCTCAAAACATACTACCAAGAATGCACATGGACTTTTTGGCCACTCGTCTCTCTCTCTCTCACTCACAAGGTGTGGCTTGCGTGTGAAGCACTGAGAATGCTTGTAAAGCATCCGGTATTGAGGCCGGCCGCTAGGATATTCAATAATATAACCAAACTCATCATCGACCCTAGACTGATGTGCGTGTTTCTTGATTCCAGCCCGAAGGATATTTCTTGAGCGTCTTAGCCGCCTTGTTTCGAGCCAAGGCGATTGGCTATATTACTAGGCTTTATCTCAGAGCGCCGTGACTCGTGCGTAGGTTTCAACCACCAATGCAGATGCGCCAGTACGAACCATTGGTCCCTTTGATTGGAAAGACAGCGAGAGCGAAAAGAATAGAAATAAAAATAAATCCTTGTAGAGACTGGATGAGCCAGAGAGTATGTAGTATGCTGGGATTGAGCGGTCCATACTGCGCCATGGCGGCGGCACCTCTTGAGGTGTGTGTTACCGAGAAGACACAATCCCCCACACAATCATACCACGTCTCGTCTTGGCATTTAGGGTCACCGTGATGAACCGAAGGCTGCAGTGCTAAGACATTTACTTTACTCCGCGTACAGTGAGCAACCGGGGTAGTACATAGTATTTCAGTAGACCCCACGGGACAAAGGAGAGGAATGTTTTTTTAAAGTTGCGGATAACTGGGGGCAGTCATATCGGCCGGGAATACCAGCCAAATAAGAACAAGAGTACATGGTGATTGAGAAATAGGATCAAGATCTAACGTTTTCTGTTTACTTATGAATACTGTCATGGCCTTGGACGCCGCTCACATACTTAAGCAAGTACTACTCGGGTGTGGCGCTGGATGACGCTAATTTTAGCCTCTGAGCACCACACATGCAGCCAGGCACCCAGACGTTAACTCAACCGGCCCCCGTGGGGAGTGGCGTTTACTCAGCTATCCGAAAGCGTTCAACCAACGCGGGTTGGCATCTTAAGGGTCTGGTCTGGTGTAGTTATTTCTATCGAGGCAGCTAGCGGCACTCGAATAGACCCCAAAGAAATCTCAGTTCACAACACTCAAGGCTGGATAATGAGTGGCCTGGCAAGCGACAACACTGAATGCCTTCAATGTTTCACAGTGACCTGCACCACCCCGTGCCATCTTTATAGAGAGACTGAACAAAGCCCAAAATGCGCGTCCCTTTCACGAGATATCTAATCACCTTTAGCTTATTCAGAACGGCACGAGCCACCTTAACAGATACTCCATTATCCTCATCGACTCGCCATGATCAGCAACCTCCAGAACACATCGCGCAATTACCCACAGGCCTGCATTGCATCCAGAATAATAATAATATTAACACGTATACTCGTACACGCGAATCAAAATGTGAATAAACTACACTCCGGTCAAGTGACTGCAGCAGCCGCACATGTAATAGCCGGATTAAGCAAAAAAATAAAAAAAATAAAGGCCACATGATAGAGATACCGGCTTCCTCAGACTTCGTCCATACACATCCTGCCGTCGGCAGCAACGAGTCTCGGCATGTAACATGCAGAACGGCGAGAAAATAAAAGTCCAAGGCCACAAACTCTGTACGCTGATTTTATCTTCGTCTTCCATTGTTCCCTAATCATGCGGGATCAGTCCCCGCCTTGTCAAAAAGTACCGTGTAAAACCTCGACCCTTGAGAAATTAATCAAACAACAAAGCCTCTCCGGGTCGGTTACTATGACACCCCAAACGCCTATATGATTGCTCTATGTATACGAGCCATATCAACACTGTCCATGCCCACAGCCACGGGGGTGCGGGTTGAGGAGGTGTGTCAATGCTGAAAGTCATGCCTTCGTTTTTGTATGCCACAACTCTGCAATGAGTCTCTGTAAATGTTTTTATTGCCTCGCATTCGGTGTAATGCGTCGCTCAAATCTCAATCGTCTTCATTGCGTCGTCCACGATTGCCGGCGCTTTGCGATTCATCTTTGCCGGATGCTCATTCTCCTTGTCCCTGAGTTCATCCGAGTCGGCTCGGGTCATCATTGTTATGCGCAGACCATTCTTTCCCTCTTCACTCTCTCGTGGAGTCTCTACCTCTACCAGTTGGCTGGGCTCGATTTCGGCGCTTGGCACCTCGGGAATGGCAGATTCCTCCGTCACTCTACTCAAGGGATTTCTGCCGTATCCTCCCGCTCTCATGGGACTTGCCAGGGGTGACGAACCGCTCAACCGTTGCAAAGATCTACCCCGAGCATCGCCATTGGGCTCAACAGGGCTACCATACGGAGAGGCAGAGCGTGATCCAAGAGGGGAAGTAGCCTTTCCGGCGGCTACCGACTGGCGCTTATTGGGGCCGGGTCGCCGTCCGTGTTTTTGATCCATTCGCCACCTCAGGATATTGAAATAGGCCGGCTCGACTCGTGCATCCTTGAACTCCCTCAACTTCAACTCACCAGTCTCGTCATCTACGAACCACTTGCCACTGTTCAGGTCATCGGCAACCAGGGCGAGGAAAGCGGCCCAGGACCGTGCCACAACATATTTGGTATCATAGTCTCGTCCAAACAGAATAATTTGCCCCCAGCGGCCATTGGGTCCAGGCGCCAGGTCGACAGCCAAGTTGTTGCCACCCCAGTCCCGAACAAGGGGAATCCAGCCGCTGTGCGCATACGCCTTTTGAACCGAGTTGGCGGGGACGGAGCCTTGGCGGGCGAGGAGGCTCTGTCTCCATTCGCCGTCACCCGCAGAAGACGAAGACGAGGGCCGTGGCGGTTGCTGCTTTGATGAAGAAGCCTCACTGTTGCCGCCAAATGCTTTGGACGGGGTCGTCGGCTTCGGAGGTGAGTTGTCCAACAGATACTGATGGTTGACCCGTCTCCATTGATCCCACTCTTGTACGATTTCCTCACAGTCCATCAACATAGAACCAAAGATAATTCCGGTAGGGTTTCCTCCTCGTTCCTGGCCGTCGTGAACCATGAGCGACTCACGAACGTCTTGTGGCAGGGAGCAATCGAGTTGATGCTCTAGATCGTTGAGGTCGTTGGTCGTGGCGCCTTCGCCCAGTTGGTCCCACAGCTCGGTATAATTCTCCTCGGCCCATGAGTCAATGCGTTCCCATGAATAGCGAACGGGAGGCGGGGGAGGAAGGCCATCTTGGAAAGGCTGCATGGGAACGTCGCCAGGACTCTGAACTTCAAAACCATCACCTCGCTGTGCTGACTGTGAGCGCATTCCAGGTGAATAGCCCCGGGCGATGGGACTTTGGGTTCCATTACGGATGGGCGAGCCGCGACCTCCCTCGTCGGTGTATGGAGAAGTGATGTCAGCACGAGAGTCTGAGGCAGTAGCGACGCCTGTCAGTATTCCGTTTCGGCCATTGTGAAGAGGAACGTGACGACCAGTTCGTTGGGGGGAATCAAAGGTCGAGTCTGAAAACATGTTTTAGTATCCCAAGCACCAAACACAGGAAGCAAAGGCATGCAAGATGCCAGACACGGTGGGCTTACGTCGATCATTACTCGTCATGGTGTGCCAAAAGGAGAGAAGGGCACTGCTGAAGCTATTATTAAACGTCGGCATTAGCAAGAGGCGCATCCAAAAGGCGTGCAGTGTATCGCGTAAACATGGCGTTTCGCCAAGTGTTGAGGGAGAGCGCGGAGGAGGGCTTACGGGTTTGCCATGACGATATGGCCGTGATACGGGTAGCCCTGCGGGCAAATAAATCACGGTTGGTCAAAGTGGATGGATGGCAGTATTGCTGAGGTTGGAGCGTGTCAGTGATTCGTCTGATGGCCACGGAGGATGTGTTGGTCTGCGCGCTGGGTGTCGAATGTTTGTTTCCCCCAAGTGAAAGATCCGCGACGTGCTAGGTGACGGGCAGGATTTGGGAGAGTGTCAACTGGGGAGTGGAGACGAGAGCCAGGAGGGCGAACAGCGAGTGTCGTGAAAGGAGAGGTAGAGCAAGACTGGAAAAAAAAGAGAGAGTCGAATCAAATTGTACTGCAAACGGCGCAAGAACAGATCGGCGGCAGTGGTAGCGAATGGCCAGGGAAAATGTGGTTTGCGGCAAAAGGAAAGTTGGGGTTGTTGGAACGACGAATGCTCATGGGCATTTGAAGTCAGGGGCTTGGGACGACAGCGCGGGACATCTGGGCCATCTGGGCCATCTGGGCCATCTGGGCCATCTGGGCGCAGCTGGCAGCTGATTGGACGAGGCAGGCTCAAGCGTCGAGTTCAAGCGTCACCGCCAGCAATCGATGGTGGTAGGATCGCTGCGGACGGCGCCCAGTTGCCCTTCCGAACCTTGCGGCGGCTTTCAACGTTGTTGGGCCCTGATGTGATGAGCTTTAGCCCGGCGCTGCTGCAACGTGCGGCAGTGCTTCAGCGGCCTGCAACAATTGACGTCGTCACTGCGGGTCCAGGGATGGACTTGACATTTGGTGAAGCTCTGCAGCGCCCTGCGTTTCTCCTCAACTCGATGTTTGCAGTCGACATCTGGAGTGTCCAACATTGAACTGATTGATGGGTAATGAGCGCTGCCTTGCGCATTGTGCAACTAATTCCGCGCCAGGACTGTGACTGACTGCAACTTGGTAAAGGCGGGTTTTCAAATCTCGCCATTCAATGCCATGATTGCAACTATTCTATTCTTATTTTTATTTTGGCTCACGTCGATTAAGAGAAGGCCTCGCCCCATGACTACTTTATTTATTACCAACTTGGAACGAGAGCGAAATGACAGGGGTCGGCCTCCCCCAAAGTGATGCCAGCACCTCGACGTCCTGTACTCCGTACTGACAAGGTACCTGCTTGCAACGAGGGCCGTCTCTTGACAACTCGTCTTGTCCAGCTCCTGATTGCTCAAGGCCGTCGACGAGGGAGCGGATTGGTCTGGATGCAGAGTCAGGATGTGACTGGGCAGCATCTAAGCTCTTGGGGCGCGGTCCATGTCAGAGTGGAACGGGGCAGTGTGGACAACAAGGACAGAGCAGGTGTTAGGCAAAGGCCCCTAGAGCTGTGTGGATATCACGGCTGGGTTTTGTTGGGTTTCTCAATGGATGACGATTCCATACTGGCGACGGGAGTATTCAATGTTCCACGTTGGGCGAAGCTGCACTCAGACAGGAGACAGACCGACAGCATCTGCGTGCTTCGCGTACCCAGATGCTCTGCTGAGGTAGCCGCCAAGATGTTGTGCCCATCACTACGGGGTATCGTCTTGTTGAGCATGGAGCATTATGCCAGTTGGGCACAGAGACGCGGACTTGAATAACTGGTCATCAGCTGGACAGGCCTCCCCCCACTACTAGAAGAGCCGTTCAGGGGTCGAGCCGCGGCGCTGGCCACATGCACCCACTGTGAGGAGTCTGGTGGGCTCTGCTGCCGAAGGCCAGCCTTCTTCAATCAATGTTCAACCAGACATCAACAAACCAAAGCCCATGTCCAAGATTGTTTCAGAAGACGCGCTCGCGCCCAGCAATTACCCCGCTAATAAACGCGAAAATGCCATTATGCGTGCCAAACAAGTCCACGCCGTACGCGAATTCCAGCCCAAGTGATGGCATGGGCATGGGGCATGAGGCGCACTGGCTTCATTGTACAATGTATATACGTGGTAGTACTACAATATTTCTCAAGGTGCGGAGTCTGCTCCGTGCTCAGGATTTTGCGGATTGCGGCGACGCTCTCCGTACATGTGCCCTGTCCCGTCGGCCTTGGACCTGATTGCGCTGCAAGTGCCTGAAAGGAGCTCCCGCTCTCCTGGCCGAGGCGGCTGACTTTGCGCTAATGGCAGGATTCCCGCCCCACTAGCTACTCGCTCAGACCCGCTGCGGTCCCAGTTAATTTGAAGGGGCCAACCACAGCTCTCTAGCAGTGGGCTTTGGGAAGGAAGGCCTTGTGGATGGATGGGTCTTGCCTCCCACGGTTCGATCTCATGCAGACAGATTTTAGCTCCATCTCCATCTCCATCTCCAACACCACAGAAAAGACAAGTAAAAAAAAAGAAAAAGGAGAACAAGGGCGGGCAGGCGGCAATAACGGGCTTTGTATTTTGCGTCCATCCCGCATGCTAAATTCCTCAAGTCCCAAGCGGCGGCAGCAGCCACATGCCCGCACAAGACCTTGCTCTGTTATCGTCGGTCCCTAGCCGTTTGCACAAACCAGACAATCGGCAGCCTCGCGCTGACGCCAACAGTTGTTTAAGTTCAACCCCGACAAGGATCTGTGGCAATTCCCACGCTGAAGATGATGATGCCGCTGACGCTGACACTGCATGGAGGCGAAGTTGGTTTTTTTTTGGCATCCGAGATTAATAAAAAAAAATACCACTCGGCAAATACCCGAAGCAAATGACTCACATTACTCCGTACAGGACCAGCTCATCAGATAAAGAAACTCACCGCAATACGTTGTACAATCTACGGATTGAGCAACAACCACCTAAACACCACGTTGTCTCGTCTTGACGATATTCAATGGTTAGGTTTCATCATGTCACCCAACAGCCTCCGAGTGTGATGCGGCACCAGTGCGCTTCTCCCACAGGAGGAATCCATCGTCATGCCCAATCAGTGTTTCGCGCATGTGCCCCCCACCTCTTCTCCCCTGAATGCTTGAGTCCCCCGACGCCACGCCACATGCAACCCCTCAAGCGTTTTAGCACCCTGCACGACGGGCAAGGCATAAGCCGCCCGGATTGGCTAACATTCGTCCAGAGGCTCCTCGGCGCCAACCAGGCCACTGAGTGAGAAGAGGCCATCTTCGCCATGACACCATCGAGTAGAGAAGTGAGGCCGCCCAAGCATGGTATATTGTACCCTGTACGGAGTACCATCTGCGATAATGGGTGGGCAAGCAGCTGATGGGAATCGCATCGTAAATGGCAATTTCGCACCCATCCGCATTATCCCTGAATAGAAGTCGTCCTCTGTAGCCAGGGCCCAACCACGGCTTCATCTGTTATACATAGACCGGCCCCCGTTCTTCAAATACCTCCATGCAGCACGTAACTTACTACATGTACGTAGCTAGATACTCCAGCCAGCATCTACCAGGCCATGTTCCGCATTTTCAACAGGGCAAATATTGCCAAACTAGCGATATGCAGAAATACACCATGGGCCAGCCATAAGTGGCCAATTTTACGGACATAAGTATATCATGATAGTCATTAATGAGGCCGAATTGCCAAACAGTGTCCCCTCAGCCAAGATCAACAAAGAAATCACGACATCTTGGCATTCGCCATGCCCAAGGAGGTTGGCTGGCCAGGGTCGTCCCATCTAACACGAGCTACGTCTCACATCCGCCACGACTCGGCTGCTGCCATTGCGCGACATTGACGTCATGCCACCAAGGGAGAAGGCCTTGCGCCTCGAAGAAAGCAGCACAAATGCCCATGGCCAATGATCTCGTGCAACCACACACGTCGCCCGCCACAGACTTGCGTGCAAGGCGTTGTGCACCTGAACTCGGGGGGTCAGCAACCGGGTCCTCTGTGCTTTGTTCCAATGTTCGTGAACGCTACGGCCAGATGAGCTCCGCAGGCCCAAGCATAGACAGTACAAGCAAGAGCAGCATATAATTTCACGGCTATGCAACAACATTTTTGTATTATACAGCCCGCTGCCGCAACTCCATACAAGCAAACCCCTACGACTGCCACATGTGCTCACTCAACCCCAGCAGCTTATCATCCAGCTGCCTCTTGGCGGCGCTCGCGATGCCCCTCTCCCTGTTACTCATGCCCTCGCTGAAGCACAACTCCATCAACGCCTTGAGCTCGTCGTAGGTAAACGACTCGGCGGCGGCGCCGCTGCCGGCCTCCTTGTCCTTGTCCTCCTTTGCCTTTTCCACAATCGCGTCGGGCCCCCCGTCAAACAGGGCAAAGTAATTCGCTGCCCTTGCCAAATCGACACCTTCCTCTACGTTCTTCAGGTTCTGCTGAAGAACCAAGATGTTGAGCTGCATTCGCCCACAGCCCATTGCGTTCATGGGCGAGGCGAGCCTCGCGTTGGACACGAGGTAGTTGTTGATGAGGAGGCCGAGGCCGGTGCGGATAAAGGCAACTTCCTTATCGCGGAGGTACCGGACAATGGTGTCGTCGAAGAGCACCAGCTCGAGGTTGAGAGAGAGAATCTGGGGATCTGGCTCGCGGACCTCTTGGTCGAGGAGGTAGGGTGCTATGGAAGGAGACAGGGCAGTGTGGAGCGAGTAAACAATGCGAGTGCGCACTTCGGCGTGGAGAGTGAGGAGGGCGGTCGTGGCGAGATCTTGGTATGAGGAGACGATGTTGTCGAACGTCCTAAACTTTTTGTTAGCGGTGCTTGTGGCGGGTTATTGGCGGAAGGGGGGGACGGAGAGGGACAAGGCGGCGGAACTCACTGCACTGTTTCTTGGGTAAGAGGCAGGTGGACGGGATTTTGGTCTGACGCAGCCTTGCCTTGATCATTCATCAATGACCATCGTCGCTTTGCTTGTCGAGGCTGGGCTTGTCTTGAAGAATCTGTGTTATGGGTTGTTATGTACCGCAAGCTCGAGATCCTGGCCGACAGCCATTTCATGCTCGTGTATAGGAGACACAGTGATGAGATGATGTCTCTGTCCTGAATAATGTCGTTCATTTCGAGGGGTGGCGCATTGGTTTGCTCAATCAGGGCTTGAATCTCCTTGGACAGGAGCTCTGCCGCAGAAGATTCCTCGGCGGCCCATACCTGCTTCATAATGTCCTGTAGTGGCCCAGGCTGGATGGAGAACCGTGCCGATGCCCTCAAGTTGTTTGCGTCTTCGCTGTGGTCCTGCGTCTTTGTCACAAGAGACCTGTACCAGGTAAAGCATCGGTCGTGGTAGCGCCTCATTTGGGTGACAATCAGCGAGCTCAGTGCTTGGTCTGGAGGGATCGTGCCCAGCATTTTGCAGAACGCAGTGACAATCTGGAAGAACTGGGTCGCGCCTTTGAACACTGGCCGCGGCGCCACTTGTTTCCACGTTTGGTCTTGCATGAAGGAATCTGCTTCTCCAAACACTGTGTCGCTGAGCTTGCTCAGCGTCTCGTCGAGTTGGGGCTGGAAGACGTTGACAAGGAAATTGTCGAGGAATGTGGTCAGTGTGCTGGTGGCTAAATCAGAGCCCGGGGGAACAATAGTCTTGAGGCGTTGAAGAAACGTCAAGGTAGGGGGAAGCAACAGGCTCATGTTGAAGACGCTCGGCTCAACTAGGGACTTGTAAGAACCAGTCGACTGTTTGCTGGATCCCACCAGCCCTTGACCTGTATCTCGTCTCGCCAGGCTGGCGTCCAGAGCGACTCGGTTCTTCTTTGAATCTAGACCCTGTTTCCGCGTACCACTTGTAAGTCCCGGGACTGTGGCGTGAATGATGCCCTCCAACGCATCGTATTCCGTCACCATGTCAACAGACTTGGCATCCGCCTCTGCAAACTTGAACAAATGTTCCCTCATGGCGTCCTTCTTGCCACTAAAATTGGCTCCCGGATTTGGGGAGTCAAACTGGTAAACGTCTGCATCAGTGGTGACATAATTGTGCAGGAGGGATCGAATCTCATTTTGATATAGGTTCCAAAGCTCTTTGAAGCTTCCCAGCAGGGCACTATTATTCCCAGCTCCTTCGCGTCGGATAAGGGCCTTGATGAACTCGTGGAATGCGCGCTGGCCCTCTCCGATGGCTTCAAACTTGCCGTAAAGTGTCCACAGCAAGTCGTATATCACATCGGCTCGCATCTGCGTCTCGCGGCTATTGTAAACAAAGACCCCGTCTGTCTTGCCAGCAGTACCGCGGAGTGAGCTTGGGTGTCTCTGATCGACTTCATTGATGGTTTCGTTCACAACTCCAAACAATTCAACCGGTAGCCGCTGCTTCAGGGTTTCCACAGCGTTCTGCAACCGACCAAGCCTATTCAGTGACTCAACCAGCAACCCAACATAGTTGAAAGTGTCGGCCTCGGGGTTCTTCGTGGGGTCCTCGGTAACCGCTTTTTCCAAATCAATAGAATCCAGCACCGAATGAAAGGGCGGAACATGGTTGGTATCACCATAACCGTCGCCATGAGCTCCCTGTGCCTTGGCAAGGCTCTGCCATCTGTCCTGACAATACGGCGACTTCAGATACAGGTGCTCGTGCAGCTCCTCTACAAGAATATCCATCAACGCGGTTTCCTGGTTCGCGAGGTACGACCTCAAATCGTTCAATGCACCAATGCCATCTAATTCTGGTCGCCTGAGCTTGCGCAACGCATTTTGCAACACCTCCACAGCACCCAGGAATCTCTTTTCTGATATCCGAGCTTCTAGTTGATCGGGCACAGCCCGCAAGTCGTCCAACTCGTTTAATGTCTGAAGTAGTTCATCGTACTCTGTTGAGGTATGAGAGAGCTTCTTGAGCTCTGGATCGGTGGAGCACAGGCTGGCTTTGGAGCTTGCCAACGACTCCCTGAGCTCTCGCACACGTTTCTGCGACGCTTGAATACTGCCTTGAATCTTGTGAAACGTACCAATCGAACTGTTGAATCCTTGATGGTGCTCGTGTACAATGTTTTTCAGCGAGTCCTGGAGGTACGTATGGGTCTCCTGGAACTTGCGATACTCGTGGGCGCGGCCGACGGAGCTCGAGTCGAGCAGTTGAAGCGCAAGTTGAACGGGGATGGAGTCGTTGTCACACATGGACGGCCAGTCGCTTCTGATATGTTCCAGCACTTGAGCGATCTGTCTCTCGGCGTTGGTCTCCTGGACGCGAGCCCGCGAGGGCATGTTGCGAAGAGCTGGCGGCGGCGCCCTTGCTCCCAGCGGCGCGCCATACCGGTCGCTTCTGTCATTCGGCCGGCCGTCGCTATAAGAGTCGTATGCATCTGGCGCTCTGCCAAAGTTTCCGTACCCGTTGCCGTTGCGCGTGGGGACGCCCCCTGCGTAGCGGTTCGATGACATGGCTGGCTGATGACTCTTGATGTTGGGCGGTCAAGGAGTGTCGAGCAACTGCGTGGGCATCGTCGCTCTGGATGCCGGCAGTTTCCTGGGCTCAATAGACGAGCGATCTCTCCGGCTTATGTTCTGCCTGGCAAGACGTTGCGGCCCATCGGGTAGGCTTTTTGGAGTTGGAGGCTTGGTCTTGGAAAATCACACCTGGGCAGGTACTCTGGAGTCTGTACTCGTACGCATAGGAACAAATCGAGGTGCTGTGCACGGGCCAAGTCGACAGCCGCTGACACCAGCCACCAGCCACCAGCCACATGTACACACTCCATGTCATTCTCTGCCACCCCCACGACTTGTTTGAATGTACGGAGTACATACACTCACACTAACCTGCACAGCACCAGCCCAGCCAAGTTGCCGGGCAGAGCACAACATGCTACGCATCATGTATGAATGTGTTTTTGCTAAATGGATGATAATATGTCTCCTCCCGCCACTAGGCAATTCTCCTCACCGGCCTAATAGTATCAGGACTTCCCGCACTTGAACTCGGGCTGAACTCGCCAATATCTGGACTCGCGGGCTGGTTCGGCTCCACCATCAATGGAAACATGGGCGTATGCGGTCTTCTTCTCGTCTTGATATCTTGGCCAAAGTGCCCCTGCTCTGCAAGCGGCCCCTTCTCTGCCGCCACACCAAAGTGCGACATGTCCTGTGTCTGGAATGTTGTGCCCGAAATCTCTCCCGGAGTTGCATCATCTCCACCAACGGCAACTTGCTCCGGCAGAGCTGCTCTGGGGTCTGTTGATTCCTGAAGCCTGTTGTCCTTGGCGACAATGGCCTCGGCCAACCTTCTCACGCCAGAAGCTATCACTTCTGGTCTCTCCCATATCAACAGTCCAGGACTACCTGGTACACGTTGCCACGAAACAATATTGTAGCTACTCCGTCCCCAGCCTCTACAGGTATGGACATAGGGACTTGGCACAGGAAAAATAGCACCCGACTCCTGGTCATCCATCTGATTCCGATTGTCCTCAAACACCGTGATGCCAACCGTGGGCTTTTTGGGTCCCATCTTCAAATCATCCGGAGCCGTCACACTGTGTGCTAAGAGCCGAATGGTGCCTTCCGGTCCGGGCAGCCACGTCAGTTCAGCAATCTCAATAATCTCTCTTTTCGAAAGCTGGTGTTTAGGGCCCAGCATTCGCAACACCATGAGGATAAATAATAGCAGCCCCGTCGGTGAGTCGCACAGCGCATAAGAAAGGGTATTCGGCTCGAAGACTTTGTTTACACGTAGTCCGGGATTATCAACTGGCCCTCGGTTCAGCTTGTCTTGGTGTCGGAAAGCAGTAATATCATCTTGAGAATACCCCAGCACAGGTCTCGAAAGCACCATGACGGCCTTCCACTTGATCCATTCCAGCGGGGCGTTTTGCAATGTTGGTTGTTTAAACGCCGGTGATACGAAATGAGCGCCAAGGCAAGAGTCCGGATAGGATGTGACAACATGGTTAACGACTCGCCAGTCAATGTCAGAAACGGAATTGGGCGACGGAGCAGCGTTGGTCGCGAGATAATGGGTATACCCGATGCGGCGCATTAACGTGTCCAGCATTTCGGCAATCAGCGAGATCATGCGTTTATTGCTCGTAATCGGGTCGCTAAACCCCAGACCCGGCAGCGATGGAATAACCAAATGGAAGGGAATATCCCTGGCCGGGTCGTTGACAGTGGTAAAGGCGTTGATAGCGTGCTTGAGGGACAGGTTTGTAAATGGAAACGGGGGTATCAGGAGTAGAGGAACCGCGTTGGCGTGCGCAGAGCGTGAATGAATAAAGTGTAGGCGGACAGGGCTGTCGGGTGATGATGTCCGGATCGTGGTTCGAAACTGAGGGATGCTGGCGTTGAACTCGGCTTCTCGTTGGCGCCATGAATTCTCCTCCAACCTGGAGCCACGGCGGTCAGCCTCGTCAGATGACAGAATCCATAACTACATGTATAACTGGTCGAACGGCAATGCATACCAGTGATCGACCAGCGGATCAACCGTCGATTTGGGCTCCCACCATTCATCATCGTGGGCATGAGGAGCATCGTGCGGAAGCCGGACAAGTTCTAGTTTCTGCCTCGTCAAGTCGAGATAGCGGCTCGACACCTACACTCATCAGCTTAGCAAACCAGGGTAGAGCCGGACGAGAGACTCGGGGGAGAAGTAAAAGGATCGAAATGGAAGAGGCCATCTCACATGGATAGTGTACACCTTGACTTGTTCTTCTGGCACAGGCGCAGCCTCGTCCGAGCTCGGCATCATGGCAAGCTCCGAGAATCACGCCAAGCGACGCGACAGAATTGTCCCGTCGACAAGACCAAAAGGATTAAGAGGAAGAGGAAGTACTAGTCGGTGCAAATGGGGGCAGAGAAGGCGAGCACTCACAACAAATTCAACAAACCGTCGCACTCGCCACGACACCCGCAGCAAAGCACATCTCACTCGTTGGAATGGTTGCGCAACATCACATACCCCCTGTGTCGTACGGAACCCTTGAATGTTCCACTAGCAACACCCTTGGACGAGCGGACCCAGAAGAGGTTTCTGGATAAAATGCATGTGGACCAATTTCTTTACGTTGCGGCGCTTGCAAGGGATCACCAAGTCCCATGTCCTGGCTCATGCCACGCCAAACGGCGGCAGCCAGGTACTGAAGCACTAGTATGTCTGGTACAAGTAACCGTGCCACGCCCCACTCCTTTTAGGTCAAGCAAAAGCTGCAACCACCAAAAGGTGCTGGTGAGAGCTTTGCTTCACCTACAAGAGTGGGGCGGGCAATTAGTAGTACTTTGCTTCGGAAACAACCTTTAAATGTTGTTTTCATTGGGGTGGAGGCCATGGCAAGGAGCTTCGAAACTCGGGGCTGGGGAAGCCAGCCAAGCGACGAAAGAAGTAGCGGTGCACGGGCATGTCCTGACTCGGTGCTGGCAAATTTCGGCCACGTGTGGCGTTAAGCTCATCTACAGTGGATCGTTGCAGGTTGATGCACGTGGCCAAGTACCATTTCTTGATTTTATGCCGGCAGAGAACAGTTATAAGGGGCAGGAAGACGCATGCCAAACAAGTCTGGGGTCACGGCGTAGCATCACGAAGCCCACCGCATCACGTCATGGTGTTTGCCCATGTAATCCGCGGCACAATGTCATCTTTCTGTGAAGCATAAGCTGCCCAAATTATGGCCACCTGCCACTTTCTTTCACCAGGGCATTCCTCTGACCTTTGATATAGAACATGATGGAGCGCGAGAGTAGCCCGACAGAGAGCAAATTCTCAGCCAAGACTAGAGTGTCTGCAGACGGAGACAACTTCTGTCCAAAAAGCGAGCATAAATTGGCCAAAAATTAGTTTTCGTCCTCGCATATCCTATCCACCAAAGCTCTCTACTTCGCCCCCCAAAACAAATACAACGCCGCAGACTGAATGATGCCGGGCCCTATCAAATACGGCCACCGGGCGGAAACAAAGGGCTGGCTGCTGAAGCTCGTCCCGGCTGCCGGGATCGAGTTTGGCCCAGAGCGCAGATAACTCGTCATGCTGAGAGCCATCATCTCGAACCGCTTCCCCACGTCCACATTGCCTGAAAGCGCGGCGCTGAGGCCCGAGTTCTTATTCACCCAGTTTCCTGATACCAACTCGCTGGCAATCGAATCCGACTCGAGGTAGACTGACAAGGCACTGAGGTCACTCAAAGATATGGCAAGGGCAGGAGTGCCCTGGACCTTGGACGTGTTTAACTGTACCCGGGCGGGCGATTTCATGCCATCATCATCCGTTATGTAATCCCAGGGGTTCTTCGGATTGGGCTCGACCTCTCGGGTTTGCTTAAGTGAGAATGCGCTGCCGTTCGCTCGGGCATTGGTGTACTCGTAAGCTGCGAGTGACAGAGAGCAATCCGTAATATTGACATCCCAAGCGTTGAAGTTGCCATCGCTAGTAGACCTATACAAGGCGAAACGTGCAATTTCAGGAAGTCTGGTCCGCAATTCGTCATCTGACTCCCATCTTGAGGAAAAATTCATGCAATAGGTAGTTGTAAGATCAGTTTCCGCGTATCGAGTCGAGATGCCCAAGCCGCTGGGCGTCGTCATGTTGCAGAGGGTAAGACTTGGATTATCGTAGTAGGCCTTGGCACATTGGGAAGTATCAAGTGTTGCTCGTGTGACATTCGTGCATTCAGTCTTGAAACCTAGGCTTATGTACCGCCCTTCCCACCTACATTCCCCCGAGCAGCTGAACACCTCTGGACTGCTAATGTTATACAGTCCCCGTAAGATGGCCACTTGTAGTCCGGGATCCTGTGGGATGCTGTCTAGCGCGAGTATGTTAGCTGGGAGCACGTCCTGTCTATTGCCGGGATGGGTTTACCTGGAACATTGTTCGCCAGTATAAGCCCACGATTATATTCGTGCGCATATCCGAAGACAGCGTTGCCCTTTGGGACTAATTGTTGCTCAATCTTGACCACTTGCTGGGTCAGTGGCGACAAAGCGAATCGAGCTATTGCAATCAAGGCACCGAGAGTAGCCAGGTTGGGCTTGACCGTGGCAAGAAACATGAAGGATCCCCAGGGCCCGCGACTTGCTTCGTCGAATTTTTGCAGGTTCTCGAGCTTATCGACTCCCTCCTTGAAGTGAAGCCACTTGATTTGGCCAATGAAATTGCCAACGCCGTGCATTAGAGCCGCTCCGTGGGCGGTTGTTAGAATCGATATGGCTGCGTTGAGAGAGACGATGCTGTTCCAAGCCGAGAGCGGCTTGTTGTCCATGTTCCAGAAGATGGTGATGATTGCGGCGAGGCACACCAGACTTCCAATGGTACTAAGCATCTCTAAAAGCCACTCGGAAGGAGAGAATATACCGCGGCGCTTGTATTCGACCGGGTTGGAACTCGGCGACTCGGATTCGTCTACGGCATGCGTAGGGTGGTGGCTGTAAGTCTTTGAATCGAGTTGAAACCCAGGCATTTTCAAGGTATTTTAAAGGCATGTGGGAGCAAATAGGAGTCAAGTTTTTGTAAGCTGGGGTCCGGCCTGAAGGTCACATCAGGCTTGGGAGCTTTTCCTCGAACTGGAGTATACATACATATATATATATATATATATATATGCGTCCAAACTCCAGTATTTTTGCATCATAGTGGCCTTCTTACGAGTTAAATCCAGCCATCTACCACATGTTTGCTATCCCAGCGTAGGGAAGCGTGGTGGCTGGGCCATCGAGACAGCCGCAGCTTGCGAGAATGAACGGTAGTCAAGAACCGGGGTTGAATACCAACGCAGATACTTGGGGGGACGCTATCAGCATATCTTGCAGCAATGCGTCCAGATTGAATAACAAAGGCCTGGAGGCGGATGCCACAGAGGGCGGAGGGCTCGCGCGCATGCGGTGCCTCATGGCTTCAGCCTTTCACAATTGCCCTTGTTATCAGGCCTTCGTTTCAAGAAACCCAAGACCCGTGGAATACGCCGCAGCCACTTTCCCAGGAGCAATGTTTGCACAGAGTCCACCCTCGAAAGAAACATGCGGCGCATAAACGGGAAGCGAATTGGTCCTTCCCGACTCTCGGTAGGGGTAATTGCAGTTCTACAATCGTCACCGGAACTTTGGCGTAGATGCGCCCCGTTTCGAAGCCGGTCAGCGGTGCCATATTTGTCGTTGAAAATAGAAGTGCCATCCGTAACACGGCCGGTTTCCCCCTTGATCCCGAACGGCCTGAGTGGCCCAGCAGTCGTAGTATATATGCTGATGTTTGTCGGGCTCGTAGGCCTGATCCCACGTCGGTGAATTCTACGCCCCATTTACCCCGTGTACTTGGGAAGAATACGTCCTTCTCTGCGGCACCATGTGCGACTTGGATGCGTCTCATAGGCTTAAAGCGATGGCTACCACGGGTGGCGTTGAAGGCCTGTCCCCCCCCTGGGGCTTCACGTCACTTGAGAACTGCGGCACGCCTAAAGAGTTCTCTTTACGAAAAGGCATTAGTTCAGACTTGATAACAATGAGGGATTGTCAACGCCAACACTGTTAATGGGGGCCCCGCTTGGCGTGGTCGAGGAAAAATGGTAAAACTAGTGGCGCCATCTGAAATATTCCCTTGAACTCTCCGATACGAGCGTCCGCTCCATTCGATGGATATACTCGGCAAGGCCGTTTCCTCCACTGATGAAAGTCATGGTTTTCAGCATGTATCAGTCCATGTATGAGAATATCTAGATCAGGACCCCGCAGTCTTGATAAAAAGGATGTAAATGCCAAGGCTCAGTAGAACCAAGGGCACATCTCCATGGTACCCGGGGCCATTTATTATGTGCACACCAGCATATCTGTCCCGCCAGTACAGAATTCCCGCGCCGTGTCAGGGAATCAGAGCCACTCGTAACACTGCAGGAAATTAGATACCCGGCTCCCCCGAAGCTGAGGCTCAACCCCAGCCCCAGCCGTGTTTGCTTCAAGCAAGCCACGCCCCCATTAAAGCATGGCATGTCGCACCCGGTTAAAGGGCAACAAGGCTGCGGCCATGACATTTTCCTCCCGGGTTCCAATAAGCACTTAGTAGATGCAGCGTTCAACCAAGGCATACGGATATTTGTGAATATTACCGGCTCATCCAGACAGACCATTCACACTGACGGGCCTTGTCTTTGGTATCTTTATGGCCCGGGATTTGTCAATCATATTGATTATTCGGATTCATACAAGGCCAAGCGACTAGATAGAAGAGAATAAAGACACGTAATCGAGGGGAGAGCCAGGTGCCATTTGGCAGTCCCTCAGAGTGTCAATGTGGCGACCGAGCACGAGGGTGTTCCAGATCTGAGAGCCAACTCGAATATAATACTCCATATAGCACTAACACTAAGTTATAAGTTGCCCAACTACGATTGTTAATGTTTCGAAGCCTGGCTCAAGCCTCGACGTCTGATCAACCAGGGTAATTAGTGGGTCAACTGCCCTGATTAGCATTCAACGGCCGAGTCAACCTAAATCGGGGAGCAGGGGCACCTATTATTGGTCGACAGCGATCGGGCTCGCGTGCGGACCTGGCCGGGACGCGGCAAGGTGCGGCCCCGTTGTTTACCGTCGGGCGCTTACTGGGGCAAATCACAACACATCAATTTCTGGCGAAGGAGGGATAGTACATCGCACGTCTCCAGGACAGGGGCCTACAGATGTAAACTATTTGCTAGGGAATATAGCGCAGATCGCATTGGCATGATGCCGTCTCTCATTCTCATCTTTTCGGCCCAAAATTCCTCAACAAATTAAGGTGACTACGGTAATCAACCCAGCACTCACGACGAAGCTCGCAAACTGTATAAGGGAACGTATTTGACGTTTTTCAATCCATTTCTAGAAGACGTCTCTGAGTGTTAACTGTTGAATTCACAAACTTCTAACCGCATACAATCTCTACTCCAACGGCGTTGCCTTGCCCGACTGCATATAAGAGAGCCAAAAGGCCCTTGCCACAAATCTACAAGCTTGAAAGAATGATATACATGAAATCGGTGGCAACCAGTCCTTCACACCTTGACTGGTTCCTGGTAGTCTTCATAAATCTCATAGCGATCGTTCCGTTTTGTCCTTGAGCACAAACTCTTCCAACCGTGCAGGGTCTTTCTGGGCTTATGCGAAGGAGCGCATGCGGCGGCGAAAACTGCGCTTGTTTCCCTGCACGGTATCCATTTTAAGTTCCGGTGACTGCCCAGGGGAGCACTTGGTTCCGGCTGCCACCCCCTGGGTAGCAGACCACTGGCCGCCGCCACAGCGCTGGAATGAGTTTCCGCCGATACAATTCCACATCCCTTCAGTACTGCAAGCGGTGCCAGTAGCGAAAGCCCCCGCGTCACCGCCAACAGTCCCGTTGGTCGCGGGAGGAGCGCCGCCGGCAGTGGTAGGAACAGGCACCTGGTTTGTCACATCAGGTTGGCTAGCCTGTGCCTGGGTTGTAACGGCAGGTTGGCTCGCCTGTGCCTGGCTTGTGACAGCAGGTTGACTGGCTTCTTCTTCGCATGTGACAGAAGATTGGCTCGCCTGTGCCTGGCTAGTGACAGCAGGTTGGCTCGTCTGTACCTGGCTAGTGATGGCAGGTTGGCTTGCCTGTGCCTGGCTTGTGACAGCAGGTTGACTGACTTCTTCGTCACATGTGTCATCAGATTGGCTAGCCTGTGGCTGGCTTGTCACAGAAGGTTGACCGGCTTGTTGTCCTTGGCTCTTGGTGATGAAAACTCCTCCAGGGATCGTCCCGTTGGGGTCGGCGGGAGGGGCAACGCCTGCAGAAGACGTAGGTTGAGGAGCAGAAGTAGGCTGAGGAGCACCCGTCGGCTGGGCACCACCAGTCGGCTGCGGACCACTGGCGGCAGCGCAGTTGCCCGTCGCCGCCGTCAAAGCAGCTGGGGTTTGCTGGCCGAATTGATCAAGATCCTTTCCGGGATTAGGGAACTTCAAATCTGTGTTTCCCAAGGTTCCACAGCCATTCCCGGTATTGGCGACGAACATATCAGGCAAGGTTCCCAAGGCATCCTTGGAACCGCCAGAGCCGGTAACGCTGATCGGAGCACAGTTCATGTACATCTCTCGGTTGCCAATTTTATTAAACCAAGTCCAAGCAAGGGTATATTTGCCGGCGGCGAGGTCCTTTGGGATGGTGTAAGAATATTCAAAGGGGGTTTCAAGGTTGGGGTTGAGCGGCAAGATGTTGGTCGATAAGTTTTTGGCAGGACATCCACCTTCAATGGACTTGATGACCTTCCAAACAGAGTTTTTACTCGGCTTCAGATCAGTCGTAATAGACACTTGACACGAACCACCACCATGGACAACACTACCAATGAACTTGAGCGTCTGTTCGCTGCCCTGAGCAAACTCATTACCTGAAGTCGGAGCGTCGTATCTGGCGTTCTTGCAAGGGAAATCAGTGCCATCGGGCAGGAGGGGATCCAGCGAATGCGCAGGGTCAGGAAATTCGAATGGAACAGGTGCTCTCAATTTAATGTGGGCGCTGGAAAAAGAGACTAGACCGGCTAGTACGATCTTCTTCAACATTTTGAATTAGGGGAAGGAGAACGATGGAAAATAAAACGCGCCAGACGAAAGACTCAAATGTTGCTATGCAAGAAATGAGAGTATTGTCCACAAGACAAGAGGAAAGAAAAACTTGAAAGTTGTCAAGAATCAGCGTATTCGAGCAAGGAGTGTGCTACCGAGGCCAGCATGGTCAGTATTTGGCATTAAGGATCTGAAGGTCAAATGTGCTGATTTGATTTCGGTCATGGCAAACCACAAGCTGGGGCTTGGACAACATGGGCAGCGTACCATTTTCTCCAAGACTGCGGTTTGCTGCCGGAGACAAGACGGGGTAGGACCGACTTACAATAACAAAAAAGTGCCAGTAAGCTGCAACACACCGGGTGGCCAAACTGGTAATCTCTACGATTTCTAATCCAGAGGAATCTGTAGAGCTCGTCGGTCGAAGCAAACAAGGTCTAGCCTTGGCGGTAAAAAAAAAATCGCTGGAAAAGGGAGTGTAGGTTGTCTCAACGACAAATCACCGTTGGAAGAAAGGACTGTAGGACTGGTGCCGGGATGCAGAGCAGATATACATGCTGAAGGTCGGGGAACACAGACCATATTATACACCAAGACGATTGTGCATTCCACGACGGGGTCTACCTCATTGTGCCGGTGCTTGTTCAACACCATGAATGAGCAAGCAAGCCAAGAAATGCGTCCCAGAGCGGACCATTGACGAAGAATCATTGGGCAGAGGCGAGGAGGGGGGGCAGTCACAAAGTCTCAGCATAGTAGCCATCCCATCTCACCATTGAACACGAGCCTCTCACGGGATCCCGATGGTGGTGTAGTAGAGACGATGGGTGGGACAGGGCGCCATGGCCAGCCAGTTCAGGCACAGAAGCTACCCCCGCGCGGTTTCGAAGCGCGGCAGATCTGCAAGGGGCCATACACAAAACAGAATTTTTGAAGAAAAGGTCGATGCTGTCGATGCCGATAGGCTGCAGTCCCAGAGCCTCAAACTGGCTCGTAGACGACCGGCACTAGTAACTAGTGTAGTTGCTCTTTGCGCCATGTGGATGGTCCATCTGATGAACCCCAGGCGCCCAGTCCAGTGAACGCCTCTTTAGCTTCTGAACACAATTGCCACCTCGTGAACGGTGCGCACAAAGACCGTGGCAAGACAAGCAGGACAAGTCTGTGCTCAGAGTCATGTCCACCTGTCGAGACGGCCATCTATGGTGTAAAGACTCTGGCAAAGTGAGTCTCGCTGGGAATTCGATTCGTTCCAGAATGTGTCGTAACGAGAAGCTCTTTTTTTTTGTTTCTATGTCCCTTTTTCAATCGTGGAAAGAACACCACAGGCCCTTGCCCGTCTCCGAAACAAAGGCTTCAATGTTGTGTGTTTCCGTTTCTTTGGGCACTCTGGATGGTATTGGCCCAGCGTCGCCCCTCTGAAGAGTCGAACAAAATTTCGTCGTGGTTTCCAGTCCCCGATCAGCCCGCCCTGAACAGTGAAGAAGAAGCCCCTGACAGCCATGCTTGTGTGGATACGTCCCCCAGCCAGTCATCATGACCAATGGCAAGGACGTCATGGCGCTGAGGATGACACACAGCCAGCAGTCTCTTTACCCATTTTGCCATTTCAACCATTCCAGGGCGAGCTGGGACAATGTGGCTGGCCAGGAGGTAGCCGCCGTGTCCACCGTGGCTCGGCTTCACATTGCCGTTGTGTGCATAGTTTCTGGTGGGAAACTCGCAAGAGCTAATGTCATTGTTCTCATGGTTCACACTGAGTACATGAACGGAGCATATTAGTAGCCGTCATCATCTATTGATAGGCACTTACAGGAGTACTACTTGGTGTTGGCCATGGGCATCACGGTTGTGGTTCTGTGAAGCGCCACTTTGAGGAATGGGGGGGTTGGGAGCTGCGAGGCCCAATTTTGCATGTTTCTGATCAGCTTGATCACAGCTGTTTGTTTCTTATAGCCAGAGAATGTAAGTTGACCTGAGCATTGTATTGTCCTCATATATGGAATAGCCAAGACATGGCGCAGAAGGTCATAATTCGTCTGTATTTCTGAATTGGCTCGTATTGCTGGCCGAACATTCCTCGGCTTGTGCCCCGTGTCCATCATCGCTGTAGAAAATCGACAGAACAATATCGCTGTAGTGGTAGAGGCTGCCAGTGTCTAGTTCGGAACTGCACTGACTCATGGGAGCTGTAATGCCGCGTGGCTGGTTCGGGAAAATTCATGCAGCTCCAGATGTCATCACTGTTCTTGCCTATCCTGTCCTCCTTTCCTCCTTACTGAAAGCCATGGAAGTGAGACAGCATCGTCAGATTCTCTTGCAGTCGTGACTCGTTGCAGGGGTCGACAACAGCCTGCACAAGCATGGTGAGCCATGTCGAGTTGTTTGACCCCCTGCATCTGCAAACCTGCGGGGCGCAAAGGGTTCTGTTGAGGATCAGCCCGTGCAACACACAGGGTGGGGAAACAGGAATATGTTTGTACATACAACGCACTATTGTGCATGTAACAAACAATGAGAAACAAAGAACATGAAACCAGGCAGGGTTTCAATCGGGGCATTCAGATCGATGGGCCCTTTGGGTAGTGTTCGGAGTACCAAGTAGGAGTACTAGTCCAAATTGTGATTTGTTCACGGTATGTAGCTTGGAAATGAAAAGAATACTACTAGTACTGGGCTCCGAGGGGGAAGAGAGGTAATACTGAAAGGTTTCAAGCCAAAGCCATCGTAACCAATCATCAATCCATCAATCCATCCTAAGCCGCCGCCAGCTTGGTCACACATTTGCCAGCTGTCGACACTTGCAACCAGCGGTTGGCTATGTTTGCGCGATTAACGAGCCTGTTCGCACAGGCAGGGGGGCAGCAGCGTTCACCCTCTCGATAGACGAACCAGACGCTGGAGTCGAGTCTTGGAGCATCCAGCGCACTCAGGATTTTCCTGTCCAGTCTCAACCTCTGGTGTCAACCAACTATCAACCGACCACGACAACGAGAGGCTCAATACAACCCGATCCACCGGCAGACGGGGCCATTGCGAATTTCAAACGCTTTTACGGAGTACTTATCCCCGTATGCAGGAGGCACGTAGATATCTCTCCAGAAATGTTTGGCGTTTGGATCATGTCACGGTGTTCGTCTGAGCTGTCAACCCTGCTCCACCATCCTCCGCACAATCAATCTACAATGGCCATTTTGCCAGGTTTGGGCCCCCAGCTCGCTATGGAGTACTCAGTATGGAGTACACTTGGCTGCCATCTCCAATTCGACCGGCGCGGCCAGCGACACCTTTTTGACAGAAGCGCTTCCCACTCGGCGAGGCCAAAAATTTTGTAGAATATAGGTTGCCAAATTCCGGATCTATTAGTGGCAGTATTTTACTCCGTGCAGTTATTGTAAATAAAGGAAAATTGCATTCGCCAAACGCTTTGCGAGAGGAGTTTATTTAATCGTATTATCCATTCTCTTGGTCTCTCGACAATGATAATGGCAATGGCAATGCTGACGAATAATGCAAAAAGATGGCATTGTGTTTACTCAACAAGTTTTGCAATGAAGTCATTGTGTGGCTGACACGTTGATTGATGTTCGGCTCTTCTTTGTCATCTACCACGTAGTATCTCAGGCTTAATCCTCGTTTGATCGTAAAACGTTCACAAATCGCATGTCGCTTTCATGCAGATCTTTTCTTCTTTCATCAAGATCGCGCGGTGCTGCCTTCCAGCGCAAGGTTTTGTCTTTCCAGAAACATAGCACAGCGTGTGTGAACCAGTCATTGATGTCGCCGCTTAAGCCACGCCGTTCACTGCAGCTTTGTCGTCATCTTCTTTGTCCAAATCGTTAGCAATATCATCTCCGCGATTGCAGACAAACGTACCAAAGGCCCAATCACCACGGGTCCAGAGCTTCATTTTTTCCCGGCGAAATTCTTCAAAATCCCATTCACCCCTCTCCAGCTCATCGGGTTTCAAAAAAACATATACCGACGCGCTCTTCTCTGGGCCTAGCACTTCCTCGCCTCCATCTTTCACAAGCACTTGTACCTTGACGATGCGTCGCTCATATTCTGAGCCTTCAAAGTAATCTAATTTTTCCATATTGGCATCCGTCAATCCTGTAACATATATCCCGCGTATTTTGTGTCCCGCTTCCGGAACAGCTGCTGGATAATCTGCATATTGTACTCTGTGACGGCAATAATCTTCAAGTATCGCGGGTGTAAAAGTGTGCAGGCCGCGGATTGCTGCAGATGGATTGTGGTCACCGTAGCACACGCTGAAGAAGATCTCTGGCGCCATCTTGACAAATGTTAGTTCGTTTTCATCGTCAGGAAGCCTTCATGCCTCACCAAAGTGCCTGCACCATGTGTTAGCCATCATCTGTGTCTCCTCCCGGTGGATAATGACTTGCTCATACCGTATACGAAGGCCGTACCTTCTCCACTCATTGCGGCCTGCGATGTGCTTTGTGTGACACGTTTGGCAATTCAGTAGTACAGGTTCGTCGCGGACTATTGTGTTGCAAGGTTTTTCCAGAAAATGAATATTGTACGTGAGTGCGTGTTGGTAACAGTAGCAACCACTTTTAGAATGGGAAAGGTAGCATTATGTAATCGAAGGTACAAGGCACGGACTTGTGCCTCCGAACCGGAGATGACGTACTCCATTGAGGCGAGATGACCAGTGTACTTGTCTCTGGTATTAAGTCCCGGCATATCTGTATCCTAGGAGTTGTTCAATAGTCAAAATATACTTTTGGTCTCAAGAATTTCTCGGCAACTTTCAATGCGAATCTGATCCAGCACTTGGAATCATTTTTGCAAGTCTAGGGTAGTGAAAACCCCTGGTGCCTGGAGCCAGATAAGATAAGATAAGATAAAGGCGCACTATGTTCACACTGCATCAGAGGGGCGTGTGCAGCATTAGCGTCGGATCAATATTGTTGCATGTCCTAGCGCGATTGGAATTGGCGGCCACGGCCCCCGGATTCCATGCTTGCTTTAATTTTCAACGCGAGTCTCTTCACATCCCTCGTCGATATTCAAGGCTGCAGGCAAGCAAAACTCGGCGCATCCCAACGACAAGCTTTTCGCATCCGAACCTGACGCAGCAGACAAACATCCCTTAACGCCGCAGAGGCTGAAGAGTTTTCTTTTCTTAATATTTTGTCTTATTAGAACACACTTTTTTCTTCTCCTCTCTCATCTATTTGAGCTCCAACTTTGCGATACAGACTGGCCGCAAGTTTGTGATCCACCATACTGCAACTTGCGCCTACCGACCGCGACGAAGCACCACGATTGGACCTGTTTCGCATGGAAGAAACAGCTGCGTCTCGTGGACGCCGATGATGCAGCCATGTCGGGAACCACTATCGATGACGTCGTAAAGCGACTAAGCACAGCAGATATAGGTATGGTGATGACATGCTTCTACCATGACCCACGCCGCCCATCGACCTGATCCCGCTTTGCTAACATCGTATGTGTGTAAAGATGCTAGACTTAAACTAGAGGCGGCGACAACATTACGTGACAGTCTGGATCACTACACCAGCGGACCGATATACACACCATTTCTCAAGCGATTGATGCCAATCTTCATCAACATCCTTCGCGGACCATGCATTTTTCAAAGCAACTCACCAGAGCAGGTTTGTCCTACCTGTCATGACGATCTATGGACAAAGAAACCTAACACGTCCTGTAGAAACTGCGCCACTGTATTCTGGAAGTTCTTCACCGGTTGCCCACTTCTTCTGCTCCAGTTGAACCATTCGAACCGTACGCCGAAGAGATCGTCGATTTATTAATGCAACTGGTTCGCACTGACAATGAGGAAAATGCCACTCTTTGCGTCAAAATCACGTCTGATATCATGCGCCACCAACACAAGGTGCTACAAGGCAAAGTGCAGCAGTTCTTGTCCTTGATACAAGAGCTCTTCGAGCAGATGGAAAAGGTGGTGAGGGAACAACTCGACAATGCGAGCTCGACGGCAACGTCACAACCTGGCGCGCCCTCAACACCAGGCGGCTCGCAGACCAATTTTCAATCCCCTCGACCCGGCTCGCCGGTAGCGTCAGTTTCAGATCTTGGCGCCGACCCTCAGCAGCAGAATCGGCCGTTGCTCAAGGGAATGCAATCTTTTAAAGTTCTTTCCGAATGTCCAATCATCGTCGTTTCGATATTTCAGATTTACCGCAACACGGTACAACAGAATGTGAAGGCGTTTGTGCCATTGATCAAACGAGTTCTACTTATCGAGGCCAGCGCTCAAAAGCAAGCTCACGCAGAGGCTGCAGCCAAGGGCCAAGTTCACACAGGTGTCAGCCAGGGCATCAAGGCAGAACAACGAGCAGCCTATGGCGATTTCATTACTGCACAAGTTAAGACCATGAGCTTTCTCGCGTATCTCTTGCGCCAATACTCGCAGCAACTAAACGATTTCCTGCCCACGTTGCCAGACGTCGTGGTACGCCTGTTGAAAGACTGCCCCCGGGAGAAGTCAGGTACAAGAAAGGAACTTCTAATTGCCATTCGACATATCATCAACTACAACTTTCGAAAAATCTTTTTGCCAAAGATTGATGAACTTCTTGATGAACGAACGCTTACTGGTGATGGCCTGACAGTCTACGAGACTATGAGACCACTTGCATACAGCATGCTGGCTGATCTTATTCACCATGTTCGAGATTCACTGAGTCCAGAGCAGATCCGCAAAACCGTCGAAGTGTACACCCGAAATCTTCAGGACAACTTCCCGGGCACTAGCTTTCAAACCATGAGCGCAAAGCTATTGCTCAACATGGCCGAGTGTATTGCCAAGCTGCCGAATAAAGTTGACGCAAGACACTACCTCATGATGATCTTGAATGCCATTGGTGATAAGTTTGCTGCTATGAACCGACAGTACCCAAATGCTGTGAAGTTGTCGAAACAATATCTGGCAGAGGCCGGTACTCAAGAGCCCTATCTTGCCGACAAGGAGACGCGACCCGACTGGGATGAGACTGACATATTTTCCGCCGTGCCTATCAAGATATCTAACCCTAGAGATCGAGGCGCAGATCCTGTGGTTGATAATAAGTTTCTTTTCCGGAACTTGATGAATGGTCTGAAGAATACATTCTACCAGCTAAGAACATGCAATATTGGCACCCCTATTGATCCTCAGAATGCGCCTTCGCACTGGACAGACGTTTCTTATGGCTTTACCGCAGAGGAGGTCAAAGTCATCATCAAGCTGTTCAGGGAGGGTGCATACGTCTTCCGGTATTATGAGATTGAAAAACCGGCCACCGAGTCACAATACGCGTCTCCGGTAGAGTACATGGCAAACTTCTACATGGTGTCGAGTACCAAGGAAGAAAAGGATCTGCTTGAAACGTTTGCCACAGTCTTTCACTGCATCGACCCCGCTACATTCCACGAAGTATTTCAGCAAGAGATCCCACGACTTTATGACATGATCTTTGAGCATACCGGATTATTACATATACCCCAGTTTTTCCTAGCCAGTGAAGCGACTTCGCCTAGTTTTTGTGGTATGCTCCTCCAATTTCTTATGGACAGAATCGATGAAGTGGGTTCAGCAGATGTCAAAAAGTCGTCGATTTTGTTGCGACTTTTCAAGCTGGCATTCATGGCTGTGACCCTATTTGCTCAGCAGAACGAGCAGGTCCTTTTGCCACACGTGGTCAACATTGTCACCAAGTCTATCGAGTTGTCGACAAAGGCAGAGGAGCCAATGAATTACTTTCTCCTATTGAGATCTCTCTTTCGTAGCATCGGCGGAGGCAAGTTTGAGCAATTGTACAAGCAGATTTTACCCTTACTGGAAATGCTCCTGGACGTTCTCAACAACTTGCTCATGGCTGCTCGCAAACCATCTGAGCGAGACTTGTACGTGGAACTGTGCTTGACTGTTCCCGCGCGTCTGAGCCACCTGTTGCCACATCTGAGCTTTCTGATGCGACCACTAGTTGTTGCTTTGAGGGCTGGCACTGACCTCGTTGGCCAGGGGCTTCGGACACTCGAGCTTTGTGTCGATAATTTAACTGCTGACTATCTTGACCCCATTATGGCGCCTGTCATTGATGAGCTCATGACTGCACTTTTCAATCACCTCCGTCCTCACCCCTACAGCCATTTTCATGCTCACACTACCATGAGAATCTTGGGCAAACTGGGCGGCAGAAACCGCAAGTTTATGACTGGGGCGGTTCCACTCACCTACAGAGGTTATGCCGACGATCCGTCAAGCTTTGACATGCGCCTCATTGGATCCAAGAAGGATCGAGCATTCCCGGCGGATCTCGGTATCGACAGTGCCATCCAGAAGCTAATGGAGGCCCCGAAAATGGGGAAAAATAGCCAAAATCTTCGCGTCTATGATGAATATTATAAGAAGCAGGCACTGCATTTGATCATGTCACAAGTCAAACTTCGAATCGGCTATGACCAACTGCCAGACGACCTTCCCCGAATTGTTCGTCTCCAGGCACAGGACTTCTTGGCCCGAAAAATGGAGATTCATTTTGCTCCATTCGAAGTAACGAACCGCGATAAATCTATCCCAAAGAAGGACGTGCAAGACGGGATAACAAAACAACTCCTCAAGGCAGTCATGTTTGCTCACTCTCTCCCTAGGTTCAAAGACGAGGCGGATGCATTTCTCATGGACCTCTGTCGTCATTTCGCTCTCATAGAAGTAGGCCGATCCTTGGTGGACCTGAAGAGAAACTTTAGTCCCTTTGATCCCAAGGCTGGAGAGGGTCCCCTTTGTATCGATACGAGGATCCTGTCAGATGCAATTGTTGAGTCTTTGGCTTCTGATCACCCGGATGTCCGAGAGGCTGCGAAGAAGGCTATTCGCGAGCTGTACAAGAGTACTGGCATCATCTTTGGATCTGAGAGCAATGTTGGTCGACTACCCCTATTTATTCACCTTTGCGGTACCTTTTGCCACAGCTGCTACGAGGAAGAGTGGTTTACAAAGACAGGTGGCAGCCTTGGCATCAATTTCCTCCTTACAGAGCTCGACTTTGGCGATGCCTGGGTGGCGTCGAAGCAAATGGAGTTTATTCGCGCCCTCTTGTATGTGATCAAAGACATGCCACAAGATCTTCCTGAAAAAACGAGGTGTCTCGCCGAGACAAGCTTGGAGGTGTTGTTGAAGCGCATTACCAAGAACATCAAGAAGGAAGATGCTCTTCCTGTTCAAGCCCAGCCGGGACAGCCCCCTGTGAAGCAGTCCAGACTAGCTCAGATTTGTATGCTGTTCAACAATGAGCT